GAATGAGCGGTCCGAGAAGATTGCTTTTGTGCATCAGAAGCTTCAGCACCATCATCTTTCACTGCATCAGAGATTAAAGTTAGGATATCTGACAAGTCCATCAAGCTTTCATTAACTTCCATGAGCATCTACTTATTCTGTGGGTGAGATCAAAACCTCTAGACGAACCAGTAGCTAAGCTACCATTGGCTGCTGTGCTGGGAGGAGCTTTGGTCAAAGCTGCTTGCCTGCTCTCCAGATAATTAAGATCTTTGTCAGCTGTGGATGTTCTTCCAACAGCTTTACCGGACTTTACATCATCTTTTCCAAAATCTTGCTTTGTTGATTTGTTCACTGATGCAGCCGATGCACCCCGTCTAGAAGAAGGCTTTACCTGCCAACCAAAAAATATTATACATGATACAAATTTGGAGCCAAAAAATCTTGCTGAAATTGTTTTGCGACCATAAAAAGGAGCAAGTATAGATTGTAGCACATTGCGCTCTCTTGGGACTAAATCAATTGACCTTAGCGCTTGCACTTACAATCCAGTGAAGGGAGAGGTTTTAACCACAGTCCATATGTCCACACAGTAATCCCAAATACAATTTCTAATCATCACTTCCCCTAAGTCAGTCCTTTAGAAAACTAGCGGTCAAGAAAGTAGAATGGCCTCTATTAGACAAAAAAAGAAAGAATGGACCGGATAATTTCCTATATAATTTTCTGTGAACTAATAGTGAAAAAGTTAGGATTCGTAGACAAAGCAGGGTAGCTAACTTCACAAATAAAAGAGCAAAGAACAAGGCGTTACCTCAGCTTCAGAATACTTTGAAGCAGCTTTGACAGGATTCTCATCAGAAACTCTGGGTGTTTCATCTGTTTCCTTTTGTTCCATTGACTTCTTAGACATGGATGGTTGGGAATCCGATGGATTGCCTCCCTTTGATTTTGGATGTCCTTGATCAGATTTTGAAGGTATATTTTCCGTTCTTCCATCTAGTGGCTTAGTTTTTGACGACTGGTCCTTCCCACCAGACTCAGGCTGCTGGTTAACAGTAGATCTTCCCCCAGTTGATTCACCTTGGGAGACACCACCTACCAAGCCATTCTGGGAAGGAGCATGTTTTTGAGTCTGTACTGGCGGAGCCTTTAGTTCAAGGAAGCCCATGCTAAATTCTTCGTCTGTAACCCATGATGGCTGAAAACAGTCGACATTCAGTAAAACTGCATATAAAATACTGAACATAAAATTGTATGGTTAGCACTCACTTTTCTTGCAGACAGAGCAGCGGCAACACAAGTCGCTAAGACCTTAAGGTCCTCTCGCTCATCATTTTTAATCTTGGCTACCTGTGAGACCAAACCACCAAAGAAATCAAGCATTAGTCTTCTCACAAAGAAAACGCATGAAAAGTAGAAATCACACCTACTTAAAGCAGATTCATAAGACTGAATAGTAAAGAGGTACTTGCCCGTTTCTCGAGGTTTATCCCAGTCTTCCGAGTAACTGGGAAAACACCAGCTATTTTTGTTAACATGATTAGAGCATTACGAATCTCCATGTATTCATTTGACTCCAGACACTGGATCAACAGCCGTGTGATTCTTCCACTCCATTTCCAATGTACCTTTCAACAGATAAAACAGGCATGAAACACATACGAAACATGACTTTGCTACCAGCAATTAAAGCATAATATGTAACAGATAATAGTAGAAATACAGAGGGAAAACATATCCAATATGCACTACCAAACAAGACTACTTGAGACAGTTATGGAGTTTAGACCACTGAAAGTGACATAGAAGTTAAGGATCAGAATTTCTAACCTTTACAAATTGACCAAATGTGACACGCTGGCTGTTCGGGTATCTATAATAAACAGCAAACCCTGGCATGTTTCCGCACTCATGTTCATAGACTGACTCTGCACTCTTCCAGTGGTATGCAATCTTTAACGTCTCAAACAAAAACTTCCCAAGTCTTCCAACTTCATATTCAGTGCAGCAGCAGATCATCGGTTGCAGCGTTTTACATATCAGTACATCAATGTGGTTGACTGTGTTAAAAAAGGGTGTTCCAAGAGAGTGGAGCATATGTACAAACATAGCACAGTACAAAGAATCCGGCATGCTAAATGTGCAACGAGGGAAAATACAACGCTGCAGGAACTCCATATTGATCTTCAAAGTATCAGGACAAGAGCTCAACCATTTATCCTTTTCACGTGAAAGCCTTCTACGGACAGAAGCAACATGTTCTTCATGCTTTTTCATTTCAATGGTTAAACGATCAAGAGATTCTTGAATCCTTTCCTTGTCTTTTTTTCTCTTCGTAATTGCTGAGCTAGAATTATCAGAACCCTCTTCAAGTGCCTTAAGGGCAGCATGCTGTTTAGATATCTCAGACTCATAACGATTTCTGGGAACATAGAGATCATAAAGGGTAAGCCCCCAAAAAGTAGCGTAGAGGTCTGGCGACAAACTATTCCAAGCTTTCGAGGGCAGCATTGTTCTTACTGTATCAAGAACGTCAGACCACCTGCAAACATATTAACAGCCAGAGAAAGTCCAATAGGTCAGAATCCAAGTGTAATGCAATTAATAATTCTGGTGACTTCAAATCTTCAAAAAGAGGCTATCTGAAACTTCAAAAAAATATGACGTCCATCGTGTTGCTGTAGCAACCAAATATACTAAACAGATTGAGTTGAAATATTACGTTACAGCTTTTTCAGATGCGCCGGCATCGAGAATCATGGAACTCTCAGATTCTGATGTATCAGGATCTGAATCCATAGACTCCCCACTATCCAAAGGCCATGAAATATCACCACTCCGTCGACACTTGAAGAGCCTCATCACTGGGCGGTATATCAAAAAAGCAACCTAGCATGGGATTAAGAACATAAGTCTGGCGTCAAAATACATGTGGACCAGAATGACATAAGTCTTAAAGTGATGAAGTCCATATTGTTGAACAGTGCAGTAACACAAGGGTAAAGAACAAAACAATGGAAAGAAATATCAAGTGACCTCTGGCTCAAGGTGGTATGTGTGAACAAGCTCATCAAGCGTAGGTACCAGCCGAGCGTAAGCAGTAGCAGGACTGACAGCACTAGAAAGGAAGTCCACGTATTGGAGGAGAACTCCATGACATCTGTCGAACTCTTCAGTGACCATCTTAATATATGGTGCATCCGCGTTCACCACAACTCTGCATATCAGGAAGTTTACGTTATAATAACAAAATTTAGAACATCCTGGCTTGTTGACCAAATGAATAAGTGTACAGTACACACACAATTTATAGATAGGAACATTGTCCGTGGTCACACCAACATAAAGATAATCTACAAGTAGATATGTAGTTTTAGACACCATTTTCTTAGGCATTTTTCTGTCTGTTAATTTATGTTTCCAGTTATATGATATAGAAACCTTTGTATCGTGCTCAATAAAGACTTGTAAGCTCCATGCAGACAATTAGTGCACACTTTCAAATGTCAAATAATTTCGAGTTATCAGATTTGTCAACTTACAGGGAACGATGCTGCGCGATAAGTAGCAAAAGGGGGACAGCTATCTTTGATTCATCCGGTGGAAGTAATGAATCTCGTAGTCGGTTGGATGATTTGACGAGTGCCTGCAAAAACCAGTAAGAGAAAACGATGATTGCAAATGCATAAATAAAGCACACGCCGGTGTCAGCATATATGCAGATGCAAAAACGATGAGCTAAAGCGGAGATGCAGGCGATCAAACTTGAATTAACCAAACCAATAGTGTTTCATTCAGATCACTGAAACTAAAGAAGGTGAATTTTATCTGGCAACAGTAAGCAAATGGATGCACTTATGGTAAAGGCCGACGGTTGGCTCCTTCCAAGATTCAAGAAAAAAAAAATTAGGATCTAAAAAGACAAACCTTGTTGTTCCGTGTCATGCCAAAGGATGTTGCATGGTAACGTAAAGTCTCACTTCCTGCCATGGCATCCAACTGATCTTCAGTAAGGTTCTCAGTGTAGTGTACATTTGCCATCTGCTGGATCAGTTCCTACATATCATTGTAAAATTTCAGTCAACCACCATTAGTCTGAATAAGTTGGATTATTAGAATTTGAGGAATACAAACCAAAAGGGTACCTGGAGAAGAACAAGCTCAATGCCTTGGCCCCTCTTTAACTGGTTCACAAGATACTGGAAAAGACCCCGTAACTCCATTGATGGGTACTTCTTACACCTGGATAACATGAGACTGTTTATGAAAACACTCGAAAAAGATGAACTTAACAGCTTTTCTCACTTTCTTAATAATGCTTATATGTGCATCTTGCAGTAAATAAATGCCAATTTTTGAATGCACTCAGAGGAAATGATAAAGCCCTCATGAGAAGTTTTCAGCCACATTATCCAAGATTTTAAAATAAAAGAGACGGATGAGGAAAACTAACGACTAAAGTAAAGGACACCTCATCCTATCAGGCAAACTAGCATAGATCAGGTAAGCAAATAAGGTACTCCTCAACATCTGCAGCAAGTAAATATCGTGCAAAATTACAGTAAATTTTCTTACTATCATCATATACAACCAATATTTATATAAGAATTCAACTGACCATCCAAATAGTAAAAAAGGGAAAACAGAAAGGCAATCCAATATGAACCAGACAGAATCTTACAACACATGTCTTCACGGGAATGAATACCAGAGGTGAACATAAAAGATGGAAATGGTACCACCAAATTCATTACTTATACAGCGGTTTAAATATCAGAATTGCAAATTTACTACTCAAACAGCTTTATCCTAGAATAATACCGCGCTGTGCTTTCTCTATCATGGGCATAACTGCAAATTGCCTAGTGTATGCAATCACAAAAAAACACATACAGGTACCTTTCTAGCATGGACCATAAACAGGTAATAAAACTATTTCTATGTATTAATATTTTCAAAGGAGAAAACATACAGGTGACCCCAAAATGACGCCAGAGATTGAAGCCAGTCTGATAAATTAACCCCGTCGTCTTTGAGTTTATCTCGTCCACTTTGTGCCAGTCTCTCAATCACGACATATTCCAGGATATCATACTCAAGCTGTGTATCAGGAATAATTTGAAAAGTATCAGACCGTGAATAATGGAGGAAGAAGCATCTCAAAAACAACAATAACTTAGAAAGGGAAGCTGACTCCAGGTAACTTAGCAAACAAAAGAATGTTGCAAGAACGAAGCCAGAATAAAAGAACCACATGACAGACTGCCTCAATGTACTGGAACGTTAAATAATCTTTGAAAACAAATGTTAGAATGTAAGGAAGATCCATTGGACTGTATCCCAATTAACAATGGCTATCTCAATTCAATATTGCCTTCTTCAGAAGCTCATGTTTGGGCTTCTCAAACCAAGATATCCCATTTCCAACATTTTAAACCTACCCTAGAATGAATGCTAGACTGAAGGTGTAAAGTGTATCAGTAGAAAACCAACAAAGCCAAACAATATTCACTCAAATGAAACTACATTCACTTTGCACTCTGATAACAAGGCACTGACAAAAGACCATCTATCTATCTCATCATATTACTTTTAAAATAAATAAACAATGAACAGAAAACATGTGAGAGTAAAGGCAAAAATTAAACAAGAGCTTAGCATACAAACAAGACACAAGAGGCACCACTGACCTGTGTCAAGTACTTAAAGGCTTCAACAACAGGAGTAATCATATCTCTGTATGATTCAATCTGTTGCAAAACGAACCTAATAGTTAGCCCTGTTTTAACAATTTTGACTACAAAAATAGAAGCAGCACCACATTCTGGAGAAGATTGACACCTGATTTACAATTGTCCGAAGCACCGTCATGGGATTGGCATGTGCTAGTTTTGCCACCATCCTTCCTAACGGCTTCAAATTTTCTTTTGCAAGCCGCTTCAGAATATGTCTAGTGTCCAACTGACATACCAAAAAATAGGCTTTCTAAGGTCTGAAGGATTTATATTTCCATTTGTATCAAATGAGAATGACAGGTCAAAGAAGTCATTATGTTATACCTTTGCCACTTGCCTTGCTGCCAACAGTAAAGGATTCCGTTCATCGTCTTTTTCCCACTCACCATATAAGCGATAACGAGCCTAAAGAAAAAAATAATCACCAGGATTGGCCATCACGTTCTACATAAAAATATCTGGAATGAACAAAGAGAAGCAAGTCAACCTCATATGGAAGGAGACTCATCACTTCCCAAATCTCATGACCAACTGCTGGATTTGCAGGTACTAGCTGTAACGATGGCAGAAGGCATGTTCCTAGAGCTTCTTCCACTCTCAACCTAACTTCCTTCAGGTGCACACGAGAAGTTTCATATGCACGACCTTCTTGATTTGACGACCCATCACTACTGCGAACAAGATCTAAGGCCGATAAGTAGTAAACCCTTAATACTCTACAAATCTGCCACAATGGTAAACACATATTAGCTTCAATCTTCAATCTTTTGTATAGAACATTCAGTATTTTAAAGGTCAGTGTACCTTCTGCAACAGTTGTGTATTGCGATACAAGTAGGGCCCAACTGTAAGAAGCATCTGAAACACTTCTTTTGGAACATCTAGACTCCTACTGGATGTTGTACTCGCAACGTGTGTACTCTTTTCTGTGCCCGCAGATGAAGAATTTTGAAAACGCATCTGACGAGCAATGCGATAAGCGTGAGCGATTGACTTCTCTATAAGCCTGAAAACATAGTTCAAAAAAATCGTTGTTGTCATCATAGATTAGTGGCCATAACTCCGGCATTCCTTGGGTGATACATAGTGCTGAAGATGCATAGCAATGACGCAGCTATATATCTGAGGGAAAATAGTCTGAGCTAAAGGATCAGTCACTAACCTAAACAAGCCACCACAAATCTGATCGTGAGCCACTGGATTAAGAGGCGCAAGGCGCTCGAACAAGATATTGGCATGATACCTGGGACAAGTAAAGAGTTAATCTTGGAATGGCAAACTAAGCTTTCAGAAGAGTTCAGTACTTTTTTATAAATGAAGAGGAACTAGTAAACATACCAGTCGTCCACAGAGAGGAAACCATTAAGGAGGCCTAGAGTCTGATTATTTTCAAGCTCAGGTAATCGCTCAGTAACAGCTTCAGTTTCCATGTCTAAAGCAGCAAAAAGATCTACTGTGAAATCTCCTTGTTTCTCATCCTCCATAAGATCCTTCCCAATAGCAGCAAGATTTATCTTTCCAATTTTATTGGCCTATAGAAAAAGGAAGGATTGTAAATATTATATCTCATGATTAAACATGTGAAAGGAATGCTTTAAAACAACAAATAATTGAATGGAGCATCTAAGTATTTATTAAAATTTGTAAAGGCAAGATGAGATTATCGCAAGAGCAAAGGAAACAAGTTTGTTTGTTTGTCTCAAGGGGAAAAAGAGGTTCTAATTCAGAAGAAACATAGATACAACTAAAGCTAGGCCAGAACAAAATTATCTTTAGACATCTATAACCATGGATGATGGATCTACAAACATCCTTAGAAAGGGGTTCATAATTTGAATTGTACCTCTTCGAATCGCTTTGCAGAAGAAGCATTGTAATCCTCAAAAATTTCCTCGTCCTTCGGTAACAGATGTGCATATCTGTTCACACCAGTTGGGGGAAATAACATAAGAACAAAAGGTCCGTCCATAGATTTAGTAAAGTTTCACTTGTCCGAAACACAAGGGAATGTTAGCACTCTAGTAATCCCGAATCAGTGAATTGGTAAAATAAGTTAGCGATTTGAGTGAGTTGCTTGCAAGAAATAAAATTTCTCTAATAGGTGCCCTCCGCAAGAGCAATTTAAAAGTAAGAAACAACTTACAGCATCCAAAAGAATTTCGCAATCAATTTTCTTTCATATTACATTAAGAAACGATATTAAGCGGCATAGATACCAAACAACTAGAAAAATAGACAGTGCAGAAAAGAGGATTATCAAACTAGTATACTTCCTAAGGACCTAGAAAGCAAGAAAAGAAAGAGAGAAAAAATACTCACATGCTCTCAAGACTGATAAACTCCTCCTTTACTAGCAAGGCTGTAAGCTTATATAGCCCAGATGGAACAGGGTTATTCACCTCCAATCTCTGATAATATTGAAACTTAAATCCAAGAATTTGTGAAGCATGAGACTGCATATCAAAGAGATTTTTTAGCAAAAACAAAAAGAAGTCTCTCAAGCTAAGCAGTTGAATATGACAACACAAGGAAGACATTCCAAACCTTGGGAAAGATAGGAATTAGATTGAGAAATGTTTCGTAATCTTGTTCAAGTTCAAAGCAATCCAAAACCTATTCATCAAAAACAAAGAGCACATATATAATAGGTAAGTACAGATAAATGCATTCTGTGATATCAAACAAACAAACATGAGAGAAGCGACTGTGAAAACTTACAATGTCGAAAACACGATTCGGATCCAGGTCAAAATGCCCAATTAATGACTGCAAAGTAGATTTCAGTTCAGAAAAAGTAAACGGAATAAATATGCGAAACATAATATATTGGCAGAATTAAAACCTTGATGATTCCCATAGTTGCTGCTGATGTATTATGTGAAGAACTTGCAGATCCTCGGCATAATAGGGTAACCTGCACTCCACAAAGGAACTACTGTAATAAGTTGGTGTATTTACAATGTGATTTAATCAAACTAATAGAAACTCTGCTGACATATTTGTTTGTTACTCTGCGCAGCTATACTACAATTTAACTAGCAGAAGATTTGCGTTCCAACTGGAACCGTGTGAAAAGGAAAGGCCAAATCAGCATCGTTGAAACGATCATCCCTTCCAAAATTTAAAGAAGAGCATTCCTATGGTGGATTTCAAATAGAGGAAAGTAAAGAGCGAAGATGTATCTAACAACAGAGCATTAAAAAGAAGTAGACAGAACGAATGACGAACCAATTTGGCATATCCCTCGCTTTCTTCACGGAGTAAGTTGAACTTTGTCTGCTGGTACAGAAGACGAGTATTTAATCGCACCTGAGTAGCACCAACTAGAAATGTCAGTTATAAACAATGAGCAGCAGTTGCACTGGTAAAGAAGAAACTCCTTTATATATAAAAGCAACTAACTCAAAGTAACTATTACGTAAATCAGACTACAGTACATCTGGATCTATGACTAAACAAGATAACATCATCATCAAATTACCGCTATCCCTATAACAAACTTGTATGTCACAATAATACAGAGGCTACAGAAGTTTGAAGTCCTCACCTCTTTCCCCTTCAAATCTTGGGCTTTTATTTTAACCATTTCAGCTTCCCATAGAAACTCCTCCTAAAAGAAAATACAGAAATCGATCATCAGCTCCTTCAGAAAGTCACTTTCTTACTAATCAAGAAATAGAGAGATGAGCCAGAAAAAGATAGTGAGACCAGCTTATCCACTGGATCCGGGAGGACCTTTCTACATTCTATGGGATTACTGAGTATTCAACCTTGAAATTTACATCTAGAACTTATAGTTTAGCATATGCCTATAGTGCTCAGTATAAAAAAAAAAATTATTTTCCACTGATTATTGGGCCTTTTCCTGATTATTCATTGGCTGAACTTAACAGAAAAATTACCTCGCAACGCTCTTGGAAAAGCCTTTGAGGAACTGTCTGTGATTCCACAAGCCATTTCGCCTACAAACGAGAAACAACCAATCGGTAGTTGTGAGCATATAAACATTGAGGAGATAGTAAATGATGTAGTTTAAGGAAGAGACCAAAGTATGTAATCATCAAATTCAACAAAATAACATGTATGCTAATAACTAATACAGTGATCAAGTAAGCAACTCAGAGAACGTTATATCAAACTGCATTTAACCAGGAAGAAACTGGACCTAAAAGTATCAGCTACTTAGGCTTAAGGGACCTTCTACGGAGCAGGTATGCATCAGGTTCCTTCTTGCAACCCGCCCAAAATGAGCCAAAGGTTGGTTAATCGTTAGGACACTACTGATAGCAAAACAATACATGCTCTAATATGTTCATCACAGAATGCAATTACATGAACGCTGTGATCTCTAATCTCAAGATGCAATTTCAGAGGAGCTAGAAGTCTCGTTCATACTTAATAACACAAGGCTAACAAGTTCAAAAACCTAATCAGTTGCAAGAAGGTAAGAGTACTGACCAATTTTGTTAAGCGAGAACGGTGATCCGCCGACATGGTAAGCTGCAAAACCAACCAAAGAGAGCACGAAAGCAAACAATCCAACGCTCAGTATCAATCCTTTGTAAGCTAAAAACGTCAAAAAACTGTAAGGTCCTCAAAGAAGGTATTGGAAAGACGTACGTCTTGAGCTATCTGAGTCACGACATCGGCAAAACAGGAAGCTAATTCTTCTCTCGATGGATTATCCAGAAACTTCACCTTCTCCAACACTGCCTTACAGCTCTGAATTGGCAATTCGCCACGAACCTGATTGATTAATCCATTACGATGCAGCTTCAGCAACTCGAACACATATGCATAGGAGGAGCTATGCGTAGATTGTAGAATAGGGAGAGAGATTTGTGTGCTTGTACCAAATTCCAACAGAGCTCGTAGAGAAATCGAAGCATCGGCACGGAGCTGGGCAGCTTGGAACCGTAGTTACCATTCTTCCCTTCGCGAACAAACTCCTCCGTCACGTACTTACACTCCAGTAGCGGAAGGGACATCTTCCACGCTCTCTTGTAATCTTCTACTCCCCTTTTTCGAAACCCTAGAAGACAATAGAAACGAGGTTTTAGAGTGGTGGGGGATTTGATTGGCGACCAGAAATAAGCATTCCTGTTATCAAAAGATCAGACGGAACGAACAATTTGAGAGAGAGGATTAGGGTTTTGTAGAGGATCGAAGTGAAATCGAAGAGGATGATGATTGATGAAGGTGAAAATATATGTTTTTGCTAGGGGACTATTCTTTTCCTATTTTTCTCTTTTTGTCAAATTTTGTTCCTGTCGTCTTTGTTTCATCAAGAAAAATTGATCACCGTACGATCAAAAAATTGATGAAATCGTTTAGTATCGGTAAAATCAACAATGTCCATACGAACCGGATCCGGTTTAGTCCTAGGCCGATTTTGTTTGAATGGGCGTGAAAATTGTGAACTGGCCCATGGGCTCATGGGTTACACTTTAGCTTGCGAGACGATGATTTTTGAGACATCAATATTTTGCGTTTCATGTGTTCTTTGTTTGGAATAACTTTTGGAAAGGTGAACTGGAAAAAAAAAATGGATAGTGTCTTTAACAATCGTACGGAAATTGTCGAGATCGATGAAATCATAAAAATCGAAATAATAGTCATTTTTGCTCAATAAAACTGAATTATGGAGTTGATGGAAATATCCAACCTAAATAATGATAAAAAAAAAATATCCAAGGGACCATAACAACACATGATCATTTAAGCACATGGGTTCCACTGGTGAGAAAAGAAACTCTAACTTGAGAAACAAGGTAACGAACAAGAGATGTATTCACAATCTGTGTGACCTTAAAACAAGATTTTCTCGAGCAACCAAAAAATAAAGTCCTCTCCAGCTAATTCTCAAACACACTTTACCTTCCTTGTCCTGATCCGAATGAGTGTTCAAGCTCGGGAGGTCGCGAGGTTATACTCGTAACAGTATTATCTCCCCGGGAAGGTGAAACATTGGTCATTCCCTCTGGCTCTTCTCCTTTCTGATTGCTAACATAGGCATCTTCAGAGTGTTGGTCGGGTTTCCACTGATGAACGAGTGAGACAAAAACGCTGACGACGTGAGTCATGTCGGGTCTCTGTTGTGGATCCCTGGCACAGCAATGATTGGCAAGCGCAGCTACTGTGTTGATGCTTCCAAGCGTCTCTTGGTTGATCTCAATCGTTTTGTCAATGGCCTTTATGAATGTGTCTCTGTTGATGAACATTCTCCTAAACCATGTGGCAAGGTGAACTTCTTCCTCACATCTCCTAGCGTCAAGAGCCTTTCGACCCGTTAGTAGCTCCATGAGAATCACTCCAAAGCTGTATACATCAACCTTTGTTGTAACTCTTCCGGTCACTGCAGGGACAAATAAATAAAAATAAAAATATCTCAGTGTTAGTTTTAATTTAGCAACATAACATAATTAAGAATAAGAGACCCATACATGCGTATTCTGGTGCAAGATAACCAAAAGTTCCAGCAACTTTTGTCGCCATCGACTGTGCGGCATCAGGAGCAGACTTGACTAGTCCAAAATCAGCAACTTTGGCATGCATATCATCTCCAAGAAGAATATTTGTAGTTTTGAGATCTCTGTGTATGAAACATTCTTTCGCTAAAGTATGCAAATACTCAACTCCTCTAGCCACATCAGACGCAATAATCAATCGTCTAGACCACTCTAGAGGCTTTAACCCTTCTTCCTCCCAGTTGAAAATATGCCTACTCAACGTCCCTTGCGGCATGTACTCATAAACCAGAAGCCTCTCATTGCCTTGTAAGCAATAGCCATGGATTGTCACTACATTCCGGTGGCGAACTTTTGTTAGAAGAGATATCTCCGACTTAAACTCCCCTAAACCATTCTTATTCTCTTCCTCACCTACACCCGAAGACTTCATTCTCTTAACCGCAACCTTCGTCCCATCTTGCAATTCCCCTTCGTATACAATTCCAAATCCGCCTCTCCCGAGTATCTTCTTCTCGCTGAAATTATCCGTAGCGTCCCTCAAAACCTCTATTGACATCACAGGGCCCCCATATTCCATCATACCACTGCTGAGTCCACTTTCACTTCCACCACCACCACCAGCACTTGGGTTCTCTATCGGAATAGGAATCTTGACCTCATCTTTCTCATCAGAGTGCTGTTGTTGAGGATGCATCTTATGATACCGCTTCTTTTTCTTGACAAAGAAGAAAACGGCAAACCCTATAAGAAGCAAACACAACACACCTCCAATCACAGAACCAACAATCTTTCCACCGGAAGAAGAAGAAGAAGCATCAGAACTAGGACCGTCTTTTCCAATGTCCGCGTTCCCACTCGTCTTCAAAACATTCGGACCAAAAACCGGTATTTTACCGTACAACCGATTGTTCGAAACATCAAGCGTTTTCAAGCTACTCAGCTGAGTCATCTCCTGCGGAATCACACCGGTGAGATTGTTCTGAGAGAGATCGATAACCTGAAGAGATTTCAAATCCGCAAACCGTGGAGATATGTTGCCGTTGAGCCCCATGTTCTTGAAGTTGATCACTCTGACGTCAGCTCCGAAACAAGTGATCCCTGCCCACTTGTCACAAGGATCGTTTCCTCTCCAGCTCTCCGCGAACCTCACCGGATAACCAAACGCTTCGACGATGGAAAGCAGAGTGTTGACACGTGGATCACAAGGAGTCCCTGGAGTGTCTGAGCAGAAACTATTGGTCCCAGACATATCAGCTTCTGCGGACTTGAAGCTTGGTGTTGGTCCTTGAAGGAGATTGTTCCCCAACGCCACGTCGGAGAGAGATTTCGACTCGGTTAAAGATGCCGGTACGATACCGGTTAGCTGATTGTCCCTGAAATTGAAACTCTTCAGCGAGACTAAACCGGAAATGTCCGGTATGGGACCTGAGAATCCGTTTCCTTGGAGAGTCACATTGGTTAACGCAGTCATCTTCTCGAGAACTGAGATCGATCCGTTGAGCTTCTGCGCGTTGAGCATCAGGATCTGAACTGGCGACTCGGCGAAGCTCATCGGAAGCTCGCCTGAAAGAGAATTACCGGATAATCTCAGAGTCGTCAAGCCGGGGAACGTTTGGCCGCCGAGAAAATCCGGGATTTTCCCGGAAAGATTGCAGCCGACGGCGGAGAATTCCGCGAGGGAAGTCACGTCTTTCAAACTCGCCGGAATTTCCCATGACGTCTATGATTTTCAAAGTTTGTTTATCGTTTACACAATGTTTTCTTTTGTATTCTAAGATTACAAGGAGAAATAGCGAAAAAAATATAGTGAAGTGATATAGTTGTCTTCTTTAAAAAAATAATACACTTGAGCAAGGAACCAATTTTAAAAGAAATAGTTGACTTTTTTTGCCACTGATGACATATAGTGAAGTGATATTTGGATTTATTTTATATTTTTTTGGTATGACTGTTAAGAATTTGGATTTTTTTTTCATTTCTATCAATATCTAAATAAGTTTTTCTTTTACTCTTTCACTGTACTCTCAAATCTTCTGAAACAATAATAATTCAAATTGGATCCTGTAGGATCTCAACATTTGTGTTTCAGTAAAACATAGAACACAGTTATTTCTGAAATCAATGAAATTCTGGTTTGGAATACCATATCTTTGATTGTTGTTCAGCCGAATACCATCCATACCCATGGTATACACCTCTCTTCACCAATATGAAGATAACTATGAGCTTAGGATTTTACCCTTTAACCAATATTCTAATGTTTGCCGACTTATTTTCCACCGCTAATATCGAGTATAAATAGTTTGCTCCCTCTCCATTTGAAAAACATCTTTCTCGCATCCATTTTGATACTCGAATAAACAACTTGCACTTCTATTCAAAGATTCCAATATTATATTAAGATAATATTTTTGATATTTTATACAACTATTCCAGATCTTTCCTTCAACCTTTCTCCACAAAACCACAACCATCTCCGGCGTTTTTCTAGAATCAGCGATCAATTCGTTTAGCCATGGCCGGAAAACTCATGCACGCTCTTCAGTACGAGTCTTACGGCGGTGGCGCCGCCGCTTTGAAGGTTAAATTGACTTTACAAATTTCTGTTCGTTCTCATGTTTCCTTTAAGCTTTGCTATTTCATTCTCTTGTTTGTCGATAAAGCCTCGATTTCATTTATGTTTTTATTTTAAGATATGTCTTTGTATTAGTGTTTGCATATGACACGAGCGATGATTTTGAAGAAACTTGGTCAATTTTTTTGAAAAAAAAAAATCCAATGAGATGAAAAGCATATGAACTGATTGATTGAAAACCATATGTCTCTCTGTTTCTATCAACCTGATTGGTCATATTTTTTAAAATCAGGCTCTCATCTCGTTTACATTCTTTTTTTTTTTTTTTGGGTAGTGGAAATGGAAGTACATACTTAAGGTGTCACTGATTAAGATAATTATTTGAAGATTAGTTTTCTCATGTGTGCATTTGTTTCTAGAAAGGCATCAAGATTATCTGTTTGTGTAGTATCCCTGACAATTCTTGTTTCTGATATGTTTTTCAGCACGTCCAAGTCCCGGTTCCATCGCCGAAGAGCAACGAGGTTTTAATAAAACTAGAAGCTACTAGCATAAACCCTGCTGATTGGAAAATTCAGAAAGGAAAGATCCGGCCTTTTCTGCCTCGCAAGTTCCCCTACATTCCTGGTAAGTTCTAATATATAGTTTTGAATAATCATCTTCTAGGTCTCGACTTTTCGGTAGTCTATTAAGCATATATGGTGGATAATGTTGTAATGATCAAGTTATTGACCATATTACTAAGAGGATAAAAAATGGTTTTGCTTAGATTGGCTTAGGTGTAATGGGTCTTGCATAAATAGTGTTGTTACTTCAAGAACTATAGTATAGGCTTTCTGAATTTTTTGATTTTGTCACGTCTCTTGTAAATTATCTATAGGCTTTCTAAAAGCTATAGCGGAGTCTTTGAAATTTGTCTTGAACAGCTACTGATGTCTCTGGAGAGGTCGTGGAGGTTGGATCAGGCGTCAAGAATTTCAAAGCTGGTGACAAAGTTGTCTCGTTTCTCACCCCTCTCGTAAGTTTTTTTAGTTTCCTAAGAGACAAGTCATTGCCATTATCATTTCCTCGTCAACAAGTTATAACTGTATTAGTTATTTTGCAGGCCGGAGGTGGACTTGCTGAGTTCGCCGTTGCAAGCGAGAAGCTAACCGTCAAAAGGCCGCAAGAAGTGGGACCAGCTGAAGCAGCAGCGTTACCTGTGGCGGCTCTAACCGCACTCCAGGCTCTAACTAACCCCGCGGGGTTGAAGCTTGACGGTACGGGCAAGCAGGCCAACATCTTGGTCACAGCAGCATCCGGTGGTGTTGGTCACTATGCAGTCCAGCTTGCGAAGCTTGGGAACGCTCATGTGACCGCCACGTGTGGGGCTCGGAACATGGACTTTGTCAAATCTTTAGGAGCGGACGAGGTTCTTGACTACAAGACTCCCGAAGGAGCCGCACTCAAGAGTCCGTCCGGTAAGAAGTACGACGCCGTGGTCCATTGTGCGAACGGGATACCGTTTTCGACGTTCGAGCCAAACTTGGCCGTGAACGGGAAGGTGATAGACATCACGCCAGGGCCTAGCGCGATGTGGACTTATGCGGTTAAGAAAATAACAATGTCCAAGAAGCAATTGGTTCCGCTTTTATTGACCGCCAAAGCTGAGAATTTGGAGGTTTTGGTGAATCTTTTGAGAGATGGGAAAGTGAAGACTGTGATTGACTCGAAGTATCCTCTGAGCAAAGCAGAGGAGTCTTGGGCCAAAAGTATCGATGGTCATGCTACTGGTAAGATTATTGTCGAGCCGTGATTAGCATTTTGCTTTGCCTGTTGTTGACTGTATGATTTTAGAAGTTAAGTTTGTTTCTCGTTTACACAATGTTATATTTTGTTTGGTAAGATGATTACAAGGAAATGGGGAGTATAACACACGTGTATATATGAAATGATATTGAGATTTTTTTTTTTTTCATTACTTCCAATATGTAAATATGTTTTTTTACCTATTCACTGTACTGTCAATCTTCCCAAATAGTAATAATTCAAATTTGGATCCGTTACCAACATATAAGAGTTATTTCTGAAAGTGTTGAAATTCCGGTTCAAAAATACATTTGTGATCCCATCTGTAATTGGTTGGGGAAATTTCAAAACTACACCTCTTGAGGTGCCAATTTTCAAAAATACACCTCTATGGTGTTTATTTTCAAAACTACACTTTTTCATGGAGTAAAAGAACTCGAAACCCTAAAATATAAATCCAAAACCCTAAAATCTAACATTGAACCCTTAAATCTAAACCCTAAACCTCAAAATCTAAACTCTAATCTAGGATTAGTGAACCCAAACATATATATTAAAATTAGGAAAAGGTGTATTTTTGAAAATTTCCACACTATAGGTGTAGTTTTGAAAATTTGCACCTCAAGAGGTGTATTTTATAAAATTTCTCTAATTGGTTTCGTTTTCTTTATTTTTAGGATTTTTTCCATTCAATCTTTGATTTTTCCGATGGTATTGTCTCGTATAGCTGGCATTGATTGAGTAGAACCTCTTGATAATTCAAAAAAAGAAGATATTGATACCTATAGTATACACCTTTATAAAAAGTGTTTAAAATGTTACCGTGTAAAACCATGATGAAGTGAAAATACTTTTAAAATCACTCTTAGACATCATAGAAATTCTCTATCGAGACTTATTTAAAAACCAAAATGAAGCTGAACAGAAAAAAGAGGAAGTGAACATAATCGAATAATCATAACCAAATTTCAAAACTACACATTTTTTAGCTGTACATTTTCAATATTTTTTTTAAATGTATATCTTCAAAAGTACATCTCGATGATTTTTATTTTTAAAACTATATATTTTCATTGAGTAAAAGAACTCTAAACTCTAAATATAAACCTTAAACCTTAAAATCTAACCTTAAACCCTTAAATCTAAACTCTAAATCCCAAAATATAAAACCGTAACTAGGGATTAGTGAGCTCTAATTGGAAAAAGTGTAAGTTTGAAAATTAACACCACAAATGTGTAGTTTTGAAAATATACACCCAAGAAGTGTATTTTTTTTAAAAAAAAATCAATAGTCATGAGTATCATTATGGATTTTTGTTCCAAATATTTTGGGTCGAATCAAAATGGATCTACACCGTAAATCGAATGAGTACCGAAAATACAAACATTATACCAAAACATATTAATTACATTTAAATTTGAAGTAACAAAATATATAATATGGTTTTAAATCCAAAGATATTAGTATTTTTTAAATCAAAACTAGGTACCCTATCTGTTTTTATGTTTTTTCTATAAAACATTTATGAATTTTCTAATTTTCAGTTCTTTAAAATTTTTATTGATACAAATGCTTTACAATTTTGTTTTGTTCTTTCTAATATTTAAAAAAGTTTCTTTTATAATTATTTTTTTCTTATTATTAAATTTCTTTATATTTTTAATTTTAAAGAATTATTTTAATTCTTGTATAATCAATCACAATAATAAAATGATTTTTTTTATGATAATTTCTGATTAAAAACATATTTCAAACATTTCTCACATTTTCTCGTAAGACATAGAGGCCCGATCATTAGAGAAGTTACATTAATTCCCAAAATTTATTTTCCTAACATGATCATTAGTTGCATCATGTCCCGCTAAGATTCATGTATTGTGTTTTTTTCTACAATAATCAAGTTTTATTATTATTTTATCATTCAAAGAATCTTACTTTGGATCCATCATGTTATATAAAAGTAAATATATGTGTTACCAAAATTATTTTCCTCACATTAATTCATTATGAAACATATATATTTTGTGGCTAAATAAATAAATAATCATCGATCAAAGGCTTCTTTTGTTCTTTTTAATTGATTTTGTTTACATAAATCAAACAAACCAAACAAAAAACATCTTAAAATTATTGTAAGTTGCAAGAGAATCAATTAAAAAAGGGGAAAAATGTATGTTTCCCACAAATCACTTTTTTGTTCTCAACAAACAACTTAGCACGTTCTCTTTAACAAACCAAAAAAACTACTTAGCACGATCTCTAAATATGTTGGGAAGTGCCACACACGAACTCAAGTAGGAGATGATATAATGTATATACACAAATTAAGAAAAGCAACTATATATAAAGGGTTTTCATGTTGAACTCTATCATCATAAGCAAAAGAAATAACTAAAAAGAGTAGATATGGGTAAGATGAGATCCTCAAAAATGTTTGGGTTAGGGCATTGCATGGTTTATATCGTGGTCTTAAGTGCCATTGCGGCTACAGCCTACCCATACTCATCTCCTCCAACACCAGAATACAGTTCACCGGTCCATCAACACAAATCACCATATCCACCCAAAAAGTATTCCCCATCCTACTCGGCATCACCAGCTCCTCCACCACAATACAGAAGACAAGGTCCGAAGTACACGCCACATCCAAAACCATACGTTTACAGCTCTCCACCTCCACCGTACTACTCTCCGTCCCCTAAGGTTAGTTACAAGTCTCCACCCCCACCATACGTTTACAGCTCCCCACCACCACCATACTACTCTCCTTCTCCAAAGGTAGAGTACAAGTCTCCACCCCCACCATACGTTTACAGCTCCCCACCACCACCATATTACTCTCCTTCTCCTAAAGTCGACTACAAGTCTCCACCCCCACCATACGTTTACAGCTCTCCACCACCACCGTACTACTCTCCTTCTCCTAAGGTAGAGTACAAGTCTCCACCTCCACCATACGTTTACAGCTCCCCACCACCACCATACGTTTATAGCTCCCCACCACCACCATACTACTCTCCTTCTCCTAAGGTCAACTACAAGTCTCCACCACCACCATACGTTTACAGCTCCCCACCTCCACCGTTCTACTCTCCTTCTCCTAAGGTAGAGTACAAGTCTCCACCTCCACCATACGTTTACAGCTCACCACCACCACCGTACTACGCTCCTTCTCCTAAGGTCGACTACAAGTCTCCACCCCCACCATACGTTTACAGCTCTCCACCACCACCGTACTACTCTCCTTCTCCTAAGGTCGACTACAAGTCTCCACCCCCACCATACGTTTACAGCTCCCCACCACCACCGTACTACTCTCCTTCTCCTAAGGTCGACTACAAGTCTCCACCACCACCATATTTTACAGCTCCCCACCACCACCGTACTACTCTCCTTCTCCTAAGGTCAACTACAAGTCTCCACCACCACCATACGTTTACAGCTCCCCACCACCACCGTACTACTCTCCTTCTCCTAAAGTCAACTACAAGTCTCCACCCCCACCATATGTTTACAGCTCTCCACCTCCACCATACTACTCTCCTTCTCCTAAGGTAGAATACAAGTCTCCACCCCCACCATACGTTTACAGCTCCCCACCACCACCGTACTACTCTCCTTCTCCAAAGGTCAACTACAAGTCTCCACCACCACCATACGTTTACAGCTCCCCACCACCACCATACTACTCTCCTTCTCCTAAGGTCGACTACAAGTCTCCACCCCCACCATACGTTTACAGCTCCCCACCACCACCGTACTACTCTCCTTCTCCTAAAGTCAACTACAAGTCTCCACCCCCACCATACGTTTACAGCTCTCCACCTCCACCTACTACTCTCCTTCTCCTAAGGTAGAGTACAAGTCTCCACCCCCACCATACGTTTACAGCTCCCCACCACCACCATACTACTCTCCTTCTCCTAAGGTAGAGTACAAGTCTCCACCCCCACCATACGTTTACAGCTCCCCACCACCATTGTACTACTCTCCTTCTCCTAAGGTCGACTACAAGTCTCCACCCCCACCATACGTTTACAGCTCCCCACCACCACCGTACTACTCTCCTTCTCCTAAAGGTCACTACAAGTCTCCACCACCACCATACGTTTACAGCTCCCCACCACCACCATACTACTCTCCTTCTCCTAAGGTCGACTACAAATCTCCACCCCCACCATACGTTTACAGCTCCCCACCACCACCGTACTACTCTCCTTCTCCTAAAGTCAACTACAAGTCTCCACCCCCACCATACGTTTACAGCTCTCCACCTCCACCTTACTACTCTCCTTCTCCTAAGGTAGAGTACAAGTCTCCACCCCCACCATACGTTTACAGCTCCCCACCACCACCGTACTACTCTCCTTCTCCTAAGGTAGAGTACAAGTCTCCACCCCCACCATACGTTTACAACTCCCCACCACCACCATACTACTCTCCTTCTCCTAAGGTCGACTACAAATCTCCACCCCCACCATATGTTTACAGCTCCCCACCACCACCGTACTACTCTCCTTCTCCTAAAGTCAATTACAAGTCTCCACCCCCACCATACGTCTACAAAACGCCTTACTATTGATTTTTGAATTGTCTCATTAACAAGTAACCTTGTTGTGATATTTCTTTTGCTGATTTTGTCTTTTGATTCTTCTGTTGTTGTTGTTGTTGCTTCTTCAACTATTTTGTTAAGCTTTTATTATACCAATATTTTTTTTGCTATTTTAATCACTTTACTATTAAGTTTTTGGGGACTCAAGTATTACAAGTTTTCTTTAGAATATAACATTTGATAAAAGAACAGACTTAAGTAGAATTACATGACTAGAGATTTTGCTCTGTATATATGTAGGTTTACTAGAAGAAAGACATAAGGAAAGATGAAGATGCAAATTTCTTCAACGTTTGTGATCGCAAAATAATTTCAGGAATGGCCGGTCACACTCTAGCCATATACATTCCTTATATTGCTGATCCCTCGTCTTCTCGGTTATAACATGAAACGTAAGGATGACCGGAGAGGAATGTTTCAATTAGTCACCGGACTGGCAGCGTAAACAGTTGCAGCAAAAGCCAAATCCTTGAGAGAGTAGTGTTTGCCGAGCCTCATATCCCATGCTTGCATCTATATAACATATCCGCAGCTCTTCACCTTAAAATATGCAGTGTTACCATTAAAGCAAAACGCCCACAAGATTGAGATTCATGCTAATTTAGAAAATCTCAGACTCTAAGAATAAAAGACCAAACCTTCTTCAACATCACGAAGAGTCACCAACCTTGCATTGCATCTGCATTCTGCAACCATAATATGTGCGCATTGGGATCTGGGCACATGCAAACTAGACATTACCTTCTTTTTCTAGATAGAGGTCTTTATCGGATTAGATTGAATGAGAGAAGATACTTCTCTCCGGTGTTTTCAAATTCTGTTTCGGTTACTTTATTGTTCTTCAACCTAACAGTACAAGTCTTCCTCTCTATAGGTTACAGGCCTATGTTCTAATCTTCTACTGTACTCTTTTCACTTACCTCACATTTCTTAAAAAAGTTCGTTAATTTTCTAATAGAACAGGATTATACGACTCTTTGGCTTGTGATATTGGTTATGGTTCACGAAAGCATTTAATTTCTACGTGAAAACACGGCGGTAAAGAGAAAAAAAAAACAAGTGAATATTATTACCGCAGTCATGATTGTAGAAAGATGGCAGCATGTAAACGGCATGGCCAACTGCACCTTCACCTTCAACAGCAGCTGCAGCCAGTGAGAGAAGGTCTTCGCCGCAAGAGCCTCCAACCAAATCAATACGAAAGGCATTGATACGAATCATTTACAGGGTATATCTCAACAAACTTAAGCTAATAAAACTAATATTATTATAGATAAGTTAATTTTTTATTCATCTTCACTCATTTTATATATATATATATTATGGTGTTTATAAAAACTTATTACATGTTTTCCTTATTTCATACATATCTCTGATATTTCAACTTTAAGATTTGAAAAATTTGTTTGTGTTAGATAAACTTATGTAAACTAATAATATTGGGATGACGACCTATTTCCCTACCAGAAGTAGGGGGATCGCACCAGATGCAGCCCAAAGTATGACCTCGTTCCACAACCACACATATAAACTTTAAGAAGCCACAACCACACGAGATAAACTTTGAGAAGCCAGAACCACACGAACCCAAGTTTAAATAGCCGTAGCACCACGGAGCTCTGGTTTAGTTGGTTTACTGTTCCGAAAACATGGTTTACTGTTTCCGAATATTGTTTAACCGAACTAAACCCGTTTTATCCGATTTCAGACCCGCTTAAAACATTTTAGACCCAATTTCATCTTCTAAACCAAATTAACTCGAAAATCCCCAAATTCACAAATTCTGAGAACCCTAGAATTTGAAATCGAGAGAGAGAGTTCGAAATCCGTTTGAATCTCGATAGTGTGATAGATATTCGAGTTTAGCATGGCTTTAGCTCCTCCAAATGGTGGAGAGAGACTGGAATTTGACGATGAAGAAGTCGAGCGAGAGGAGTTTCAACTCGATGAACTATTGCGCGAATTTCAAAACGAGCCGTCGATTCAGCACCGCCAGTTGCCTGAGACTGATGACGAAGCAGAAGATGATGGCGAAGCTAGAGCTGAAGCAGGCGGTGAAGGTCGAGAGAGAATGGTCACGAGAATAAGTCGTGGTGATGGGTCATTTGTACAAAGACCAGACTTTCTTCAACGGAGTAGCTTTCAAAGAGAGTGTCCTCGACTACGCCCTTAAACAAGGTGGAATATCAGCCAATACAGGTACGATAAGGATAAGATTGGATTTGAATGTGCTGGTAGAGGTTTGAACGATTCAGAGTGTAAGTGGCAAATTTATGCCTCGATTCTTCCAAAAGATAAAATTTGGAAAGTTAGGAAGTTTGTAGAGACGCATACATGTCAAAAGACTGGACAGTTGAGTTGGTTAAAGTCCCTGTGATAGCTAGGTTGTTTAAGGAGAAGATTCGTAGAGAACCTGAATACTATATGCCTATGAAGATTGAAGAATTGGTTATGTCAGAATGGGGAATTGTTGTGTCTAGGCCTCAATGTCAAGCTGGTAGGAACAAAGCTTTGAAGTGGATTAGTAGTGAATATGATCAGCAGTTTGCAAGACTAAAAGATTATGCAGCCGAGATAGTAGATTCAAATCCGGGTTCGTCTGTGGAAGTTTGCACAACTCGGAATGATAAAGGTGAAGATGTGTTCTCGAGATTCTATGTTTGCTTTGACGTGCTCAGAAAAACATGGAAGGATAGTTGTAGGCCACTAATAGGACTTGATGGTTGCTTCCTTAAAGAGAGAATCAAGGGACAGCTATTGGTTGCTTTAGGTCGAGATGCAGACAATGCCATTTATCCAATAGCCTGGGGTGTTGTAGAGGTGGAAAACAATGAGAACTGGCAGTGGTTTGTGCAGAAGCTGAAGGTTGATTTGGATCTAAAAGATGGTGACAGGGTTCATTGCTGTTTCAGACCGCCATAAGGTAATTTAGCTTTTGTTAAGTCTGATTTTAGACTTACATGCATATCTCTTTTTTGCTTTGTTTTGTAACTAACTTTTACGGTTTTGTTTTGTTTTGTCAGGGATTAGTAAGAGCTATTAAGATTGAGTTACCAAAGATGGAGCATCGTAAGTGTGTAAGACACATCTACGGGAATCTGAAGAAGAAACATAAGAGCAAAAAGCAGATGAAGCAACACATATGGAGGCTAGCTTGGAGTTACAATGAAGCCAAGTTTCAGGTGAACTTGGACAGGTTAAGATGCTACGATACAGGGTTTACAATGATGTTATGGCTACAAGTCCGAGGAGTTGGTGCAGGGCTTTTTACAAGCTAGGCAATTACTGTGAAGACGTTGAAAACAACTCGACAGAGTCTTTTAATGCCTCAATAAACAAGGCCAGAGAGAAGCCATTCATCCCTATGCTTGAAGCAATAGCAAGGCTTGCCATGGCACATATTGCCGTAAGGTCGAGAATATCTCATGACCATACAGGTAATCCACGTAATCCTCATTGTCTTTAATTGATTGTTATGTTTTTAGTGTTAGTGATAACATAATCCACTTTAATTGTCAGGAAAATGTACACCATATGTGATTGAAAAGCTAGCAAAGCAGCTTGTAGATAAAGATAAGAAAGATGGAGCCAAAAAGTGTGTTGTGACTAAAAGTGTTAAAGGGTTCTTTTCTTCAATGCTGAATGGACAAACTCACCGTGTAAGTTTGGAGAATAGGACATGTTCTTGCAGGAAGTGGGACATAACTGGAATACCATGTAAGCATGCTCATGGTGTGATGTTGAAGCTGAAGATTGACCCTGAAGACTATGTCTGTTATGGTTCCGGACACCTATGTGGAGAAGAAACTACACTGACGGACTTATTCCAGTTAGGGGTTCGAGGTTTTGGCCAGCAACAGATGCTCCGGATGTACATGTACCTCCTCCTAAAGAGAAACCAGCTGAAGAAGAAACCGGGACTGAAGCAGCAACAGAACCAGGAAAAGAAGCAGGGAAGAAGAAGCTCACCAAGGCTGACAAGACAAGAAAAAAAGGTGTTAATGAGTCTCCAACTAAGAAGCAACGAAAGGAGAAGCAAAGGATTATGCATTGTGGAGTTTGTGGTGAGGCTAATCACAACGCTAGGCATCACAAGGCGAATTCTTCACAGGTTTGTCTTCTCTTGTTGCTGTTTAAAGTCTTTTGTTCCTTACAAACATGTTTTTTTAGACTTACATGGAGATCTCTATTTTGCTTTGTAGACATTGTTGTTGGAGGGTCCTCAAAGTCACGTTGAATCCTCTCAAGGAACCCTTACTGTTGAGTTGACATCTACACTTTGGTTTTGGTTTAATGACATCTACACTTGGTTTTGGTTTTGGTTTAGATGTCTCGGATATGTAGGATTATGTGACATTGGCTTTTGGTTTTCTTTTTAAGATCTTGGACTTATGTTATGGTAAGCTTTTGGACATCTTGTTGTTTACTCATGTTAATGTTATGTTAAGCTTTTGGAAATGTTATTGTTAGTATTGCGCACAAAACATAAGCAACAATGCTGTTAAAATAGACAAATTCAAAGCATTAATTCAAAGAATACATATCAAGTCCACAATCTTCTTAACAACCACACTTTCAATGCATACAAGATCATACTTCTAAAAACTTTTCAACCTAATTGCTTACTAAACCCAACCATCACCATACACAAAGCAATTACACCAATCATCATTTTCTTTGAAGTAGATGATGCTTCAATCAATGTCTCTTCTACTCTCTCAAATATCTCCTTCTCAAGCTTCATTTGCACATTCTCAAACACAATCCTCTCAAACTCTGTCCTCTCTGCTGCAATTGCTTCAAGCTTTTCCTCAAGTCTTACATTTTTTGTTTTCAATGCCTCTATCTCCTCTAAGTGAGCCTCATCAACCCACTTGAACATGTGGTTATCATTCGCAAGCTACATCCATTGACAATAATACTTATCACAATCAACATTCAATAAAACAATGAATCAGAAGCAAGAATTATGGTGGATTTACCTTCCTAGCCACAGCATAGCCACAACGATAGTAACGCCGGTAAGGATTGTTGTTGGATTTGGAAATCAATTCCATGATTTGTTCCCCACACGGACAGGTTTTTGGCACCCCATAAAATCTGCCTCTTGAACGATGGATTGACGATCCACTAGAAGCTCCAGAGGCGTTACTCATGGCTTAAGATCTGCAGGTAAACCCAAAGACAAAAGAAATTAAGAACAAAGAAGAAGAACTCGAGTATAAGAAAAGGGGGAAGAAGATGAGATCCGAAATCGATATCCTAAAGTAAACAACTGAGAAGATTATCCGAAATCAACACACTAACAGTTAATTTCAGAAATTAGTGTTCAGCAGGATCGATTCGAGATTTTTTGCAAAATTCGATTTTAGGGTTCTTCAGTTTCTGGGTTTCTGATTTGGGATTTTTCGACCGTTGTTGAGTCGGGTTATAACACGACAGATTTTTCGACCGTTGTTGAGTCGGGTTAAAACGTGGACTAACGGGTCTGATTTTTTGAGATTCGGGTTTCTGTTTGGTTTACTACCGGTTTTGGATGGTTTCATATCCGGGTTCAGACATTAAACCATCGCACTTGGGTTCGTGTGGTTCTGGCTTCTCAAAGTTTATCTCATGTGGTTGTGGCTTCTTAAAGTTTATGTCGTGTGGTTGTGGAACGAGGTCATACTTTGGGCTGCATATGGTGCGACCCCCCTACTTCTGGTGGGGAAATAGGTCGGCATCCCAATAATACTAGTTGTTTAAACTTCTACATAACTATTTTACTGTAACACAATTTTATTTTTGTTATAATTAGAAAATATAATTTTCTAAAAATAAAAAAGTAAATAATTTTAGTGATGACGTGGAATGATACTATTGGTTGTTTAAAATTCTATATACTTGATTTCCTTATCTTTTACATATTTAAAATTGGAAATTTTCTTATTTATTAGAATATTTATGTGGACCAATCAAATTCAGTTTTGGAATCCTATGTGTCTAGAGGCCTATAGGTCAATTTTGATTAGTAATAGATAGATACAACATATTAAAAAATCCTAAATAATCAAGTTATTTAAGTGTCGTGACTTTATATTCCAAAACTAAAGAAATTTTGGCAAAAAACTAACTTTTATGGAAAACTAATATCTATATATATAAAATACAGTTGGGGTCTCTTCTGGGAGCGTCACGTCAGCAAACTCTCTTTTAAACAATACTCTTCCAATTCTCTTTTAAGACTAATAATTTATTACATCTATCACTTAATCATAATAGAATTTGAAAAGTCATTTTGTATAAGAAAATAGTTTATATATTGATCTAAATAAATTCTAATTTAATAATTTTAGTTTTATCAAATAGATTTTAATAGTTTAATACGAGAAAATATGGGAATGACAATACGAGACGAAAAAAAACAGAACGAGGCTGAAAGGGACGAGACAAAACGGTATGTGAATGAATAGCAGAACGAGGCTGAACGGGACGAGACAAAACGGTATGTGAATGAATAGGACGGGGAGGAACGAGACGAGAAATAGAACGGGATAAGAGGTAAATTTTGCCTACCTCTTATTATATTTAGAGACGGGACAAGAAGAAACAAAAAGACCAAGATGGGACAAGACAAGACAGGAAGAAACATAATGAGACAGGATGAGACTAGACGGGATGGATATGACGGAAATGACGGGATGAAAAGAAACATAATGGAACGGAAAAAACGTGAATTTAGCATATCCCTAATTATATTTTAGGACATGACGGAAAGAAACGGAAAGAACGGGATGAGACTGGACAAAACGGGATGGAACAGTCTCAGACATGATGGGATTGCACGTGACGATACGGACATGGCGAATGGGACGGGAAAAAACGGATATGATAAAAAGAACAAAATGGGAGGAATGAAAAATGATGGTTCAAAATTTTTGCGTAAACTTAATTATATTTAATTTTCGGAAATTTTTTAGTAACCCTAATTATATTTGATTAATATGTGTATGACATTTTTAAAATAATAATAAATCATATAATTAAATTAAATTTGTGAAAAATAATAAAATCAACACAACAATTTCAATTCCCGCGCGAAGCGCGGGTCACCCCTAGTTTATGATAAATCCCGGATTAAATCCATCCCAAAATGGGAAAAAAAAAACAAGAATGGATCCTTAATTCCTTGTACCAAAATACAAAGATCGATCTAAGCCCGAACCGATACCATTTGGGACCTTAACTTTGGCCAATTTTTGACTCAATTTAGAAGAAAATCCAACTAGATGACTTAGGACCTGATCGATTAGGAGAAATGACGAATTGATTGAAAATAGGCTTGGGTATTTTATCCGGACTCGAAGACCCGAACCGGAATCAACCTGAAATAAATGGATCCAAATCGAACCGAAATAGACATAAATATCCGAATGAATCCTTAAACTCCTATACCCGAAAGAACCGGAACCAAATCGATATCGAATCGAGAACCGAATAGGTACCCAAAATATCCAAAATATAATTATATTCCTAAACATGTTTAATTATGTTTAGTTTTAAAATAACTAAAATATTTAAAATTACAATTATTAACCAAATATATTAGTTATATTTAGCACAAAATAACCAAAATCTAATATATCAGAAAATATTTAGTTATATTTTGTAATATTTAATATGTTTTATAAAATTTAACTCCATATTATTTAAATTAAATATTTTTTATTTATTTTTATTTGATCTATTATAGCTAAAGATTGGGTATTCAGAACCGATCCGGACCCGAGAATAACCGATCTAATTATGACACGGTTCCTATATGGATAAAAATCTTCTATATCCGTAAGATCCAGAACCGAAATAACCGACCGAAGACCGATCACCGATCCAAGTACCCATTATGCTCAGGCCTAATTGAAAATGTAGGAGGTGACGTGGCAAAACTACAACCATTTTTATTCTAATACCGATTTTAACCTCTTTCTTCATCCTTCTCCACGTTACCCGAAAAACTCTTTTGCAAGAGCGGTTCGGTTACGTACAACTCTTTCCAGATCCTTCCTTCAACCTTTCTCTACAAAACCAAAACCACATTCTCCGGCGTTCTTTCCTGCTATCAGCGATCGATTTCGTTTAGCAATGGCCGGAAAACTCATGCACGCTCTTCACTACGAGTCTTACGGCGGTGGCGCCGCCGCTTTGAAGGTTAAATTCACTTTTCTAATGTCTGTTCGTTCTCATGTTTCCTTTAAGCTTTGCTATTTCATTCTCTTGTTTGTCAATGGAGTCTCGATTTCATTTATGTTTCACTTTTAAGATATTTCTGTGTATTAGTGTTTGCATTTGACACGAGCGATGATTTGGGAGGAAACTTCGGTCAATTTTCAAGTCAATTTGGAAACAAAATCCAATGTGATGAAGAACTGATCGATTTTGAGGAATGACTGATTGATTGAAAACCATATATCTCTCTCTGTTTCTTTCATTTTGATCGGATTGCAGAGACCACTAGATTATTGGTCATATTTTGAATCAATCTCTCATTTGGATTACATTTGATTGTTTTTGATCTGGTAGTGGAAATGAAGTGTCACTGATTAAGATCATTATTCGAAGATTAGTGTTCTCATGTGTGCATTTGTTTCTGATTTAAAAGCATCAAGATTATCTATTTGTGTAGTCGTATTCCTGATACATTTCTTGTTTCTGATAATGATTTTCAGCACGTCCAAGTTCCGGTTCCATCGCCGAAGAGCAACGAGGTTTTGCTAAAACTAGAAGCTACTAGCATAAACCCTGTTGATTGGAAAATTCAGAAAGGAATGATCCGGCCTTTTCTTCCTCGCAAGTTCCCCTGCATTCCTAGTAAATTCTTATAGCTTTGAATAATCATCTTCTTGGTCCGTACTTTTCGGTAGTCTATTAAGCATATGGTGGATACTGTTGAAATGATCTAGTTATTAAGCATATTTCTGAGAGGATAAAGTTGAGTTTTGCTTAGATTGGTTTAGGTGGAATGTTTCTTGTATAACTGTGGTTCTTGCTTCAAGAACTATATCATATCCTGTCTTTTAGTTTGGGATTTGAACTTTTCTTTGTGGAGGATAATCTTGAAATGATCAAGTTGTTAAGCATATTACTGAGAGGAAAGAGATTATTTTGCTTATGATGGGTTTAGGTGCAACATGTCTCTTGTAAATGATCTTATAAGCTTTCTAAAAGTTAGCGGATTCTTTGAAAATTTGTGTTGAACAGCTACTGATGTCTCTGGAGAGGTAGTGGAGGTTGGATCAGGAGTCAAGAATTTCAAAGCTGGTGACAAAGTTGTCTCGTTTCTCACCCCTCTCGTAAGTTTTTTCTTCTTGTCCTTACAAACAAGCCATTGCCATTAATTATCATGGAACACAAAAAGATTTAACTTTTTTAGTTATTTTCCAGACCGGAGGTGGATTTGCTGAGTTCGCCGTTGCAAGCGAGAAGCTAACCGTCAAAAGGCCACAAGAAGTAGGAGCAGCTGAAGCAGCAGCGTTACCTGTAGCGGCTCTAACCGCACTCCAGGCTCTAACTAACCCCGCGGGATTGAAGCTTGACGGCACCGGCAAGCAGGCTAACATCCTGGTCACAGCAGCATCCGGTGGGGTTGGTCACTACGCAGTCCAGCTCGCAAAGCTTGCGAACGCTCATGTGACCGCAACATGTGGGGCTCGGAACATAGACTTTGTCAAGTCCCTAGGAGCCGACGAGGTTCTTGACTACAAGACTCCCGAAGGAGCCGCTTTAACGAGTCCGTCCGGTAAGAAATACGACGCCGTGGTCCACTGTGCAAACGGGATACCGTTCTCGACGTTCGAGCCGAACTTGGCGGTGAACGGGAAGGTGATAGACATCACGCCTGGGCCTAGCGCGATGTGGACTTTTGCGGTTAAGAAGATAACCATGTCGAAGAAGCAGTTGGTTCCGCTTTTGTTGATCCCCAAAGCTGAGAATTTGGAGTTTATGGTGAATCTTTTGAGAGATGGGAAAGTGAAGACTGTGATTGACTCTAAGCATCCTTTGAGCAAAGCAGAGGAGGCTTGGGCTAAAAGTATCGATGGTCATGCTACTGGTAAGATTATTGTCGAGCCGTGATTTGCATTTTGCTTTGCTACGTTGTTTGTCTATGATCTTAGCAAGTTAAAAGAGTTTGTTACTTGTTTACACAATTGCTTTCTTGGTTTTGTAAAATTATGCTCACATTATTATAGTATTGTATGTACTCTAAAACTCGTATTAAACATAGAATGAATAGGCCTATGATTTGAAAAGCCCATTAGTCCACTTGGGAACTCGTCAATTCTTATCTAGAAACTAGAATTATAGGCTTCTTGTAAATACGTGAGTAGTTTAGGGGTGTTTTCGTAATTATAGGTTTTAACAAATCACAACAATATTAATATCGCTCTTGAGGGGACCACCGTTGCCTTCCCCACCACAACCAAGCATTTTCCTTCGTTTCTCTTTTTTTTTTTTGCTTTTAATAATACAAATAAGAAAACAAATTTTAAATCAAAAATCAATAATTATCGTGTTTAATATTTTATTTCGTCAAGGAAATTCATACTTTTGATTTTAATTAATTAATTATTATTTCCTTCTCTTCTTCTTCTTCGTCCTCCCCCTTAATTTCTTTTCTTCTCCCATGGCTTCCTAAGCAATCTGCTTTCTCTCTCTTTGCCTGCAAGGTTTTATTTTGTTCTCTCTTTTTTTTTCCTTCTCTTTTTTTTTTTCTCCTCCTTAGAAGAGAAACGACATTGGTGAATTGGGGTAACTCGTTCATTAGATCATTCAATCAAATTCTGAATATCCTGCATCAATGGTGAGGACGATTCTACTCGATCTAATAATTTTCTTTTTTCTTTTCTAATAGATTTCGAGCTAATTCTCTCTTCTATGTTTCAATATTTTGGGGTTTTTCGTTCCTTTTCTGCCAAAAATTTCGATAAAACTAATCAAATTTTATCCACGGAAGAGAAATACGTTTTTTTTCAATCAGGAAGCGTTTTTCTGGTTGTTGCGTTTATGTAAGCTTTTTTTTCTTCCATTAATGGAGAAAACTTTTCTTTTGAGTTTTTTTAACCTCTTTGTTCTTTTCATTTCTGTGTATGTTTTTTAATTTATTTCAATTTTATCTCAATGAATATCAATTTCGAATAAAAGAAAATTCAGAAGAAAATTGTCTTTATACTCTCTGCCCATATCCTTCTGATTATTCTTTCCTATTCTCGACGCAAATCCTTCAGATTGTTCTTCTCGAGAAAGACTCAAAATCAATACAGTTTTGCAGAACTTATATATCAGCAGAAGAACCTTTCAATTAACAGCTTCTTCATATATATTAAAAAAAATGAAATTGGTTTCTCCAGTTTCTAAACACCGATCTAGATTTTAACCATCTTTATGGTATGATTATCTAGTGAATAAAAAAAAATTAACTTGATTGATTTAATTGAATTTCTTGAAACTTATCTTCAAAAACGATTCCTTTTGTTGTTTGCAGATAAACTTTGTGAGTTGTTGGAGTTAAGGTGGATTGAATTTGCAGATAACTTGTTGTTCCGTTTGGATGAAGCTTTGGTGATTAATTGCAGCTTATAAGAAGCTGCCTCCCTTTTGTGTGTGAACAATGTTGCTAACTTTTAAGCTTATTAAAGATGAGAAGCTGGTTCTTGTTTACAATATACAACATTTCATGATACAGTCAAGAAGTAAACCATTTATGCACGACGGTTCTTGTGTTGAAAGAGTAGACATTTATTCGAGGTGGAGGTGACTCTTTTTATTATCGCATCGCCCGGAAATAACAATAATGGAAAGGTTTGTTCTTTTCTTGGGGTGTTTGCATCATATTTGGAGAGAGTCTTTTATGCGGAGAGAAACTAAAACGAGTTTTGTGGCAGGTATAAGATTCTTGAAGAGCTTGGAGATGGTACTTGTGGTAGTGTATATAAAGCAGTAAATTTGGAAACATATGAAGTTGTAAGTTATTGAAAGTGTATATCTATCTTTTTGTGTTTGGCTCATCTGTGTGTGCGACTCATCTAGGTGTTTTCTTTCATCAGGTTGCTGTGAAGAAGATGAAGAGAAAGTTTTATTATTGGGAAGAGTGTATGAATCTGCGAGAAGTAAAGGTATTGTATCTGATTTTTGTGGGGATTTTATGTTTATGTTCAAGGATGATGATGATGATGATGATGATATGGTGTTTTTTTTACTCTGCAGGCTCTTCGTAAGCTGAATCATCCGCAGATTATAAAGCTGAAGGAGGTTGTGAGGGAAAACAACGAGCTGTTTTTCATCTTCGAGTGTATGGTAAAGACGATCTTCGGTTTCTTTTCCTTTATACTACTCTTATACTAAGTTCAAATGAGTTGATTTTTTGGATAATAATGATTTGATTAGGACCACAACCTGTACCAATTAATGAAAGAAAAGGAAGGAAGTTTCTCTGAGGGAGAAATAAGAACGTTTATGTCTCAGATGCTGCTAGGACTCGCACACATGCATAAAAATGGTTATTTCCATCGAGACCTGAAACCAGGTATGTGTTACTGTCATATACTAATTGAAATGTGTTTTTTTTGTTCTTTTGATGTCTTGAAAACATATTTTATGTGGTTTTTGTTTGTAGAGAATCTGCTGGTGACCAACAATATCCTGAAAATTGCTGACTTTGGGCTGGCTAGAGAAGTTGCATCTATGCCTCCTTACACCGAATATGTGTCCACACGTTGGTAAGGGATCTCTTTGATATGTATGTTGTATCTTGATATCGGTTTATAGCTTAAAAGTTTGCTCTCATTGCAACAGGTATCGAGCCCCAGAAGTTTTGTTACAGTCTTCAACATACACTCCTGCAGTTGGTACTTTTGCAAAATCTTTGGTTCTTCATATTACATTTCAGTCATATCAAAAGATCAAAACTTTTCTGTCGTTTTTTTCGTCCCTTGGAATAGCATAGACTAACATTTTGAGAAAATTCAGATATGTGGGCAGTGGGGGCAATATTAGCTGAGCTTTTCGCTTTATCTCCATTATTCCCTGGTGAAAGGTGAATTCTTTTGACCAAATGATTAACTAAAATCTCTGCATAGTTAGTTGCTACTTGATGTTCTAACCTCAAGTGATTGCAACATTTAGTGAAATCTGAAATAGTGATTGCCTTGTGAACAGTGAGATAGATCAGTTATACAAGATCTGCTGTGTTCTTGGCAAGCCGGACTGGACTACGTTCCCTGAAGCAAAAAGCGTATCTCGAATCATGAGTATCAGTCACACTGAGGTAAGAGTTCTAAATGAAAAAAGAGAAGATGCTTATAAAATGTAATTGTACTTAGGTCTTCAGAATTTATTGTGATAGTTTCCGCAGACACGGATTGCTGATCTACTCCACAATGCTTCTCCTGAAGCTGTTGATTTGATCACTGTGAGTCCTTGTGTTCACTCTTCTGTGAATATTTCTTACAACTGTTTAAGAAACTTCTCATGTCATAACGTATCTCTTTTTGACTCAACAGCGACTTTGCTCATGGGATCCATTAAAACGACCAACTGCTGATCAGGCACTAAATCATCCGTTTTTCACTGTAATTTGAATACTCTCTTGCTTCTTTTCAACTCACTCTCTCTCTATCTTTATGTGTGTACAACTGAAAATGTGTTTTCTATTCTGAACAGATGGCTACACAGGTTTCATATCCTCTCCATGACCTTGAGCTGAGGCTTAATACCATGGGTGAGCTTTTTTTCCTCTGTTTCTGTTTCCTATGTTCTGCCTTCATGACCTTAAGATCAAGTTCGCGGTAATTCTGCAGCTGCCATGCCTAATCTTGAGCTAAATCTCTGGGACTTCAACACAGAACCGGATGAATGTTTTCTTGGCTTGACACTCGCTGTAAAGCCAAGTGCTCCTAACCTTGGTAAGTATCATTCCCTTTTGTAATGTACATCCGTGGACACGATATTTGATACACATTGACATCGCAAAGATTCAAACTTTTTTTGCAGAAATGGTCCGCAATGTATCTCAAGACATGAGTGAGGTAAAGCTTTAGACGCCATGAACACCACTTAAATAGCATTGTTAAACCTCTCATGAGTTTGTAAATGAATCCAATATGGTTTACAATGCAGAATTTTCTCTTTTGCCCCGGTGTTAATAACGATCGGGAACCTTCAGGTAATGAACACTTGAGAGCATTATGAGAAACATCTGAGAACATTTCCAGTTGCTGAATCTCTCTGTTTGAACATTTACAGTGTTCTGGTCTCTGCTCTCTCCTGATCAAAACGGCCTCCACGCGCCGGTTGAATCATCTCCATTATCTCTGTCCTTCAGGTTAGATTCCTTGTCTCTGTTAATGGATGCATTTGTGTGTTAAAACAAAAATGCCTAATCAGAAGCATTTTGTTGTGAGCAGTCCAATGCAGCAACATCATGCAGCAGTAGGACCTTCACAGTCGACCGGATTCTCCATGGCATCATCAATGCAACCGAATATTATGGACCGACCGTGGATGGCCGTGTCTGCGCCATTTCAACAAACTCATTACCTCTGATCTCTTAATCCATACCTGCTAAAAAAGTAAATAACACAGAGGTAGTCAGAGATTAAAGAAGAAGAAGATAGAGAAAGATAAAACAGAGGAATGTTGTAGATTTTGCCACCTTTTTGTGTTCTTGAATTTGTAAAGATTGGGGGTTTTGGGTGATTCAGTTTCCTCTTAAGAGCTTGAGCTTAATTCATATCATCCATTCTTGAGAACAGATTGTCTCCCATTTCTTGTCACTGTATAATATATGATAAGAGAGATTTCAGATTTGCTTCTTCTTTTTTTATTGACTATATATATTTTTGTCGGCAAACAAATTAGTCAAAAACAGGTTTTAAATTTAATACCTCAAAAATGATCAAGAAACCTTAAATATTGAAAAAAATATCATTTCCGAGAACACAGAATAATATCTTTTCAGTTTTGTTAATGAGAACAGAATATTATGATTCTTGATTCTTAAACGATCTTATCGAAACAGTATTCTGAGAAATCTCTGCGAGGAAGATAAAAAAGGAACCGAAAGTTCTCAATCTCTCTCTCTCTCTTCTTAATCGTAAGTTCGTAACCATGGGTGGTGGTACTGTCGAAGATGGTAGGTTTCTCCAATTTTCTTTGTTTCTGGAACTGTTTGCATATTTGTTTAACGAAAAATATATGTTGTAGAAGAGGAATCTTTTTGGTACCCTAAATTTGCAAGATCATCTTCTCCTATTTATTTCAGGTATATATTATTACTCTTAAATCACTTGTGTTTGACTATGATCATAATCAGCAAGTGATAGGTTTCTAATTTTCATATTTCGCAGTGATGATGTGGTTTCTGTAGATAATATTTCCAATTTACCGAATCATGCGGATGATTTGAGAAGAAGAGAGAAAGCTTATCAAGAGATTCTTCAAAGCCAAATTCTGTTGCAGGAGAAACTGAGAAACAACAGCAAACTGAAACTGAAACTCGCTAGACGACAAATTTTAAGGTTATAATTTATTTGATTTAATTTCATTTCAACTTTAGATTATATTGAAGTTAGGTTAGATTCTTAAAATCTTGCTAAGTCATGTGTAAGTTCAAGAACTTTGGAGATCATATCAGTTGAATTATGAAATTATGTTTTCAAAATTTATTTCTCTAAAATTAAGAACTAATGATATTTCTTGAAAATGCATAGCTACACTCCTGGATCATTTGCTGATGTCAATTTGGGCGATTACGATATTCCAAAGACGACATCGATCATCGTAGTTGGCCCGAAAGGGGCAGGAAAGAGTAGTCTTGTTAATCGAATTACAAGAGTGATCGAAGACGACGAGTTTGCTCCGGCTAGAGCTCAAGAATCATGTAAATTATGCATACTTATCTATATTCATGTTTAGTTTCTGTTTTTAAAAGATGAGCTAGAGATTAATGTTTTGTTTTTTGCTCTCAAACTCTAGAGATTAATGTTTTGTTTTGTACCCTCAAACTTGTATAGATGGTACGTTGTCGAAAGGAGGCACGTTCTTTGTTCAAGAATATATGATTCCAAGAAGAGGTTCTGCTTCGTTTTGCCTATATGACACGCGTGGCTTGAGCCAAATGTCATGTGATAGCACTAGTAAAATTGAGCAGTGGATTACAAAAGGTGTTCATCACGGCGAACCTGTGATCTGGTTTTGATTCTTCTTCTTTCTTGATTACTTACTCTCTTATCTGAGCTTTAGTCGGTTTCTTATTTGTTTAACATTTTGAGTTTTTTTTTTTTTAAATTTGCTCAGGACATCCGATAGCTCCGGTTTAAGAGATAGACTGATCAGAGATGGTTGTGCCGGTGGCTGCGAGAAAAGGAAAGTTAATTCGGTTATCTTTGTTGTTAACGCGGTCGAGATCTTGAAATCGATGGAAACGATGGAGAATGAAGTGAGCTATGCTCATATGATCTTCACAGCCTTTAACTGTCCTGTACTATCATTTAAAGGTTGGTTAATTATAAATTTGCAACTTTCATAATATTTAGTCTTTGCTTTTTTTCTTTTCTTGAATTTTCTAAAGAAGTCGAATATGTTTTTTGAAGATGACAAACCAGCAGTAGTTATGACTCATGGAGATATACTTTTACCGGAGGAACGTGCCCGAGCAAGGGTTTTCCTTGGAGAACTTCTTGGAATCCCACCTGACAAACAGATATTCGACATTCCAGGTCACAATCACAAATATATGTTCATTCATTCAAATCAATTTTTGTTTTGTTTTTTCATAGGGTTATGTATCTTCTTGGTTTGTGAGAAGGATTACAAATGTGCTTGTTGTATAACAGATAGCCGGGATGCAGCCACGGAGCTCACAGTCTGCAACTTGCTACGCCATAGTCTTGAACACGCTGATAAGAATCTTCGGTTTCTTCCTAAAAGAAACTTTACCATATCCAAGGTTCCATCTTCATCTTTAGTTACCTCTCTGATTTCAAAATATGACCGGTCTCATAAATGGTTAGATGTTTATTCATGGGTTTAGGATTGGACCGTTTAATATTTTATATCTTTATCAGGAAAGAAAAGAAACTAAAATACTTTGTATAAATTACTTTTTACGGTTCTACTTCTAGCTTTTGATCAAACATATCACTATTTTTCAAACATATTTTTTTTACCAAAAAATTATCACTATTTTTCAAAGAAAGTTTAACTTTTATATATGCCTTTTCCCCTTCTATTTTCGTATTACCATACCATTATTACCATATCTTGCAGTGAACATTAGATTTGGGTAATTAGTTACTATTATTGTTTAAACTCGTAATGATGATATTAACTTGACAGGTGGGAGGAGGCATCATAAATAAGAGAATGTTACTCATGTTATCAACTGCTTTGACTCTATTCCTGGCCTTGGTAATAATCTGCTTTGTTAATGAATACGGCGCCCAAAACGTAGCGGATGAGGCTCATCACAAACTGCATGAGGCTCCACGGATATACAACCTCACGCATGAGGCCCAGACCAAGCGTACGATTGGGCCTCCGGACATCGAAGGACCAAGCCATGCCAGTGCTCTAAATCCTGAGTCTGAGTCTGAAGGTGAGCCTAGCATTGATTGGCGTACAACTCGACGCTTGTGGTTCCATGAGGAGAAAGTAGCCGAGGCCAAACCTAGCGTTGATTGGCGAACCACTCGACGCTTGTGGTATGTTGAGTAAAAGCTTGAACATCTTATTATGGTGTGAAAACTTAGCATAAAACATGATTATGTTTTGAAAACTTTTAGGCCAATTGGTGTGACCAGTTTTCTCGGATTTTTCTTTTTTCTTGATATATAGTTATGTGCGTATGTTCTTTTTTTTTTTGGGATTTAATAAAGTTCCAAAGTTGAATAAGGTATGAAACAGTAACAAAAACATAGCGAAATAGTATACAACAACCATACATATAACAACCAACACAAGCGAAAGAAACAAACATACACAAACTTATCAAACACGGAGCAAGCACATAGGCTTTGAGATACGGACAATTAGTCTCCGCATTGATATTTATTAGTAACAATAATATGTTACATGGTCTTTTGGTGATTTGGCTATCCACAGTCCCAGTAACAGTAACATTCGCGCAGTGGCCATAATCCACTACACTGACCCCAAAAGATTGCGCCATGATGTCTACACTCGCTGTTGCAGTTGTCGCAGTTACTAATCTTTAGATTGAACGAACATGTTTTGTATAGTGGTCCTGATGAGAATCATAAACTGTCAGTTATTATTGCTAAGACATAACAAAGTGGATTTAATTTGTCTTCCAAAGTTCCAATGAGCAAAACGAATACTAAGAGTTCATATTGGATTAGTGATTTGAATTTTAAAATTCTACAAAATCATTGATTCAATATAATGATTCATTGGGTAATTGAAGATTATGTAAGAAACGGTAAAAATAAATTTAACAGAAGGTCTTTTGCTCACCTTTAAATTGGAGGATGGAATCGTGTTGAAGGGCATTTGTGTAACTATCCTCAACTTGTTCACCACTCAACTGAGACTTCGGATACAGTCTGTTTCCTGCTAACCACATGGGTTTGTTTGTGTGGTAATTAAGGCTCTATAATCTTTAATTAAGGTCTATAACTTGAACTAATTTTTATAAAGTTTTAGTAATTACCGGAGACCGCAAAGACGATTGCAAAGAGAAGAGTGAGAATATAAGCAGATCTCACAAAAGTGTTAGTCATCATTCTTCTTCTACGTGTTTTATTTTCGTAGTTCGATTTTGAGAAGAATGAGAAACTCTCGATTCTTGAGGAGTTTTCTTATAGTCCTCTCACGCCAACTTCGATACAATATAATACTCAATGTGTAACACATTCAATTGTATAAATAAACCTACGTCAACCCATTTACATAATAATTGTATTTGTATCCAGCTCAGATGTTAGATTAAGAGAAGCTTATCTTTAGTGGAAAATAATAAGATGATCAATCATGTTGAGCAAACAAAGCGGCTGCGAAATAAATGCATACTATTAATATATCATATTTGAAGTGACAGCAGGCAAATATGTAGCCAAAATATATTCACTCGTGCTATACGAAGATTCTTTGTTATTATTATTTTGAACGTGGCATGCAGACTTTAACCCAAACGGAATCAAACCAAACCGAACAAATCTAACTTCTCTATTCGGTTCTGAACTCCATTACCGTATTGTAATTTTTCGAAATGCTTTCGGTTTTTGGGCGACACAAATCTGAACAAAACACTAACAAATCTGGTTCAATTAGGTAGAGCTTTTAAAATCCAAAGAACCCAAATACTAAATATTAAAAACCAAAATCTAAAATCCAGAAACCACTCAAACATTCATGGCTTTAGTTCAGTTCATTTACCCAAGAAACCAAACTAAACCGAACCGTTTTACGAAAAGAGTTTGTTGTACTTAATTTTGAATTATATCTCGTTATTTGCATGTGCTATTTCATTTTTTAATTTAACAAAAAAGTCAAACAAAAATTTGAGATATTCAACATAAGTAAGGTCATTTCGGCCTTGAAATTCGAGAACATAAAAATTTAAAATTATGGCCAACTTTGAATTCACAATGCAAAACTAATGTTACTATATATATATTATATTTGAATTCTCAATATTTGTTTAGAAAAGTTACATATGGTATTTCAAATCAAAATCTACTACTCCCTCTCTATTTCACAAAAGGATGATGATCATGTTAACTTCAACCTTGTTTTTGTGTGTGTGTTGGATAATGCTTAGTTCAAAGAAAAACAGCACGAAATGATTTAGATTCTAGTTAATATAACTAGTTTGGTTTAATACTTGGCAAACAGAAAATCAGTTCGCATAAGCTTGTGTAGTTCGTTAATGTTGGTAAAGTCAAGGGTTTGATTATACGATTTGTTAGACTAAAATATGTTTCTAAAACATTCACCTAAACTGGCAATATCAATATCCTTGTTTACATCCTTTCAGTTACATATTAATTTAAGGATGATTCACACGTTTGTTAACAGCCTTTCCATACACATAATCACGATTAATGAATAATGAGTTTCACAAAGCTCACTCTTCAACTGAACAACAACCATCCATTACAACAAACTCAAGCGAAAGAAAGAAACATACACAACACTTATCAAGCGTGATAAAATAGAAAAGCATCCAACACATGGACCAAGAAGGTATATAGGCTTTAAGATGTTGACAAATACAGTCCTTATAAAGGAACAACACGTCGCATTTTTTTCATATTACAAATTTTACTTATATTAGTTATAATATAATATAATCTTTTGATGATTTGGCTATGGACATTCCCAGTAGCAGTAGCATTCGCGGATTGGCCAGAACAAGCTACACTTACCCCAAAAGTTGTCGCCACCATAGTCTTTGCACCGCCTGTCGCAATAGTCGCAGTTATCAATGTCTCGTTTGGCTGAACATGTTTTGTATAGTGGTCCTGATGACAATCATAATCAGTATAGGTTGTTGTTAGAATTTTTTTTAACAGGGGTTAAAAGGGAAATAAAGATAATTCATTGGTAATGGAAACTGTTAAAAAGAATTTTAACAGAAGGTCTTTAATTTGCCTACGTACCTCTTTCTAGTAACAAGCCAGCTTGGATGATGGAATGAGCAACTTGTTCACCGCTCGTCAGAGGCTTCGGATACAATCTGTTTCCTGCTAGCCACATGGGTTTGTTTGTGTTGTAGTTAAGGTTCTATCTTTAATCTAGGTTTATAACTGACACTAGAATATTACGACATCTTAATAATAATTACCAGTAACTGCGACAACGATGACAAAGAGAAGAGTGAAAATATAAGCAGACCTCAGAAAAGTGGTAGTCATCTTTCTTTTTCTTTTATTTTCGTAGTTCTATATGGAAAGGAATGAAGAACTCTCATCTCTTAAGAAGTGTTTTTATATATAGGAGAACCTCTATGCTTTTAGGGTCAACAGTCTGATTGTATATTAAACAAGTTTACAGTATAATACTCAATGTGTAACACATTTAGCTGTATAAATAAACGTACGTCAATCCATTTACACGATAATTGAACCCCACCCACTCAAGGTTCTCTTTTCTTTTTGTGAAAATTATTATTATTATATGATTATTTTTGTTTCCAATAGCACATTTTCTCAAAAGTGCAATTTTCAATTTTTTAAAGTTTTTAATAAGTTTAAATAATAAAAATTACTACCTCTATCCCATATTATAAGCAGATTTAGCAAAACAAAATTGTCCCAAATTAGCTGTTTTAATGCAATTTTTACTATTTATATTTTATTTATATATTAAATAATATTTTACATTTAAAAACTAATTTTCTTGGTTTTTGTATTTTACCTTAAATAGTTTATATAGTGGGACAGAGGGAATATATATTCATAAAAGAGAAAGAAGCCATAATTAATTAATAGTAGTATATAGGCGCCTAGTATATACTAACGTAAGCAAACACTTTTTAATCCGTGAGTGAATTTATACCTGTTGTACTCAATTTTAGTTTGTTAACTTTTATTACAAGTAATCAAATTTTATTTTTGAATTTTGTATTTTTCTAACAAGTTACCAAATACTCGCATGTGGAGGAGCAGATCCGCATATAAGACCAGATCCGCAAGCTATGGGGGTGATATAATATAGAAATCAAAAGAAGAAACTTGCGTGAGAAATATAAAACACACCCCATGTGGAGAGCACTAAGTTCCAAAAATGTATTGTGATTTTCATATGTCTATGTGTTACTGACTCATACACAAACTCAATAATCTCTAATATCACCTTCTACTCAGATATTCTCTCTCGGCAACTCTATGGATTTGGAGACGGAGTCGAAGCTGGTATCACTTATTACTCGCCTGATCTCAAGCGAAGACAATATAGATTCGGAGCCGATTATGCATTCGAAGGTCCAATTCCAATCATATGTTATTCAAATAATCTCTCTGCTCAGGTCAACGGATCTGGATTCGCAGCCCAACCCGGAGTCGTCGGAGTTCATGTCGCTCGTTACTCAAGCAATCTCCCTCTTCAACTCCATGGATGTGGATGCCCAGCCGAAGCCACTGGAGCTCATATCACTCATTTCTCTACTAATCTCTTCGCCGGACTCTAAAGACTCGGAGCAGATGCCGGACTTCATGTTACTCATTGAGAAAACATTGAATCTCGAGCCGGAGCCGGAGCTCGTTTCACTCATGCATCAGATATTCTCCCTCGTCGTGAATTCAAAGTGGAAGAAGAAACTTATTTGCTTGTCCCCTCAAATAGAAATAAGTTATCAATATGGAAAATTTCATATTGATGAAGTCGATTGGCGCTTCGGTAATAAGTGGAACTGTCTCCCTTTAAACTGGGAGAAATTCAGATTAACAGGAGAAGATGCTACCCATTTTCTTTGCCGAGGTTGCAATGGCCAGAGCCATAAAGAATATAACAAGGCCCTAGTTGAGATGAAACACACTCTTCATCGAAAACAACCTCTTCAGCTTGTCTTATTGTATGCGTTTGGTTCAACGAGGGAATGCTATTGCTGTGATGAAGATCTCAGAGGGGTAATTCTTTATTGCTCGACCTGCGATTTTGCTATGAATTTTTCTTGCGCGGGGAAAGAACCAGTGTTATCTATAGACCATCCTAAGTGACATGAGCACACACTTTCTTTGTTTCCAAGGCAGACCTCCTTAACTTGTAACCTCTGTTCCTTGGCCCATCCAAGCTCCCCTTTTTACATGTGTCCTTTTTGTGACTTTGTAGTCCATCTAAGATGTACCAGTTTACCCCATGTCATAAGGATATCTCGTCATCCCCATCGTCTCTCTTTTACCCATTCTTTCAACGAAGGAGATTGGTCTTGTGGTGTTTGTCGCACAAAGATCAACAACAATTATGGGGGCTATTCTTGCATCAAAGATAATTGTTCGTATGCGGCTCATTCAAGATGTGCCACACAGAGTAATGTTTGGGATGGTGAAGAACTTGAGGGAGTGCTAGAAGAAATAGAAGAAGAAGTAGTTGAGCCGTTTGTGAGGATAAGTGATGGAATCATACAACATTTCAGCCATCAACAACATCATTTGACCCTTGATAAGAACACGGGCAGAGACTACAATGACAATAAGCAGTGTCAAGCATGCGTCATGCCAATCTATTTTGGTAACTTCTATTCTTGTATTCAATGTGATTTCATTCTCCACGAAGAATGTGCTTATCTTTCTCGTAAAATACATCACCCGATACATCCACATCGGCTCACTCTGGTGGGAGAATATGATGGTGTTAAACACTTTGGTGATAGTACATGTGAAGCTTGTGTTAAGGTGTGTAAAGGTGGTTTCTTCTACATGTGCTGTAAAGAAGGATGTCATTTCATGCTTCACGTGCAGTGTGCCACAATTTCTGAGCCACTAATTCACGGAAGTCATACACATCCTTTATTCCTAACATCCAAACCAGGAGAAAGAAAAAGATGTTACTTCTGCAAAGAATATTACAGGGAAACATTCAATTGTCTTGAGTGTGACTTTGTTTTGTGTTTTGCATGTGCTATTGTACCTCAAAAGGTGAGGTATAAGCATGATAAGCACACGCTCACTCTTTCTAACGGGAAGGAGACAAGTACTATGGAGTATTGGTGTGAAGGTTGCGAAAAAAAAATAGATAAGAGAAAACGGTTTTATATGTGTGATGGGTACTGTTGTGTCACCCTTCACACTGAATGCCTCCTTGGATGTAACTTATACATGAAGCCTTATTCAACATGGTTCTTCCTCAATAGAAAGATAGATGTTCTGCCCAACAATCATCATATGTCTCGACCTATATGCAACTATTGTAAGGCGTATTGTCCACACAAAATAGTTATTCGGTGCTCTGAATTAATATACTGTAGCACAGAGTGTGTAGGTTGTGGTGAACTGTTAGGCCATTGAATCGATACGTGAGGAGGATTAAAAGAACAGAACGAATGAGTCGTGAGCAAGGAGGAGCTGAGCTGGACTCGACGGTTGAGCTGGACAAATAGAGGCTCAGTATATTTCTGCATTAGTATAAATAATGAATTGTTGCTTTCATTTGGATTATCGAGATATTTTAGTAAGAGTGAGTTTGTTGGTGAGATTGATCAGTGAGCCTATTCTCGATCTAGGAGAGTTAGTTGCTCGACCATCGGAGAGTCTCCGTCGTCGATCAACTCTGTATCCCTTTGTTAATTGAATATACAGATCCATTCTCTATAACATGGACATATATAGCTTGATGGCCATTGCTTTTGCTTAAGAGATAGTAGATTTTATCCAAGGAAAGAAATGTTTAATTATTTGTTCGATGTTTAGTTTTTGTGGAGGTGGAAATTTGAGACATGTTAACCGTTTATTTTTGGTATGGTTGTATTACATATAGTTGACTAAATTATAATTCGATCTGTCTTCAGGGCGGTTGACATTTGTTGATTAGTTTTCAACTTTACTTCTAGGTGTAATAAGGCCTTTAATTTTCGATTCAGGGTGCTATAAGATACCTTTGAGGGAAAAATAGCTCGTCAAATCTATATTACCAAAGTGCACTAATGTTTTCCATAACTCATCTTGACAAAACTCCAGAGTTAGAGAAATTTAAGAATGTGTTACGTTGAAAAGTGATTTTTGTGTGAGTGAAGCCAAATTAAGCACGAGAAAATTCTCATGCTGATCTGTAGGATCAACAAACAAGCTTTTAAAACCTCCCAAAGTAGCTTATCAACCGTCACGAGGGTGGACCTCACAAAATGAGAAATACGCGTGAGCCCTGGGAACGATGGCGGTCAAGTGATTTCACAAAGCTCACTCTTCAGCTCATCGAAGAATAACATAACAAGTTAACTCAAGCAGACAAAAAACGTACACAACAAAATAAAAAGGATTCAAAACATGGAGCAAGGGCTGAAGTACACTCTTTCAGAGAAAAAAAAAAAAAAAAAAAAAAGTACTGAAGTACATAGGGCTTTCGGATACGGAGAAACACACTCCTTACAAACGAACAACACGCCGCATTACATTTCATTTATATATTTATTTGTAATAATATCTTAAATGCGCTTCTGGTGATTTGGCTGGCTAACTAAGGGCAATTAAAGTAGCACCAGCAGTTAAAGGATGGACACGACCCACTACATTTGCCATAAAACGTTTGACCAAAATGTTTGCAGTCACTGTCGCAATAGTCGCAGTTAATAACGTTTATTTTGAACGCACATGTTTTGTATAGTGGTCCTGGTGACAATCATAAAGAGCAAGTTATTGCTAAAAACATATAACAAAGCGGATTTAATTTTTCTTCCATTGATCAAAACGAAAAAAAAAATTGATTCATTTGGTAATAGAAGAAGAGTATGTAAGAAACTGGTAAAAAATAAAATTTAACAGAAATATTTTTTGCCCACCTTTAAATTGGAGGATGGAATCTTGCTGATCGGCTTTGGTGTAGCTACCCTCAACTTGTTCACCACTCAATTGAGGCTTCAGATACAATCTGTTTCCTGCGACCCATAAGGGTAATTCAGGTTCTTTAATCTTTAAGTAAGGTCTATAACTTGCATTTTTAATATTATAAAATCTTAGTAATTACCAGAAACTGCAAAGACGATGGGAAAGAGAAGAGTGAGGATATTAAGCAGACCTCAACAAATTGTTCGTCATCCTTCTTTTGTATTTTGATTTATTTTCGTAGTTGATCTTGAGGGGAATGAGAAACTCTCCACTCTTAAGGAGTTTCTTTATAGATCTCGTATGCCAACTTTGATACAGTATTTTACCAAAAAAAAAAAAAAAATCTTTGATACAGTATAAAACTCCATGTATATATATTATTGTATATACATTCAATTGTATATATAATTCTACGTCAACTCTTTAACACAATAATGGTACCCTCAAACGTATAAGTTAAAATAAGAGAAGCTTATCTTTTCTGGCAAACAAGAAGATGATGTTGAAAAAACTAAGTGCTTGTGAATTAGATGCCAGGTAATGGAAGTTGAAAGCAGATAACTACGTTGTTAAAGATTTCTCTTTCTATGAATATTATAAATAACACATGAGTATTAGAAGTTGACAGCAGGTAAATAGATATAGATAAATGTACTCGTGCTTTCCAGACTTAACACAGATTAGAGGCAGCTTCCGTTGTTTCTTGGTCAAGACGCAACCAACATAACTTCTTTGTTTCAACTCTGATTGGGACACCATCTGCTTCTATGTCTTCTACCAAACGATCTCTATTTCATAACTACCAATATTATCGTTCATACCTGATCAGAATGTTCCCCTCAAAACTCCAACTCGGATATGCTTCTTCTTCATCTATGGTTTGCGTCAAATAGTGGAAACGATAATAAGCTTGCTGGGCCTAGAGGAAATTGAAACAAAAATCTGGCCCATATTTTCGAGATTCGGTCCGTTACAATTTCTGTCCAGTTGGCAAAATTAAGATTTCCAAGAAATTCATCATGTCAATAATAGACAACGATTCCGAGATAATAAACAAGGATTCCGAGAGAGATCGTGTTGGTTAGGGTTTCCAGGTTTAGGGAGGTTGTACGGACACTGCCACTGCCTCTTGGTTTGAAGCTCCAACACACTTTTTCATCCATGCAGAGTCGGCGACGTAACTCTGCTTTTAAGCTACGTACTTGCATACTCTAATGAGCTTTTGGATGGGAAACCGCTCTATGCTTCTTCTAATTGTCTTCCCGTGAAGGCTTTGAACCGTGAACCTGCTGGTCATGCGTTCCATGCTGCTGCTCTCGAACTGCGTGGTTGGGCAAAGGAAACCACAGACAAGAAGGAAGAAGACTTCGATACGAATGTTGGGAACGAGAAGGATCATAAGGAATATATTCCTTCCTATGACTCGTATAACAACAAGGCAAAGAAGAAGTCTGGGAAGCAACAACATGATCACTATGCTTTGTTGGGTTTGGGCAATTTAAGATATCTTGCAACAGAGGATTAGATTAGGAAGAGCTACCGTGAAGCTGCTCTGACGCATCACCCTCATAAACTTGCTACGCTCCTTCTCGCCGAGGAGACAGAAGAAGCCAAGCAAACCAAGAAGGATGCGATTGAATCTCACTTCAAGTTGATTCAAGAATCGTATGAGGTTTTGATGGACCCAACAAAAAGAAGAATTTTTGACTCTAGAGATGAGTTTGATGACGAAGTCCCAATTTATTAGTATTTTTTTTTTTTTTTTAAGAAACTTGTTTTAATTTATATGTTTTGCCCTTCCATTAGTGATACTTGGGTATCTTAAGAAAAGAAACATGAAAAACTCAAACTAACATTATAACTTAAAATCTCAAACTAACACAATTGCATGCAAACTCACACGAGGTGCAAGAACACTATTCCTCAATTTCCCTGATACCTCCTCTATGTTGAACCACCACCAATCTGGTCTATATCATTCAGATATGATCAGAATCCTCCTCTCAAAACCTCAACCAGAAACTGCAAGCAAATACAAAAAAACTGCAATTTTCTGAAAACAGAATACATTAAATTTTCGTCATCTTTAAAACTGATTTGCGGATAGAATTTACCTTGGATTTAAGAAGGGAAAGAAGATCTGGAAAGCTGAATTCGAGATCTTCGAAACCGTATGTAGATCGAGTACTGGTTCCTTAATGATCGTTAGGAAATCTCTTCACAAAATCTTAAATCTTAAAACTTTGACAGATTTGACTTCTCAAAACCAAATGAACATATCTCTCAAAATATACCTCTGGTTACTGTCATCTTGGATGTTATGGAGAGATGAGAAGGAGATCTTTCCAACGCTTCCAATATCAGCCGCTAAGTCTTCTCGGATCATTGGTAAATCGCCCTGAAAGATCTGTATATGATCATGTGTTTCTGTTTTTCTTATTTCGCTTCACAGTCTTCACCACAGGCTAGATGATCCACAAATCCAAAAATTGAATCTAAGACTAACGAAACATCAAGGCAATCGACATAAAATGAATCTAGATGATCAACAATCCAACAATATCACAAAAACTTATAGTTGACACGGGGGTGACAAAAAGATAACAATGTTACGCTTATAGAAAACAAGAGAACGAAAGAAAAAAATCGAGTTACAACAACAATCAATTTACTTATTATGAACAAAAGTTTTTCACTACTTTTTACAACAATCTATATGGAAGAAACAATTATTTGTAATAATAACCTCAAGCTATACCACAAACAATCAAAACCAAACCGAGGGAGGGTTCAAATGTTCAAAGAATCATTCATTATGATTTTCGTTTGGATCTGTATTTTGGTATAAGTTTTCTTCCCACCCGTTTGTAAATTTGTAATCCAATGAAAAAAAGTTCGTCGGTGGCCTCATTCTCTTTTTCCCCAGTATGAATAAATAATAACAATAAACAAATTTATTTATTTAGTAATTAAAGCTGTCAAGTGTCATCTATCTTTTTGAGTTTCCTTGTCTCTCCCTCTGAATTTCCTTGTCTCTCTCCCTCTGAGTTTCCTTGTTTACACATTTGCTCTTCTTCTTTCTTTCCATATTTACAACGATCCCAAATGCACGTGTTCAATAACCACATGACATGGTCATCATGATCATGATGTCCATACTAACATAATCGCGTAATGAAAAATATATATATGAATACAAGAATTGATAAAGTCCGGAATGAAATACAAAAGGTAACGAGTACACTTTCTCATTTCGACGTATTTGAACAAGATTAGAAAGAGAAAGTTATCAAGTTCAAAGTTTTTTAATTAGTATGATTATGAGAAAAAAAAATCTTATGATTGTCTTTAGATTTTGGTTGCTTCGGAGTTGATAGGTCCAGTGTAAAACTAACGATTTAATTTGTTGAATGATCGAATATTAAACTAGTCTATGTAGTTTTCGCAATAGTTTGCATCTTTTTAAAAAAATTTATAGAGTTTGTGTAATACATTTAAATTTTAAAATGGTATATATAAAAATATTATTATAACTCCAAGATGAGGGGAAAAAGGGCATAGTCGGAACGCAGAAAAGTGGGAGGAGATGGCAAATAAAATAGGAGAAGAATCACACGTTCCCTTCTTCCTCTTGGCTTCAACTTCTACAAAACCTCATGGGCTATTTATTTTAGCATTTATCTTCCATAATTTCCAGCATTTATCTGTTCCTACATAATAATAAATATTCCAATTTGTTTCTATAAGTTTTTGACAAAATATTTAATTTTCCTTCTTCTCTCCTCAGCGTTTTACCAACCAAAATAAAAAGAGGGCAAAGGTGGTAGATGCATGAGCCTCAAACACCACCACAACCCTCAATACAATAAACTCTTTCTCTTCTCTCTCTCCTTTTGTTTCTTCAAATAATATCCAGAACTACATAAGACCTTGTTGTCACTTACCACCTTCTTCCTTCTCTGTCTTCAAGGTATCGCAATTGGTCCCTTTCTTACTCAAATTTTCCTTTTTTTACCTGAAGTAAATTTCTCTGTTTTTTCCCTGAACCGGTCTCTGTTCTTTGTTCACCTCAAGCTTTGAATTTGATGCAATGGGTTTGCTTCTGATGTGTATTTATACAATGGGTTTGCTTTTGATGAGAATTTATACAATGGGTCTGTTTAGTTTTGTGCTTTGTTCATGTTGGTGGTTGATTCTGTTTCTGCAGAGACTAATCCTGAAATTCGTCATCTTCTGTTTGTTTTCTTGTGGATTAGACTCTTCTTCTTGAAGGTTTTTCTTTTTTCGCCGCGTTGTTTAACTGTTTTGTGAATCCATGAAAAAGGTGGTGGTGGTTGGTTTGGTCTCTCATTGAGGGGTTGACTTAGATTTGGATTAAAGAAAGTCTTCTGCCTTTATAAAAGTTGCTTCCTTTTTTCATTGATTAGTCAAAAATTCCCCCTTTTTATCCACAATTCAGTCTCAACTGCAAACAGCATCGAACAGAGATTCAAATCGATTCTTGATGGTTTTGATGATAGTTCTCTTGACTTTTTGATCTTGTTGTTAACTTTTGTGTTTGTGGTCTCAATACATCAGACATATTGTTAATGAGGCTTAAGTTGGCCTATTTGTGAAAATCATACTTAATTCCTCTCAATACTCTCTAGCATTCCTCTATGGAACTATGTTTCTGTGAGCTTAATCGATTTTTTTTTGCTCTGGTGTTCATAGGAGAGAAGCAAAACATTTCAAAACTCAATATGGTGAGCTTAAGAAGGCGCAGGCTATTGGGACTTTGTTGTGGTAAAGCAATGTTCTTGACCATACTAAAAGGTCCAACCATTAGCATATAATGCAAAGTTATCAACTAGTTTTCAAATCATTGCAGGACCAAACGGTTATGTGACACCACTTCCTTTTCTAACTGCTGAGGAGATGATCACTGGGATTCCAAATCCTAATGCTGCAGGAGCTTTTAATCTCGAGCAAGTAGAAACATCTCAACAGCCTAAAGAGGAGGTAAGACGAACGTTTTATTTTACCTACATATTTATTCGCCAACTGTATATATAAGTTACTCTCAACTCTCTGCTTGTACTCTTTTGCTATTCTTGATTCACGTCCTGCTTTAGGCTGCTTGAGACGGATTTGAGTGACAATGGAGGCTTACTTCTTTTGATTTGGCAGGAAACACCTGTAGAAGAAGCGTCACGATCCCAGAGCCAAAGAACTCGGTCAAAACATATGCATTTCGGGTCAGATTTCTTAGATATCTCACCGGATGATTCTGGTTCCATTTCAGGTCTGATTTCTCCCACCTACTAAAGAATCAGTTAAGCTTGTACAGTGTGTAAGATGAGTAAGAATTGACAACTTATTTCATATTTTCTTATCTCCTGTTTTCAGACCAGCCTCTGAAACGACGAAAGCGGCATAGAAGGAAGCAAGTACAAAACCAAGAACCATGTTTGATGAGAGGAGTGTACTACAAGAACATGAAATGGCAAGCCGCAATCAAAGTGGAGAAGCGACAGATCCACTTGGGAACTTTCTCTACTCAAGAAGAGGCTGCTCGTTTATACGATAGGTAAACTTCAGATTCTTGAATGTTTTTTTTTTCAATAAGTAATCATCAATTTCATTAACGGTTATTACCTCTACTAGAGCTGCTTTCATGTGTGGAAGGGAACCAAACTTTGAGCTCTCGGAAGAGGATAAACAAGAACTCAAACGACAAAGCTGGGAAGAGTTCTTGACTTGCACACGCCGCAAAATTACTAACAAACGTAAGGTTTTAGTTTTAGTAGTAACAAACTTTTAAAGCAACCATAATGTGACGAACTTTTGCTTGGCTCTCACAGGACCTAAGAGAAGGACAGAACAAGAGGAACCTGATGATAAAGAGATCAATGCGAGTTCTTCGTCATGAAGAAGGAGAAGAAGAACAATACTCACACATTGTGGCTATTGATTGGTGCAGAAGATACAACCTCCCTATAAATTTAGGCAGAGGGTAAAAGACTCAAATACATAGAAATATGTTGAACATAAGAAGCTCAACAGATATTTTCAAAAGTTAATAGAATTTTTTTTGTAGTTATATTGATACAGACAGGATTTGGCATAGGAAAAAAAATACTCAAGGGGTAACGTAAAAAGCTTGAGATACATAAGAGATTTATAAAAATATGATAGTATAGTTTTGCATAAGTTTTGAGCCGTTAGAGAAGAAGGATGTATATTTTTGCTTATTTTGAACTGTAAAACATAATTAAAGTACAAATGAAAGACGTATACTTTTGCTTAGTAATAGAAATGTTATGCTTCATACTCTTTAACTATGGCATGTTACTTGACGAGTCAATAGGACTAGGCATGATAATTTAACGGTAGTTTAGATCACACTATTCGAATGGTAAGAATTGGATTCGGGGTTGTATATTTAAGATTTTGACAGGTAATCTTAAATAACATTAAACCCTTTTACAAAAAAAAAATATATAATTTAATAACACTGAGGTCATGTGAGAAAAAAAACGATTTTTTTCCTTGAAATATTTAATAATAGTGACAATTATTTTCATAATTTATATATATATATATATATTTTTTTTTTTTGTAAAAAGATATTTCATAATTTATATTGAAACCCTATTTTTATTTTTTCCTGATAAAATATCTTATTTAAACATTAAATATTAAATTTATAAATAAGTAATCTGCAAAAAAATCTAGAAAATGTGATGTGACAAGATTTTACTGTAAAAAAGTTATGAAAAATTATCTCTTCTACTAATACAATTCAACACAATCTTCCAAATATTTATGATAATAATAGATAACTTTTTTGATTATCAGATCTTATCCCACATGTTGATGTTCTACATTATCATTTTCTAAGATAACAATAAATATGCTACTAACTTAATAATTAAGCTTTTTTCTTATGTCAGCTATAAATTTCGACTTAATTAGCACAATAACCTTTCACAACTTAATTTCAACACCAATAGTTCTATACTTCTATTTGTTTTATCTAATTTTTTTTTCTTTCGCTTAGCTATCTACTACTAGAAAAATGAAGAATGTTATGCAGTTTCTCTCTGTACTCTTCTTCTTAGTGCTATTTCTTACAGCACCAGGTATGTAAATTTAATTTTTCAAAATATTAAGCTATAGTTTGCTTCTTTTATGTAATTTACTACATTGTATTTTTTATGAATAGACTACTTATTTTACAATTTGATGATAATGATATAACTATATTTACAACGCAATTCTCGTAGTTTGCAATTGATATATGCAGCTAGGTAAATATTTTATCTAATATTAAAATCACATTATTATTTTTAAAATTATAGTTTATAAAAAGTTTAGCATTACAAAATTGAATAGGTTTCTTAGTTTTGATTAGATAACACTCATGTGGTGTCATTGTGATGAACTCAGAAATTTGTTTATGGCTAATTACGCTTTACATATTATTTTAGGCGTTGAATTTAATTAAAAGATCTTTACAAGATAGTTTTTCTCATTATCTATTATACTTATCGTGAAAAACATGAATTTTTATTGAATAACACAAATGATATTAATTTATAGAAATGAAGGTGGTTCAAGGACAACAAATGTGTGAAACAAGAAGTTTAAATTTTAAAGGAATGTGTACGAAGTGGAGAACTTGCAAACAAGTGTGTATTAGTGAAGGTTTCCCTGATGGTCAGTGTAGAGGATTTGGTCGTTACTGCAGTTGCATGAAGCCTTGTCTTGTTTCGACTCAAACTACAGATTAATAAAATATTTATGTATCTAAATTAAATGAAAGGGTAAAATATAATTCTTTTGTCAAGTAAAATATTGTTTTTTTGAATAAAATATAATTCATGTACTAAAAACTCAACTTTAAGATTATGGTTACTAGATTTGATCAATATTGCATATTTGCATGTGCATTTGTTTTCATCTAACTAAGATATAAAATTCAACCGCATTAATGATCAACTAGTAGAGTACCCGCACGTTTGTGCGGTGTGACGTTGTTGTTTTGTGTAGAAAATTTAAACCCTAAATCCGAACCCGACAAAAAACCCTAATCAAAAAATTTAAAAACCCAAACTTTTTTAATAGGTCTAAACATGAAAATCCGAAATCAAAAAAATCCCGAAAACCCTGACTGAACAAAAAAAATCTGGAAACTTTTTCACCCGGAACCCGACCCCAATACCTAATCAAAATTTTAAAATACTCAATTTTTTTAATATATCTAAACCCGAAAACCAGAAATCTAAAAAATCCGGAAAACCCTAAACTGAAAAAAAAAATTGAACCTAACCCGAACAGAAATTTTCAAAGAAACCCGAACAATTTCTATATCTCTATATATATCTCTATAAAATTATGTCTCAGATTTTCACCCAAACCCGAACTTGTCTATAAAAACCCGAAAATCCAAAAAGCATATTCTATTGATTTGGAATTATCGTTAGATTATGTTAAGTTTTTTTTTTGCAGATTTTTAAGAGATGGAAAACGGAAGTTTTCTAAACCATCGGTTTATTTTAAGTTATTATTCTTGTATCCAAACAATTTTTTCCATTTATTCTTCTATCCAAATAGATTTTTCTCTTATTCTTATATCCAAACAACTTTTGTTTCCATTTATTCTTCTATCCAAATAGATGTTTCTCTAATTCTTGTATCCAAACATTAGAATGTACTTCTCAATTAATAATATAAAAAGATATATCATTATTTAAAATTCATATTAGCCGATTCATCAATCTACGGAGATTCATGATTTTGATTAAAAATAAGATCGAATAAAATAAGAAGAAGACATATAAAATGAGATTGAATACAATAAAAACAACTCCAAAAAATTAAGATTATTCTATTTTTTGCTCTGTTATTTTAGAGCTTCTTTTGGGCTATTTTGTTAATTTATAAAGATCATGTGCGAAATCCGAATTTGGAACATCTTACAAGCTGATTACGCAATTAAAACTATTATTTATCAAGTCCGGTTCGGATCGGGTATTGGGTTCGGTTTTCTGTTCAGGGTCAACCAAACCCGAATCACCATTGCAACAGCTTAGTGAAATTCTTCGACTCACGAAGCTTTGAGAAGAAAAGGGACTCGCGAAGTTACGAAGCGACTAAAAATGGAATCGGACGATACCAAACAAAATCCAATTCAGCCTCCGCCGCCGCCGATCCAGGAGCCTCCTTCGTTATCGGAGAGTTTATTGATCCCCACCATTCTCGCAGGTTCACATGTCAACACTTTCTCTGTAACTTTCGCTGTCTCGCCTAAGATAACGAAATGATTCGAATGATTCGAATCTCTACTCGATCAGGATCGATTATCATATATGAGCTATTGCTGCTTTAGATTTTTCAAATAATTTTCCAGAATCGTAACTTTTAGGTACCCAAAATCGTCACTTTAAAAGCTCCTTGATCGATTGATTGTAGTTCTTTAACTGTGTTTAGGATTTTTCTCTACTAACAGAAATTTTGTCTTGGATCGATAAAAATCTAAGCTTTATGATAATCTTTTGGTGGTTTTAGAGGATTGTAACTTCTGCATTCATAGAGTCTTGACATTTCTGGGTTTATCGGATGCAGGAGTAAGTGGAGGAGGAGCTGGATTACTGTCAAAACATAGGAAAGCTCATCCGAATATACCGTTTACTTACGCTACTAATTTCGCCATTGTTGCTGCTTGCTATTGCGGTAATACTAATAACAACTCTCTGCATTTGATGATTCCATTTGTATCTAGAAGAAGTGAGACTGTCATTCTCATTAGAACTTTTTTTTTTATCGTTTTTTGTAGGAGTTCGTGAATTGGTGAGAGTCACTAGAAAATCAGAACACAACGACTTGATGAATTCAGCTATTGGTGGTCTTTTCAGTGGTGCTTTATTAGGACGACTTCAAGGTTTGTTTATTTGTTTTCATGTCTTCATCGTAGTCATTGTATGTTTTGAGGCTATAGTACTGAGCTTGGAGCTAACATTTTAGTATTCTTTGTGGTGGTGTTTGCAGGGGGACATCGTGGTGCGTTTCGATACTCTATAGCATTTGCTGCTTTGGGGACAGCGTATGATTACGGTAGCCTTAGAGCGAAGCCTATGTTAGAGAAAGTGCGTAACATGGACTCAATCACGTTACCTGTGTGGTTTCCGATACAGATCCTAGACGAAGAAGCCCTTGCAAAGAAGAAAGCTCAGGAACAGAAACTCTTCCCAAGATTGAACAAAGAAGAATCTTGACATTCTCAATAAAACTACGGTTTTTGTTTTTTTCTTTGGTTATGGAATTTTATACCATTTTGAGAAGCTGTTTTTGTGGCTGGTATGGAAATTTTTACTCTGGGTTTGTTGTTTCGTGAACGTAATTACTGAGTTTAAGATGTGACATTGAGGAGGAAGTTTGACATTTTTGGTTTCTTTGTACACAAGAAAATCTTGGGTGGAGCAGAGTAGTTGTTCTGGTGACCTACAAAGGTTTCTTATATATGACTGATACGATTGCTTCTCGAATTCGTGTATTGGTTTATTGGGGTTGAACATTATTCATTTACCGCTAGATGCAATATTTGTTAAATGCAACAACCTTTTTGGGACCAAATGGATCGACTATATCATCTATGTACAGATATATTGATATATATATATATATATATATACCTCTACAAAAAAAGTATTTAGTCCATTTGCTTCATCGTCATATAAATTTTTTTCCCTTAATTTCTGATAATTTTACTTAAGTTCTATAGTAACATAGTGTATGTGTATTAAAAAAAAAATCATAGTTGTCGTCCGTGTAAATTTTAATACACATACACTAGCTTTGATTGGTGACACTACAAATAGTAAATGCATTACAAAAAATTGAAGCATTTTAATAGTAGAGTTGTACAAACTATTGTGTTACAAAACATTCATATTATGGGCTTTTCAGTGTACCACTACTTTTTTAGTTGTACCATCATTTTTTAGTGGTTTGTAACATTGTTTTTGTAATACTACTTTTGTACTGCTAGTTTGTAACGTCTGAGTGATTAGTTACATATGCTAGCAATCAAAGCCATGAAAAATTGCATTAAATATAGTAATAAAGACGCCGGTGAGGGGAAGATCACGTGGGAAATCAAAACAGAGGCTTCTTATTCAACACCACACATGCCTACTTTCTAAAGTCTTTGCCAATTGGCCAAACAATCAAACTCAAAAATGGCAATCTCGTAATTTTCAGTTCCACTGAGCCTCGGTCCCATCGAACCACAACTGATACAAAATCTCACAAATCCCCCTGATTCTTCTCCGTAAACCAAAAACCTTTTTCGAATTTTACTCAGAGAAATGTTGAAGCTTTCGTGTAATTTAACGAACCACTCACACACATTCTTCTCCGATTCTCGTCTCTTCCCTCCGGTGAATCGCCGTACAGTCGCCGTCGTCTCGTGTTCTCAGCTGCGGAAGACGGATTTAGATTCTCTGCGTGCTGTTCTCTCCGCCGATCAGGGAAGCCTGAGTCCGGTTAAGTCCGGTACACCGGCGGATCGATTCCGGTCTGGTCGATTGATGGAAGATGGTTATTCGTATAAAGAGAAGTTCATTGTAAGAAGCTACGAAGTTGGGATTAACAAAACCGCCACCGTCGAGACAATTGCTAATCTCTTACAGGTCTGATTTTTTTTTTTCTTCTTCTCGAACTCACAGATTACATTTTGTGTGTTTTCAGTTGAAAAATACCAAACTTGTGCGGCTCTGGAATCTTGTAATAGAAAGATAATTGTCATGATTCGGTTTCTTCCGAAACATTGCATGTGTTGCCTTGTCTTGTCTGTGGATTGTTTTTAGCCTTTGTAATGTTATTTTAGTCCTGTGATTGATGTTCAACATTAATTGTGTAGGAGGTGGCGTGTAACCATGTACAGAACGTTGGATTCTCGACGGATGGGTTCGCTACAACACTCACGATGAGGAAATTGCATCTCATATGGGTCACTGCAAGAATGCACATTGAAATCTACAAATATCCAGCTTGGTAAATTCTTTTATTTTCTTAAGCTTTTTGAGTAGTTGAGAATTTGTGTGTTTGGAGTTTTGAAACATTTCAGCTTTCTTTTTCTTGTTTTGGTTAAACAGGAGTGATGTGGTTGAGATAGAGACATGGTGTCAGAGTGAAGGAAGGATTGGAACAAGACGTGATTGGATTCTTAAGGACTGTGCCACTGGTGAAGTTATTGGACGTGCTACAAGGTTTGCTCTGTTCATTTGTTTTGTATGGATTAGTGTTAGTCTTATGGATTTATTCCTGAACAATATGTTGCAATGATCTCTTCAGCAAGTGGGTAATGATGAACCAAGACACGAGGCGGCTTCAAAGATTTACAGATGAAGTTCGAGACGAGTACATGGTCTTCTGTCCTCAAGAACCAAGGTGAAGAAGAAGAATCATGGTTTTACTTTTAAAAAATAGTTAAATTAGCCACTTATCAATCTCAACTACTTCTTCACTGTGTGTTTGTTTAGACTGGCGTTTCCAGAGGAGAACAATAACAGCTTAAAGAAAATCCCAAAACTTGAAGATCCAGCTCAGTACTCTATGCTTGGGCTTAAGCCTAGACGAGCTGATCTCGACATGAACCAGCATGTCAATAATGTCACCTACATTGGATGGGTCCTTGAGGTTAGTTAACTAAGTGTAATATGCCACTAAACCCCAAGTCATTGAAACTTATAAATTTGTGGTTGGTCTCTGGTATTTTGGCAGAGCATACCTCAAGAAATCATAGACACGCACGAGCTTAAAGTGATAACTCTAGATTACAGAAGAGAATGTCAGCAAGATGACATTGTAGATTCGCTCACCACCTCTGAAATCCCCGACGAGACGGTCTCAAAGCTTACCGGGATCAACGGGTCTGCCACGTCAAGCAAACAAGAACACAGTGAGAGCCATTTCTTGCATATCCTGAGGTTGTCAGAAAACGGTCAGGAGATCAATCGTGGGAGAACACAATGGAGAAAGAAAACCTCAAGATGAGTTTCTTATCACTTCTTCTCCACTCTCAGTGAAGTTTTTTCGCTTCACGTTTGTAGTTTTATTGTACCTTGATTCTTGATCAGATCTCTTTTTGGGGGTTAGATTAAATAATTGGATTATTGGAGTAGTGTCACGTTTGTTTTCTTCATTTTCTGTCCAAATTTTGGGCTCTAAGCCAAAACATTTCTTAGATTCTTTAATCTTTCCCTGCTTGTATCTTAATCATAAACTTTTACAATTTATTATATAAGTTGAGTTTCTCTGATTAAACTTGTTACATGATTTGAGTTTTTGACATAGAGATAGTTGAGTTATGTTTCAGAGTTTCTCAGTTAATGCAATCATGTAAGAAGTAACTGTCTTAGCATCTAAGATGATCCATGAAGATGATCATAAGTAACTGTGTTAGCTTCTTTCTCTCTCAAAGCATCCATTAGAAAGAAACTTTATAGCTGTAACATAGTGGTTTAATGTCGAAAATCTAAGCCAATATGACCTGAGACTCAGTTCATATTTTATCCAAATCTGAAAATGGTATTAGAGTCATTATTTCACTCCTGTAGACAAAATAAGGTGAGGACTTGAGAAATATTACAAAAACTCTATATATAGTAACGTTTTCTTAGCACTGATGCCGTGGAGTCGAATACTTTCTTCATCCAAAGACTGTTCATCCACAAAAATCGACAATCTTTGTCCATTCTTGACGCTGATTCTCTTGATACTATTACAAATCTCAAATTTCCATTCATTTTCTTCCCCATGAGAAGCAGCAAAACTATCAATAGCAGAAAACATAAAAAATAGTCTTAAAAGACTACTAAAAATGTTACTTGTTCTATACCGAATCGAAACAAAAACGAACTAAACGTATATAACAAAGTTACATTTAGTTATAACAATGTTAACTGTAATTAATTCTTTCTTTCTATTTCGTTTTTTTATTATTCGGTTTTAGTTCGCACCTACTCATTAGAAAGAGAGAAAAACTGAATGAATCTATTACCTTAGTTTGGTCTGAAGGGTTTCGGTCAGTAGAGTGAGTTGGAGTTCTTGAAGAGCCAATCACATTAGAGGAAGATGTCCTCTCTTGTCTCACTTGATTGAAGATGTTTGTGTATCCATCAGCCGATGAAGAATTACTTTCATCCCAATCACCAAATTTTGGTAGAACCGCTCCTTTCTCTGGCTATATATACATGTAGAAAAATCATATGTTTAGCAAAAGCACATTCAAGTAATTAAATAGTCTAAAATCTCCGGTTAATAAAAGATAATAATTAAGATCTTACACTTTCATCGCCTTTGTGATTGGATCTAGGCTTGGATCTTCCAGTGCCATCAGAAGAATTCTTGTTACCATCCGAGAGAGGTGAGGCCTTAGCATGACTATGCAATGGAGACTTTTCATAACTGTTGTTCTGAGAAACAGTCTTGCCTTGTCTTTTACTCTCGCTGGTCTTAACCGGTTCTTCTTGATCTGGTTTAGAGTACAAATCAGAGGGTTCTTCTTCTTCAGGTTCGTTAGGATTTGTCATCTTGCCACCAGATGTTCGGACCTTTCGAGCTTTCTCAAAGTAAGCTGTGTAAGGAACATCCTCCTCATTCTCCCAGTTTCCGAATTTGGGAACATTATTTGAGCTCTGTTGTATTAATTAACAGATCAGCACAAAGCAAACTCACAGAAACAAGAAGAACAAAAGAAAAGAAAAACAATGCAAGAACAAGAAGGAAAACTTACTGCCATGGGCACAATACGTGGAAGCTGGGAAAGAAGTAGCAAGAATTCAAATCTAGAGACTATTAAAGTAAGAGAAGAAAAACAAATAATAAATTAGAGAAAGAGAGAGAGAGAGAGTAGGGGTTTGCTTGCTTGAGAGGTGAAGAAGACGAAGACTAAGACTAAAGAGGAAGACTTAGACGAAGAAGAGGAAGTGTAGGGTAGGCTCAGAAAGAGATGGGAGAGAGAGAGAAGATTTATCAACCGTTGACAGATACTACTTGTAAATATTTTATTCACTGATTTTCACGAGCTCTTCCAAATTGATATATTATATAGAGTTTATTACTATTAGGACCTCTTTGCACCAAATCATAAGACTTTGTAAAACCAAAAAATCATTGACTGCCCTCTGTTACACAGCTTTACTCTTCTCATCTGCATCTTTCTTCTTCTCAGTTTCTTCATCTTTCTTCTTTCTTGTACCGAGCAACATACTTCTGGTACTCCTCAAGCTCCTTCTCCAACTTCTCTATGAACTCACTCGTATGTTCAAGCGACTGCTCATACCTATATTTCTCCAAAGCCTGTCCTTTCATTTCACTTTCGTCAGAAACGTAAAACAAACAAACACACCAAACATAAAGTATCTGGATGATTCATCATTCATACCTTATCTTTAGAGAGTGTATCAACAGGAGACATCACTTCCGGCCTCACATAGTTTTTCCCACGGTACAATACAATGGTGTTGTGAGGTTTCACATCGATCACAATCCCTTTGCTTAGTCTAGCAAGCTCTTCTGCATACTCATGAATCTGCCCTGGTTTGTTGCAGGGCTTGCAGATAACTTTAACAGTCTCGTGATTCTTCCAGTGGAGGTGCATATTCAGAACCACGCCTCCAAACACTCCTCGTCTTCCCACAAGGACAAAGTTCTTTCTCTTTTCTCCTGTGCGTTTAAGGTAATGCTGCTCTTCCTCTGTCAGAGTTTCTGGATCATAAGGCTCCGCTGGTGATTTTGGCACATCGTATTTCCTCAGTTTCTCAATCAACCACTCTTCTTTCCTCTTGGCCTGTAGATAAATAGATTGGCAGAGAGGAGAAACACACAAAGTCAAGATCTTGGTTACATTTCAGAGCTACTAACATGTTTCATTGACTAAACACATCATGCAAAGATTCACAGTAATGGACTTTCTTGAGATTCTTGAATAAACAACATCATGAACACACAATGAAAAAGATCTAGCCTTTCGAAGAAAACATAACTAAATTGGAGTTGAGTAAAAAGAAAAGACGAGCAAAAAAAAAAAAAAGATGTAACCTTTTCAAGCTTGTATCGAATGCGAACTTCAGGGTTTGGAGAATTCATCTTCTTCTTGGCCTTAAGACGGTAGAATCTCAACTCATTCACTTTAGCCTTTCTGGACGATTTTGCCCGTTTCCATTTCTTCTCTGTTCTCATAGGCACACTTCTATTCTCAGTGACGTTGTTGAAAGCAAACCTCACCACATTTTCACATGTTCTTAGCTCTACAGTGGAATTACTCATGTGGCGTCTCGTATAGTCGAATACATTCTGCCTTGACGCTTGGAAAAGATCAAAAGAAGCTGATTCGTTTGGAACTTGTACAAAAGGTCTCTGCTTTGCATAAACGGAGTAATTAGGGACCTGAAGCTGAAGAGACCTGCATAAACCACAGAACATGTCTATAAGAACACATTGAAGGAAAGCATAAAACTTTCCACTTTCTACTTCGAAGAAACCACATGACTATAAGAACCTAGAGAAGGAAAGCAAAACACTTTTTATGTTTCCACTTCAAGAAAGCACAATCAAGAGAAGAAATTACATAAAAGGCACAAAATTGCAGACAAACTGATGAGGAAAAGTTCTTCAATAACTCGATTTAAGCAGAAACAAGACTCTGGAATACATAAACTTACCATCTGGGATTTCTGAGAAATCGATTAGTGATTCCTTTGGCATAACGCGAAGCTAACAACATCATGACATTCTGTGAATTGCTCGTTGGGAGAAATGTGAGATTTTCAATAACCGGAATGGACCGGTTGTTTCAACTCGGCCAAACTTGTGCGGCGACCGGAGAAACGGCAAAATCGGGAAATTGACGGCGATGGCCACGGCGAACTAACCACCGTGCTCGAAAAGGAAGCGAGGGTTTAGAGTTTCAAAGGATTATGATGAAGTATGTCGGTTTGATAAAACCGGTTGGTCAAATGTAAAATTTTATATTTTTAATCCAAAACAATAATGATTCTGATACAAATTGATTCTTGAATATCATATCACTGATTCCATTGGCATTCATCAGGAAGAACAGAAAATCTAGTGCGATCAGAACAATAGTCGTAATTCATGTACTTGGCTCTTGCATTTTCGTAAGCCTTTTGCTCCGAAACGCTTAATCCGACATACTTTCCAGTGTTCCACCAATAAGTTGACGATCCACAAGCATTGAGACCATCGACGTGGCACCCTGATTCAGAAAAGCCTTGAAAATGGGCTTTAAAAGGAGCATAGGCCCAATTGATCTTGGCCTTTCCACCATCTGTTGCCCATTCCTCGCCGTTCCACAAACTGCTCACCACTTGCATGGGTTTTGTTGGGTAGTTGGTGCCTTTCGTGTTGTTTTTGAACACTCTTATTGGAATATTGTCCACATAAAACCTATTATCAAATCATCATGTTGTTAAAATGAACTAAATGAATATGATGAGTAGTATTCTTCTTCATAATATGACATAGCGTATATCACTTTAAAAGTGTTTACATGTGTTATTTGTTACATATTTATGCATGTGTGTATTAGCGAATTAAAAGAATATTTACAAAAACAAGTATCATTATCAGTTCAAATTTAACACAATTGAGTTTCAAATTGGTTAATTCGAATTTTAATAATTATGTTAACCTCATTGTGTTTGGTATAAAAAGAGACTATTCCGGTTGATTTTTGTTAGTATGCAATCTATTTATAAAACATATTCGAAAAGTGTATATGGCAATGCGTGAAGAGAACGTACACAATATGGTATGGGTTCCAAAGAACTCCATAAGCGTGGAAATCTTCTGTGGGATCAAACCAAAGAACAAATCTTTGTTCTCTATTTCCTTGACCTTTCGTGAACACATTTGTCTGTAATGTTATTGGTTTCCCTTCTCTGTTCCCCAAGAACTCAAAGTCAACTTCATCTTGGACGTTTCCCTTTGAAGTCAACTATATAACCAATGAGAAAATTTGATACTATTTATAAAGTTAAATGTTCAGATTCATGTAAATGAAAAAGGTTAGAGGAAAAATACGAACGTAGAAAGCAGTTACGATGCCAGCAGAATCTTTTTCCGGCAATTTGATTCGCATTTGGAAAAATCCTGATCCGTACTGGTTTTTGGATTCAAATCCAGAACCTTGAGAAAACTAATAAACATTTAGTAGTCTTAGACATTTTTTTGTAAGAAATAAAATAAAAATTAGTGGACCTGAAGAATGATCTATGGAGAGCTGAACTTCTTTGCCTTGGTTGAGTTTTAAGACATGATCTTGTCCCCATGTTACAACATAGTTCTCATCGAAACTTACTTCTTGGTTTATATTATTGCTTATAACTCCATGAACCCTAATGAACAAGAATAATACTAGAACAAAACCAAACATCGAAATAGATTTCATGTTATTCAAGTGAAGCTATTATGGTGAGTATTTTCAATGAAGCAAAGATCTTTCATACTTATAGTCAAGTATAGCAATGGGCTAATTTTGTTATCTAATAGGTTTTGCGTATGTCAAATGCTTTCTTTACAAAATTATAAAAATAAATATAAATTAAGCGAATTAAAGACATTTCACATACACACACACATATATATATATATACATATAATATACATATCTAATCTTTTTAGTTTTTATCAATAATTTTGTAACATCTAAGTTTTATACAGTGTTATGATCTATCTTCACTCATCGCATGACAAATAGTTTAGAGACAATGGCCAAATTCAATGACATTTAATTATGACGACACCATATTATGGCTCTTAAAAGTTCTGTTAGTACTTCCAAGTTTCAATACTTCACTCAATCAAAATCGTTCCACTTGCTAATGATTTCTCATAATCCCATCATAATTTTTTATTAAACATTTCTCTATGGTCCATTCAATTTTAAAAAGAGACGTGTTGATTTGTATTGTGACAAAAGATAAGATTACTCTAAACAGTGATGTTCTCTCCTTATTCTTTTTTCTTTTTTTCTTTTCTTTTTGTATTATCGTTAAATATATTAAAACAATAATATGAGTTTTGAGTTTAAAACTTGTGCGACACGCCTAGTCCTTCTATCTTCTTGTTTGGTTCTTGGATTATCCTTCTATCTTCTAGTCCTAGGATAACTAACTCCTCGGAGAATTCATATAAAAAATAGAAGCTTTGTTATGGTGGGTATGAAGATTATGCACATCTTGAAAACTAAATCGTGATGGTTGGCTCACTTCTCCAATTTTCTTGATGAGACTCGCTAGAAGGAAAATTGTCAATAGCCACAAATTAGTTGTTGATATATAATCCTTATTTTGTACCTATTTTTTCATTAGCCATAAAATTTGTAGCTATTGGTCCTTGTGGTTCTTCGTATCCATATTTCCACAACATTGCCATGATGAAATTTGTGGCTGGTAGCCATGAATAGGTTTGCTACAAATTTCCCCCACACTCAACCATAGCTATGATCCACGAATAGCCATAAACGGTATCGTGGCTATTACCAAGAGGTGTAAAAATGAAATGGTAAATACATTTTGTCCATAATTTTTGTGTTTGAGAGTGATAAGCTTCAAGGTACTAAACTATTGCATTACTTATCCTCCACACCAGTTACAAACTAAGAACCCTAATTGAGATCTAGATGAGCACCCTCCAGAATCCCAAACAGCCTCTACGAACTTACATCTTTCGTAGCCAACATATTCATATCATCTGCGATAAACCACAATAGCATCAATTACACAGACTCTTCTTATTCACACTGGAATAAGAGACAACCTTGCAACTCTCTGATGAGCAAGAGTTTTCACTCCCAAATGCCAGTCAACAACTCTCGTTGACTTACCCTATATCATTCTTCCTTCTGCAATATTCTCCTCATGGCTCATGCCCAATCAATACTCTCCGTTTGAAGACAGCTTGTGAAGTAGCAATTGTGCATTTAAGTTTTCTGGCAGGTACGGAAACAAATGGTGTGCCATCAAAACAGGAGGGTCTTTGCTAAATCATGTGAACTGTACTGTAATGCAATTCCATATGTTCAAACTGGTTACGGATGACTTGTATTACATAATTTGCATTAGTACTCGATGTACACTTTTCATTGACTCACCTTGATTTTGAGTACTATGCTGCTATGTCTCTATCTTGTCTCTCACGTTTCCTGTCTATTTTGACTTATACAACTTCTGCATCTTTTGCTTTTGCTGTACTTGAACTTGTAGCAGATTCTCCTTGATATGAATCCATAAACGTCTCTTTCTTTAAGAACTAAATGTTCATGCACTTGAGTTTGTAATTCGTCACTTTCTTGAAGGACTAATTGATTCAAGACTGATGGCTTTCTGTGTTGAGATAACAACTTCCCCTTTCACTTGAGTTTGAAACAAGCACTGTGTGGAAAAGTAAACTCTCTTCTCCACATTGTAACAGCTCAACACGACTTCAGCTAGAGTCCACGAAACGAATCCCAAAAAAGAAGTGACCAAACCCTACATCATAAAACCGGAAATTTCCCAACCTTGTTTTTCCTAGCTACGATGCGACAAAGGAGATGTGGTCTCGTGTTTAATACAGTGCCATGCACTTTGAACCGGATAAATCTCCGCTGTGGAAAAGTCCTGAACCAATTAAGCAGCCAGAGTGGGAGGGATTCAAAATTTACTGGATCCTTTATGATACCATTCTCGATGTCCTTTGACTTAACAAGGACAGAATGTGAATCAAGTTGTAGCAACATCCCATTTCATCAGTTTGATTTGTCTTGTGGTCTGAAACTGGTAATCGCCACATATGTTTCAGGTGAGACTTCATATCACCGAGAATCAGGTGATAAAAGTATACTAGGGATTGTAAATCCTTTTTCTCAAGAGGTCCAAAACGCAAAAAAAAAAAAAAAAAAAAAAAAAAAAAAATGTAAACGTGACTTAATATTGGGTTAATAATAAAACTTAGGAAATGCAAATAAACGAGATAAAAATCCTAAAACAGCAAGGGATTAGGTATCCGTAAAGCACTCACTATATATCAGGGGACATGGTGCACTCTTTGCCTCACAAACACATTCAGAGAGTTTGAGATCTCATAACCTTTCTTGTTGGCTTCTCTGTTAATCATCTTTCTTCTTTTACTTGTGCACCACGGAATCATGGCGTCAACAACAACAACAAAGAAGATCTTCGGTTTCATGCTCATGATAACAGCCTTCACGGTTCTCTTGGGTTTCTGCTCCGCAACAACCTTCAAAGTCGGAGACTCTGATGGATGGACGGCGAAGGACGACAAATATCACGGTTGGGCCGAGGGCAAAGAATTCAACGTCGGTGATTCACTCCTCTTCGAATACGATCACAACTTCAACGACGTCGTTCCAGTTATCCGTTTGGATTACGATTTATGCCAGTCTTCTTTCGCTGAAGCCGTCTACAAAACAGGACAAGATGTCGTGACCCTTACGAAGCCAGGGCATCACTACTTCATCAGTTCGAATCCTGCTCGATGCAAATCGGGACAGAAACTCGACGTTCATGTTCTTGGCGACGAACTCGCTGAGCTTGAGTTCAAACTAAATCCTATGACCGAAAGTCTTCATTCTCCATGGAAAAGTCAGGTCACGATCTCCTCAGACTCGTCAAATCAAGAACCCGTGGACCGTCTCACTATGTGGTTACGCAAATTCCAACGTTTTGGTTTGGGATTATCTTAAGACTTGATGTAATTTCTCGTTGATTGTGTTAAGATTTGTGTTTAGCTTACTCGTTTATCGTACTTTTTAATAAAAAGAACATTATTTTTAATTCGGGCAGATTTGTGTAATAATTGACAAAGACAACAAGTGTTACAAGTACCGTTTTTTTTTTTTTTTTATTATTATTATTATTAAGAGAATATACTGTAGTTTACATATTTTATGATTGATTCCTATTAGTTATTACTATTTAAAAAAAAAAAAAAACTAATCCAGTCAAAATAATTAAAACCAAATAACATTGTGTTTAAATTTGTTATGTGTTACGGTCATTAACCTTAATGGCTTAATCATAAGAAAATTTGGTGTTTCTTAGTTTAGATCCTGATCCTTATAGATCTATGAGATATAAAAAATATTGATACCTGAATGTTTTTCTTCAACGGATGATAATGTTTGAATAAATATCTATGGCTTTTTCTACTAAATTACTCTTCTTTGAATAAATATTGGTTCAGTACCAATTTAATTTAATCAGCAATTCTCTTCGCTTTTGTCCTAACACCAGCAAATCGAGTTTTTCAATTTTTTTTCAAATGAGAAATTAACGAACTTACCTCGCTCATCGCAACGCTCATTTGCATATCGGTTGTCTGTATTTTTTTGCTAATCATATTCTTTTTTTTTGCTAATCATATTCACCACATGCAATATGTCAAACCAAACAATAGTACAAATGTTGAAAATTACTAAGCTCATTTAGTGCTAAAGTTTAGATCATTTCATTTTCAGCCACTTCAAATAAAGATTTTCAATCCACAATCTGGACCATATCAGGTATGTAAATCATGACCTTCAGCGGAAACGCAAAGGTTGAATTTATTAAAGGTTGTTAGGGAGCTAAGAAAAAACACAAGATGAATAAGAATCATTTGGTTCAAAATTGGTTGATTACTATTTCAAATTAAGTTACGAGACTCAAATGAATAATAATTTATCAAATTAAACAATAGATTGGAAGAACATTGAAGGATGTAGTAGATTTATAATATGATTCTTTTTTTTAGATACTGGTCATTGATTCCATCCACATTCAATTGCGGGAACAGGGTATTTTTTCCGATCAGAACAATAATCGTAGTTCATATACTTTGCTCTCACATTATTGAGTGCCTTCTGATCATTTGCACTTAAACTACTATACTTCTTGTTGTTCCACGAGTATGTTGCTGAAGCACAAACTTTCGGATTAATGTTCCCATCCGCTTGACAACCCGCAATGGAAAACCCTTGGACATTGGCTTTAAATGGAGCAAAAGACCAATCAATCTTCTCCTTACCACCGCTTGTTGCCCATGTTTCGCCATTCCACAAACAACCAAACGCTTTCATGGGCTTTGATGGATATTCCACTCCCTTTCTGCTATTTTTGAATATTCTTACTGGAATATTGTCCACATAAAACCTATTATCGAGAGAGAAAAATATATTATGAAAGCATAATGGTTTTGTGACTTTTTCTAAAATATTAAGAGTTTTTTTTTTGGGAAAATCCAATTGTATTTCTATTTAGGTTCTTTCGATTCAATCTGCTTTTATACATATTCAATGATTATGTAATAATATTTATAAATAAATAGATGCATGAAGAGAAAAGAGAGAGAAAAAACATACACAATTTGATATGCATTCCAGAGGATCCCATAAGTGTGGAAATCTGCGGTGGGGTCGAACCAAAGATTTATTATTTGTACTCTATTCCCATAGCCATTGGTAAACACATTGGTTTGAAGTGTTATTTGTTTTCCTGCTCTATTACCCAAGAACTCAAAGTCAAGCTCGTCTTGGGTGTTTCCTTCAGAAGACAACTATAAACAATACACAAATGTATAAAGAAAACATATTCACAATGTTGAAAGTTCATTTTAATCTCATAAAGAAAAAAGTTGTGATGAAATGACTAGAGTAAGATTCCAACATACGTAAAAAGCTGTGACAACGCCGGCAGTATCTTTTGTTGGACCCAATTTGATTTTTGTTTGGAAAAATCCTGATCCGTATTTGTGTTTAGAATCATAGCGAGAACCTGTTCGTAATATAAATATGTTGTCTCAAACTTTTTGTCGTTTACAAGTTACAACGTACAAGCTTGAGCCAAAATAGTGGCCAGATTAAGAAAAGAAATGTGACTCTTTAATAAACAACAAATTATTATGCGAGACAAATCATTTTGTTATAATTGAAAAACAATAGTATATATAAAGATATTAAAACCATGAATTTCAAACTTTTTAGCCTATAAACTATATATTAACCTAAATAATATTTGTGGCTTATGATAAAGATAAAAGAAATTAGTAACCCTAGGCCACGGGATAGTCTGCCTATCTTACGAGCGGGCTACAAAAACGTACAAGCACAATATCAAAACTGAATTTAGGTTACAATATGGCGACATAGCATAATAAAATGAAGAAATTAATGAACCTTGAGTTTTGTCCATGGTGAGCTGAACTTCTCTCCCTTGGTTGAGTTTCAAGACATTTCCCCACGTAACCACGTAATTCTCATCGAACTCACTACCTCCTTGAGGTTTAGCAGCATGAGCTGCTACAACCAAGAATAGTACTCAAACAAAATCAATGATGGAAAACATATGTTCTCTTTTATTCATTTTGAATATTTTGTTGAGTATTATTCAGGGTAGAGACATATACCCTATTTATATACATGTATATCAAGGGGTGAATTTGAGGGTTGATTTTGTGTAAATGTTATATTAGTCAATAAAAGAAAAATATTATGGTCAGTTAAATTTTTATTTTAGTCAACATACTAAATTGCTGTAGTACTACCTTTTATAACTGCGGTGATTCATAGCAAATTGGGAAAACTATTTGGTGGTTCTTAGTAGATGCTGACAATTTTACTAAAATCAATTGTTTTTGGTTTGATGATTTTTAAATTCTATACAAAATGCATTATTATTCAACAAGTTTGTGTTTTAATGATTTTATGAATCATCAAAATCCTTGTTAGTGGGATATAGATAATTTCAAACAATTTAACTCATGAGTTGATTGATTTCAATTAAGAGAATTTTTGTTCAAAGAAAAAAATTGTTAAATTTATAAAGATTTTATGTTAGATTTGGAGAAATTTTATATTTAGGAAATAAATAAAATATTTTATTAGAACTGATTTTTAGAATCTAAGGATTTTATGTATAGTATTTTGGAAATTTTGTTAATGTGTTAAATTATTTAAAATTCATGTCCCAATAACAAAGATTTTAATGAATTCATAAAAAAATTTAAAAACAAACTTTTTGTTTTTGTATGGACTTTAAAAATCATCAAACCAATAACAACATATTTTCGTAAGATTGTTGGAATCCATAAACCAATAACAAAAATTTCTGAAATTTTTAACAATTTTAAAAAATCCATCTACCAATAATTAACCACCACACACCCAACAATTCTGTCAACTTTTAAAATCAAGAAACTCTATGTAAAATCAAGCAACTCCCATAAATCCAGTATATATATTTTATAATCTCTTTTGACTAAATTTAGACCAATTATTTTCCATATAAATTTTGAATCGCAATGTACAAATTAACATTTTGCAAAGTATACAACAAATAAAAAGCATGAAACTTTAACTTGATCAATTTACATTTTATTTTTCTTGTAGTGTGAATTTTTTTTTCGAGGTTCAGTAGTGAGCACGTATTAATCTCCGAATGCATGAATATTATTACATCACAATATATGAGAGAATCGAATATCCACACCCCAAAAAGTATATGAAACAACAGTTGTTACATATCATATATGTCATGTAGTAAATTTGAGTAGATCAATATCTGTGTGATGTGAATCAAGCAACAAACTAAACATATCTCTTAAAAAATGATACTAAGCATTAAGCAACAAATAATATAGTGATGCTTAATTATTATCATTTTTAGCATTAAACATGATCCTATAACTTTCAAACCCTATAACTTTCAAATCCATATAGGTCATATGGCACGAACTATCACTGAAATGATCCGATCCAAATCTATATGGGTTTGAAAGTTATATGGTCATGACCCATTTACTCACAAAATAAATGGATTTCAAAAGGCTAGGATCGGGTCAGGTTACCCATTTTAACACCCCTATCTAAAATTATTAAACCTTTCGTTAAATTTAAGGCTCATAATTGATGAATTTACAGCTCATTATAATAAGCCCAAAACAAAGCATATAAAGTCTTCGCCTTCTCCGTTCCTGTGAAACCCTAGCTTTTTACTCTCTCTCTCTCGAAGTTCTGTGCGTCTCTCTGCTCGTGAAAGATCTCCTACCCGAGACAATGGTACACATGAGCTCTAATTTTGATCTATTTCTCTGTTCTCATCGTATTTTGAGGTGCGTCGTGATGTTGTTTCGGTGAATTTTAACCATTTTTTTCTTCTTCTTCCTGCTATCAGAGAATATCAGAGGAGCACCTCAGAGAAATCTCCAAGTACCTTTTGAAGACCAGAGTTTTGGATGCTTCCAAAAGTGAGTTGGTCCGAACAAAAACACTCATGAAAAAGCTCGAATCCGATGAGATAGAGCTGAGAAAGAAGCTGATAGAGAAAGAGATGGAGCTGCAGTATGTAACGTGGAAGAACGAGCGTCTCACGAGCGGAATGGAGTTAGAGAAGATGGAGGTGGAATGAAAATCCGCGAGGCCTTGAAAATGAGCAGGGAGAGAACAGACATATTAAAAGATCGGGTACATAGCAAAAAGAAAGAACTACAAGATGAGCTTGGTAAACTCCGCGTTCAGTGTGATCAGTGGAAGAAAGCTGAAGAAGCCGCAGCTTCTATGCTCTCTGACTCTGGTGGTGACACCAGCAATAACTGTGAAGGAAAGTACGTGGAGAATACGATGGAGCTGCAGAGTGTAATGCGGCAGAACGAGAGTCTCAGGAGCGAAATAGAGAAGATGAAGAGCGAAAAGAAAAATTGAAAATCAAACTATTTAAAATTAGAATATCAATTATAATTTTTTAATATTAGTTAATTGCTTGATAATTATTTTGTTAGTTTTCTATTTATATTTTTTCTTTCTCAATTTTGTTTTTGCCTCACCATTATAAATACTATATATTGGTATTTTTCCTTTTCGAAATGGATTTTTTTTCCTTTTCTTAATAGATGTAACAAAAGAATTTAAATTATTTGTTTCCTGTTTTTTTATTACTTTTAATGGATATTATTTTTTCATTTTAATTATTTGTTATCTGTTTTTCTAATTTTTAGTTAGTCTTATACATATTAATTTTTTTATTATTTTATTCCATGACACATGTTACGATCTTCATACTTCCAGAATTTTTTTTTTTAAAACACATGTCGCAATTTTGTCAGTTATAAAAATCCTATGTATCGCAAAACTTTCAAAAACATGATTTTTAAATTGGAGAAATAGAATCAAAGGGATTTGATGAATTTGCTTTGATGAATTTATGATTGAGAAACCTTGACTCTCTTTTATAGGGGTTCAAGTAACCTATTACATGCAGTTATAGGAAATTTAGTTTACATAACATATTCCATGTACAAATAGGATTTTATTTATTACATTATTTTGATTTTATTATTTGTTTGGATAATATTAATTTGATGAATGGGAAACCTTTCTCTATTAGGATATGACAAATATATTTTTATTTCTTTTAACTGTAATGGATTAATTTTTTTAAAAAAATTTCCTTTATCTAAATTTTTTATTATTATTTTTTTTCTTTTTTTTTCTCTAAGACATGTGTCACGATCTTAACGGACGTAACATTAAAAGTGACACATGTCGCGATCTTATAAATTATAAAAATCCTATGTGTCGCAACCACGTCGTGCGCATCCAACTTTATATAATAAAAAATTGATGAATGGGAAACCTTTTTCTGTTTGGATATTGACAAATATTATTTTTTCCTTTTTGATATAATAGATTAAATTAAATTTCGTTTTTTTTAATTAACATTTTTCTGGAATTTTTTTTTTAAGTTCTCTTTTTTTCCTAAGACACGTGTCACGATCTTAACGGACATAAACTTAAAAGTGACACATGTCGCGATCCTGAATTTTATAAAAATCCTACGTGTCGCAACCACGTCGTGCGCATCCAGCTTTATATAATAAGAATTATATAACCAATTGTTCTTTTTAATATAAATCTACTTAAAAACATGAATTATGTAAAAAGTATCTATTGTAAAATAGTCTAATATAAATAATTTGGAATTAGTGATACAATTTTATTGAAATATACTGGATTTCTTATATATAGACAAATTATTTTGTTAATTTGCCACCCTTACTTTCCATACTTAGCCTTCACGAAACTGAACATGTATAAACAAACATAAACACAAGAGAATTTAGAACAAATTGATGAAATAACTGTAACATTAAACTGTTGAAAAAGAATCCACGAATGTTCTTGTATTATCAATTGGAACCGCGAGGCTCCGGCTTTAATTACACTTACCAGAAAGATGCATTTGATGGTCTTTTTTCTGGCAACACTGATGAAAAAGAACTAAAAGTGAGTCTTACATTCATAAAGTCATTAGTTTACAAACAAAAGTAAGCCGAAGATGATCACATTGGCCGGCGATGATTTTTACCACGCTACAAGTCCCAGGGTGAGTCGTACACCAAATTTGCACCTTGAAAACGCCTAGAACAGCTACAACATCAAATCTAGTTGCTGCAATGATCGTTTTGCGTTTCCAAAGCATACCTAATCCTATTGAACACAAACATAAATCAACAATTACAAGAATGTCAAGCGTATATAAAACTAAACTGAGCTTATGTTAAAACCTTTTCTGAGATGATGGCCAAACTTCACGTTACATACAACAAAATAAAATCCATCTTCTAATTCAAAACTTCATCACAAACTTAATCCTATAAATAAACATGTAAACCCAAGAGCAGATACACAACAATGGAAAACAAATTGATGAAAACAAATGGAAATGTGCATAGCTTTAAGAATAATCAAAAATCTACGATAAATCAAGGCAATGGTTGCAAACAACAAGATAAATATGTTCAAGAACATATCATTCTTCTCATTTGGATTTACAAATAATAACAGTAAAATAATACCACACTTGGAAAAAGGAAACAATTATTCTCAGGTTAAAAAAAATAACCAGTAAAAGATATACAATATCTTGTAGTAAAAAGGAAACAACCTATCCAAGAAGGTGATAATTTTTTTATTGTTAAATTAATAAAACAAAAAAAGAAGATAAAACCTGATCAGAAAAGTGCTAAGATTGTAAACCTTTTTTCCACAACGCAATAAAGTTTAACGTGACTTAATCTTGGGTTAATAATTTAATATAGGAAATAGGAAAAAGAAATAAACCAAATAAAAATCATAAAACAGCAAGGATTAGGTCTACGTAAAGCACTATATAACAAGGGACATGATGCACTCTTTTGCCTCATAAACACATAATCGACACAACTCCAAACTCATTCAGAGAGATCGAGATCTCATAACCTATTTTGTTGGCTTCTCTGTTATCTTTCTTCTTTTACTTGTGTACCACGGAATCATGGCGTCAACAACAACAACAAAGAAAATATTCGGTTTCATGCTCATGATAACAGCCTTCACGGTTCTCTTGGGTTTCTGCTCCGCAACAACCTTCAAAGTCGGAGACTCTGATGGATGGACGGCGAAGGACGACAAATATCACGGTTGGGCCGAGGGCAAAGAATTCAACGTCGGTGATTCACTCCTCTTCGAATACGATCACAACTTCAACGACGTCGTTCCAGTTATCCGTTTGGATTACGATTTATGCCAGTCTTCTTTTGCTGAAGCCGTCTACAAAACAGGACACGATGTCGTGACCCTTACGAAACCAGGCCATCACTACTTCATCAGTTCGAATCCTGCTCGATGCAGATCGGGACAGAAACTCGACGTGCATGTTCTTGGCGACGAGCTCGGTGAGCTTGAGTTCAAACTAAATCCTATGACCGAAAGTCTCCATTCCCCGTGGAAAAGTCAGGTCACAATCTCCTCAGGCTCATCAAAACAGGAGACCATGGACTGTCTAACTATGTGGTTACGCAAATTCCAACGTTTTGGTTTGGGATTAGCTTAAGAACTGATGTAATTACTCGTTGATTGTGTTGAGATTTGAGTTTAGCTTACTCGTTTATTGTACTTTCAATAATAATAAGAAAAAAAAACAAATTCGGGTAGATTGAGTGATTACAAGTACTGTTTTTTCGTTTAAGATTTTTTTTATATATTTTTTTTTTCGTAAGAGCATATAGTTTACATATTTTGTGCGTGATTTCTATTAATTTTTACTATATTTTTTAAATTAAAACTAATCCAGTCAACTTAATTAAAACCAAGTAATGTTGGGTTTAAATTTATTATGTGTTACGGTGATTAATCTTAAACATAAGAAGATTTGTTGTTTTTTTTTTTTTTTTTTTTTTTTTTGAAAGTTCAGTAGTGTATTTAGGTTCTTTCGATACAGTCTGATTTTATACAAATTCGATGATTATGTAATTATATTTATAAATAAATAGATGCATGAAGAGAAAAGAGGGAGAAAAAACATCCACAATTTGATATGGATTCCAAAGGATCCCATAAGTGTGAAAATCTGCGGTGGGGTCAAACCAAAGATTATACTTTTGTTCTCTACTCCCTTTGCCATTGGTAAACACATTGGTTTGAATTGTTATTGGTTTTCCTGCTCTATTACCCAAGAACTCAAAGTCAAGCTCGTCTTGGGTGTTTCCTTCAGAAGACAACTATAAACAATACACAAATGTATAAAGAACACATATGCACAATGTTTAAAATTCATATTAGTGTAATTAAGAAAAAAGTTGCGATGAAATTACTAGAGTAAGATTCCAACTTACGTAAAAAGCTGTGACAACGCCGGCAGTATCTTTTGTTGGACCCAATTTGATTTTCGTTTGGAAAAATCCTGATCTGTATTTGTGTTTAGAATCATAGAACCTGTTTATGATAGAAATAAGTTGTCTCAAACTTTTTGTCGTTTACAAGTTATAATGTAGTCTCAGTCCAATAAAAATAGTGGCCCGGATAAGGAAAAGGAAAAAAAAAAACTTATTATGCGAGAAAATCATTTTTTATAATTGAAAAACAATAGTATAAAGATATTAAAACTATGGATTTAAAAATTTGTTGCCTACAAACTATATATCAACCAAAATAATATACGTGGCTTATGAAAAAGATAAAAGCCAATTAGTGATCCTAGGCCATGGGATAGTCTGCCTATCCTACAACCGGGCTTGCTACAAAAACGTACAAGCACTACATGAAATTTGGTTTTAAGGTTATTATGTAGCGACGTCGCATATAAAAAGAAAAAATCAGTGAACCTTGAGCTTTATCCATGGTGAGCTGAACTTCTCTTCCTTGATTAAGTTTCAAGACATTTCCCGATGTAACCACATAGTTCTCATCGAACTCGCTACCTCCTTGAGATTTAGCAGCATGAGCTGCTACAATCAAGAATAGTATTGAAACAAAATCAATGATGGAAAACATAGGTTCTCTTTTATTCATTTTAAATATTGTTGAGTATTATTCAGGGTGCAGAGATCTCCCCTATTTATATACATTTCTAGTAAGGGGTAAATTTGAAGGATGATTTTGTGACAATTTTATATTGGTCAAAAAAAAGAAAAAAATTTGGCCAGTTAAATTTTTAGTTTAGTCGGCATACTAAATTGCTGTAGTGATACCTTTTATAACTGTGGTGAAATTCAAAGCAAATTGGGAAAACTATTGGTGGTTATTAGTAGATGGATTTTTAGCTATTACTTCCTCTATCTCATATTAGTTGTTGTATATTAGGATGTGTTTTGAGTTAAATATATCCAAATATATTTTATATAGATTTCTAAAACCGACAGTTAATATGAAACAGATGGAGTAAAATTTTCAGATTCCATTGGTATTGATTTATAGATTCTCACAATCTTACTAAAATCTATTGTTTTTGGTTTGATGATTTTAAAATTACATCATCAAAATCCTTGTTACTACATAGATTTTAAATAATAACTCATGAAATAAAAATTTCAAAATAATATGTATAACTCTTATATTCTCAAAATTATTATAGTAGAATACTTTGATAGATGATCAAATATGCAAAATCTCTTCAATTCTAACAAAAACTAATTCCAGTTAGTGGGATAATGAATTTATATAGGGTTGATTGGTTTTAAAGGTTAAGAGAATTGCGTTGTATAAAAAAAATTGAGAGAATTTTTAAATTTATAAATATTTTATGTTAGATTTGGAACAAGTTAGTATATTTAAAAAATCAATCAAAATATTTTATTATAATGAATTTTAGAATCGAAAGGTTAAATATAGTATTTTGGAAATTTTTTTAATGAGTTAAATTATTTAAAATTCATGTCCCAATCAAGGATTTTAATGGATTTTAAAAATTATTAATCCAATAACAACAAATTTTAGTATGATTGTTAGAATCCATAAACCAATATAAAATTTTCTTAATTTTTTAACAATTCTTAAAAATCCATCTACCAATAAGATTGTTAGAATCTATAAACCAATAACAAAGATTTCTGAAAAAATTAACTATTCTTAAAATCAAGCAACTCTATATGTAAAATCATCTTCCTACCAATAACCTCCCCTAAATCCAGTATATTTGTTTGGTTTTTTGTTTCTCTTTTGACTTAATTTAGACCATATAAATATTTGTATTGCCATGTACAAACTAACATTTTGCGAAGTCTACCAATGACCAAATGATCTACCTTTTAGTAAAACCCTTAATTCGATCAATGTACATTTTATTTTGTAGTGTACTGTGAATTTTTTTTTTTTTTTTTTTTTGTTTTTTTTTTGAGGTTCAATAACAAGCACAAATTAAGGGGGAATTGCCAAATATAGTGCACAATTTGATTTGAAATGCAAAACTAGACCCTATATTGCATTTAGAGCAAAACTAGTCTTCTGGGCATGTAAAATTACAAACCAAGCCCTTATGAACAAAGAAAAAAACGCTAGCCACAATGTCTGTTTTACCCTGTTTAAAGTCTATTCATGAAGTCTACTGCGTATTAGACTTCATGATGAAGTCTAATTCCTAATACAACTCAAATTTAATTTATAAAATTATAGAAATTGATTTGATCAAACAAAATTATACATAAATAAGATTAGAACATTTGGCATCCAAGAAAAATAAAATTGCATAAAAATGAATCCATTTAACTCAAGTAAGAGAAATTATGTTTGTAACCTATAAACTGCGTGAAGTCTACTCTAGAAGTCTACTATATAGCAAAATCGTAAATTTAAAGTTTAAAATCTATTAAAAATATTTTGATCAAGGTATTTACACATAATTTTAACAAAGACAAGTACTATCCATGAAAAATAAATTTGCATATAAATTGATCAATTTAAATCGGTAATACAAATTATGGTATAATCCAAAAAATATGTGTGAAGTCTACTGAAGAAGTCTACCAAATAACAAAATCTTAAATTTAAAGTTTAAAATCTATAAAAAAATATTTAGGCTTAAAATTATAAATAATCTAAATAAAGACAAATCCTATCTATGTAAAATAAAATTTCATGGAAATTAATCAATTTATAAGTTTCATGAGTAAACCAATCATCAAGCTTAGTGTTTGAGGTATAATGTATAGGGTTTATGAGTTGATTGTTAGGGTTTAGAGAATTTTGACATAAAAAATGTTTGCGGTTTGTTTAACGATTTAAAGCTAATGAATTCATAGTTTATAATGTAAATTGTGATTATGTATACATAATTGATGTTTTCTATAGCTTTGATCTCAAAAATTCGATTTAGGGTTTAGGGTAAGTCAGACTTCATAGATAGACTTCATTGTTAGACTTTGACATAAAGTATGTTACTAAAAAAAGAGAGCGGGAAATGAAATATTTTGGGCGGGAACCGGAATTTATGCGAAGAAAAAACGAGAGCCATAATGTCTGTTTTACTCTCTTTAAAGTCTACGCATGAAGTCTACTCTGTAATACTTCATGATGAAATCTACTTCATAATCACAAATTAAATTTAAATTATAAAATTATTGGAAATTAATTTGATAAAAAAAATTATACATAAATAAGATTAAAACATTTGGCATCCAAGAAAAATAAATTTGCGTAAACATTTGGCAACTAAGAGAAATTATATGTTTGTAACCTCTAAACTGTGTGGAGTCTATTTGAGAAGTCTACACTATCGTAAAATCTTCAATTTAAAGTGTAAAATTTATAAAAACTATTTGGATAAAGAAATTTACACATAATTTTAACAAAGACAAGTACTATCCATGAAAAATAAATTTTCATATAAATTGATCAATTTGAATCAAGGAAGACAAATAATGGTATAACCCAAAATATAATTGTGTGAAGTCTACTAAAGAAGTCTGCTAAATAACAAATCTTAAATTTAAAGTTTAAAAGCTATAAAAAACAATTTTGATAAAAAAAATTATACATAATTTAAATAAAGACAAGCCCTATCTATGTATACTGAAATTTTATGAAAATGAATTAATTTATAAGTTTTATGAGTAAACCAATCATCAAACTTAGTGTTTGAGGTTTAATTTATAGGTTTGTGATTGTCATTATTAAGGTTTAGAGAATTTTGACATAAAAAAGTGTGCGATTCGTTTGACGATTTAGAACTCATGAATTTGTAATTTGTAATGTAAATTGTGATTATATATGTACATAATTAATGTTTACTATAAGTTTTGATCTTAAATATATTCGATTTAGGGTTTAGGGTTAGTGAAACTTCATCGGTAGACTTCATTGGTAGACTTCGCGATGAAGTTTGTAATTCAAAACAAAACAAGCGGGAAATGAAACATTTTGGGAAAATAGGCGGGAACCGAAATATATCCGAACAAAGTTCTCGTATAATATAATCGGTTTGGTAGACTTCATTAGTAGACTTCTTATGTAAACTTTACAATAAAATTTACTTAACCGAATTTAACCGAATTTTTTTTCACAAAACCGGAAAATTAACCCTGTTATATAATGAATTAACCCTAATTTTGTGGAAAAGAATTTGTAACTCGTGACGGCGTCTCTCTCTCTCTCTCTCTCTCTCTCTCTCTCTCTCTCTCTCTCTCTCTCTCTCTCTCTCTCTCTCTCTCTCACTCTCCGTGAACCTTCGCCGATTCTTCTCGCCTCTCTAACCTTCGGCGACGCTTCTCTCTTCTTCTCCAACATTTCCTTCCGGAGACTATGAAGCCACTCGCCGTTAACCTTTGCCGCCTCTCCGTCGCCAATAACCACCGCCTCCTCTCCGTCGCCAATAACCACCGCCTCCTCTTCCTTCTCCGCCTCTCTCTCTCTCCCTCGCATATCTCCTCTCACCGTTGGATCTCTCTCCCTGATAGGTGAATCTCTCTCGCTTCATCTTTTCACCGCCATTATCTCGCTTCTCTCTCTCACTTTGATCCATGTTTTCAATTTTCCTGCTGAGAATGTGTTCTTATCTCTATTGAATGTGGGTTTTTTCACTTTTGTTTCCATCTACCTGATGAGGTATATTTTTGCCACATTCAGGTTATATGTAAGATTTCTAGGGATTTGGAAGATCGGATTCTGGAAACCGCGGAGGACATTGGTGGTCCCGTCGATAAAGCAAAGGCTAGGGCTTTGAGGAAACAGAGAGAGTTAGAGAAGTCGAAGAAAGCTTTAGAGAGGTATAGATCCGATGCTAATTACAGCTCCCTATGAAATCAGAAATCATGTCTCTTTAATTTTAGCTCTTTTAGAGATTAATTTTTTGTATTTTTATCTCTGGTGTTTGATTGATTAACAGAGAGTGGAGATTAAATGAAGATAGTTCATAAATCGCTGGAACCAATGCTGCATCAACCGTGAGATCGGGACCAAGGTTGCTGCTGCTCAACGTCTCAAGTAAGCTATGTTGAACCTCATACATGATACACCTTAACTGTGAGATCGGGACATAGTTTAATGCTTTAAAGAATGTTCAAATGAAAAGATTTAGTTGGGTTTAAATTGCAATGCAGGTTCATCTACCATTCTATGGCGTTTGGAAATTTGGACTGTCTTGTTACTATCATCTGTTTAATAGCAGCTGAAGCTATTAGTGGCTGCTGCTTGAGTTTCACATCCTTTTTATAGGTTCGTACCCTTACTAATTTAGGATTCGTGTAATGTTCGCATGTTGCATAGGATTACCTTAATCTTACTTTGTTTTTAAGTTTTTAATGTTGGCGTGTTGCACATTAAGATATTGGATAACTGAATTTGTTTAACTCTGCTTTCTGGAACCTCTTTTTGTTGTTTTTCCTAGGATTGACATTGAATTTTTGTTTTAAATTGTAGCTAGTGTACAAACCACTTCAAAGCAAAACAGATGAGGATGAAAAGAAGACATAGCTTTGAATATACATTTATCTCGTTTATGAATCTACTGGGTTTATGTTTCAGCTGAGATAGTATCATATTGTTGAGTTTTCGTTTCTAGTAGATATTTGGGTTTGTGAGTTAACTTGACACTGATAGTTTCTAGTTGATGCTTTTGCAATTTAGTGTCTTCACACTGTTTTTAATTTTTTTTATGAAGGATACCTTTCTATAACAGACATGAAACCTCTTTATTTTCTCTCTGCAGTCAATTAGCTAGCATTTCTTATTGTTAGAGGTTTGTGTTTTTGGCTTTGCATTAGGAGCATTTTCTTTCTGATGTCTTGCAGCTTTAGAAGAGAATTGAAGAGCTCATGGTTGGCTTCTCCCTTGACTTCTCGTTCACTAGATTAATTTTCATGTAAGTTTTATGGTGGTCTTCTCTATTCTTTTTGTAATATAGATTCTTTCAGTTTTGAAGTCTTGTATGTATTGTAGTTGTTGAATATAATGATTATCAGTTGTTTGTGCTAATCTGTTGTACATTCACATGTTTTCCTCCTTTTCAGGTGCATTGAAGAGTAGATAACATTGCTGTTGGGAAGCTTTCACTAAACCTCACACACCCTAACAGAGAATGGACTTCTGGATCATTATTAACCCACTTTGTGGATTTTTTTTTTGGCTGGTTTAGGAAGCAGGAATCGATGTCAAAACCTCGAGGAGTTGGACGTGGAAGAGGAGTTGGTATGGATGATGGAGGAGCTAGAGGCCGAGGCAGAGGATCTTCAATGACACGAAGATGAGTGGTAGACTCGAGTGATATGATAGACTTAGTCGGCTCTGTTTTGTCAAATTATTTGGGTTTCTGCTGTATGCGTCTTTTGACAAGTTATGTTACTGTCATTGCTTGTTGCAAAGTCTAAGCCAGCTCATTTATATTTATGTGTTATTAGACTTGAAATCAACAGCTACATCTATTTTTAATAAAGAAAAATATTCTCCTTGAACCATCAATGCAAAGTTTTTCAAGTTCTTATGTCATATGTTATGATCTGTCTTGTGTTGTTACAATGGGGATACTCTGATAGTTCGCATCCAGTTTGTGCACATTGTACGTTTATATATTGTACGTTTATATAAAGAGACAAGCTCTATTAGTAGACTTCATTAGTAAGACTTTATAGATTTGTGATAAAAAGTCAAATTCAACCATTTTTGATGCATTTGATCTACCTAAAACGGACCAAGTACAATCATCACAGCTAGATTTCTGGATGAAGTCTTCTGGTAATGGATATGATATTTCCAAACGGTGTCCGATCTTATCAGCGAATAATCCTCTAAAGCCATTTGAATAAGCTCATCATGTGTACACCATCCCTCAACGAGAACATTCTACCTCCTTTCCGATAATCAACCTCAAAATGCCAAGACAAATTGTCCTTTCTCACCCATTCTCCATAAACAGATGCAATGTAAACCATTTTCTGCAAGTAAACAAAAACAACCATTAGACTTCATTGATAGACTTTAGTGGTAGACTTCACCTAGAAGTCTACCTAGTATTGTCTAATATTCAATTTTGACAAGAAAACCGTTTTCACGAAATATACAACGAATAAGCATGTCAAACTAACACACAAGCAACTAAACAGACTAACTCAACTAATTGTTTCAAGAAATCTTAAAAATTCGTTATATATTTTCCAAAAAAGCGTTTTCAAATAAAACATTAAATAGTAGACTTCACGAGGAAGTCTATTTAGTAGACTTCCTTGTGAAGTCTAATAGACTAGTTTTGCAATTTTTCAAATTACAATTTTTTATGAAGTCTACACGTGAAGTCTACCGAAAAAAAAAGACTAGTTTTGCAATTGACCAAGCTTTGACTTTTCAAATAGACTTCATTATCGTGAATAGGCTTAAAAATGAAGTCTAACTAGAAATGAAGTCTACTGGTGAAGTCTACAACAGGAATTAGACTTCATAGGATTAGTTTTGCAATTGATCGAATTTTTGAATTTAGAAAATAGACTTCATCGTGAAGTCTACTCCGACAAACGTTGACTATTAGACTTCTTGGTGAAGTCTATCAAGAATTAGGCTTCGAAATGAAGTCTAACCCATATTAGACTTTGAATGAAGTATACTCCATTTAAGTCTAACAACATTAATAGACTTTCAGGGGTAGACTTCACGATAAAACAAACTACTTAAAGTTTGCAAAACTAGTCTTTTATTCAAGCAGACTTCACAGATAGACTTCTCATAAAAAGTTTTTATTCTGTCAATTGCAAAACTAATCTGTTTCGAGTAGACTTCATTCTGAAGCTACGCCATATTTTTTTGTTTTCAAAGGAATATGGGTAGACTTCATTGTGAAGTCTACTCTCTAAATTTTTTGAAAATCAATTGCAAAACTAGTTTGTTAGACTTCGCTATGAAGTCTAAGGACCTGCAAAAATATGAAATTCACTCAGATCTACCGGAATTTTACCTTGCCGTGATCTTAAGTTTCGTTGACGGCCTATAACTTCGATTTAGAGCTTCAGCAAACTTCCCCAACCGTTATAATGATCTCCCACACCAAAAATGGGAAGATCTAAGAACATAAACTTTGAAAAGATGAAAATGTGTGTTCTTGGGGTGAAAATGAGAAGAAATTGAAGAATACAAGTTTATGAGATGATATAATGAGTTTGTATATATGTTTGAAGAGTAAATCATGCATTCAAAGCTTGATTTTGGTTGAGAATGGTTGTTGGACGAATTGATGGTGATGGCATTTTCGTGAATAAATGAAGAAGATGAGGTTTCTTTGGACTTTTTATTTTCGTATTAGACTTCACGGTTAGACTTCAAGGACGAAAGTAATGGCATTTTCGTTATTATCTGGTGAGGATAAACAAGGAAAAAAAAAAGAGTGAACTACTTTTGCATTTGACCTCAATTTTTGTACTACTTTTGAAAATAACCCACAAATTAATCTGCTAATGCATGAGTATTATTACATATCAATATATGAAAAAGTCGAATATCCACACCCCAAAACTATATGACTTTAAGTAATAAATCTAAGTAGGTCAATATGTGTGTGATGTGAATCAAGGAACAAATTAATACATATCTTTAAAGAATATGATGATAAGCAACAAATTAACACATATCTTTCAAAAAATATGATGATAAGCAACACATACTAGAGTGGTAGTTCCTGCACTCGAAGTATACAAGGCACTATAAATTGTACATTTTGAACTTTATCAAAAAGCATGGTAGTCACAAGATTTATAAATCAAGTCTCGTTGGTAAATAATCAAAGGTTTTGAATATATCTAAAGCTTCTTACCTTCTTTGATACAAATATTCCTATAAAATTATTGATTTCTAATATTGTTCAAATGATCATGAAACATCCAATTCTTTTCGTTCATGATAATTTATATTGATCATTTCTGATATTTCTTATTTTATATATATATATATATATTGTCAACATCATATATTTCTAATTCGATTCGGAAATACACATGTACACATAAACAATTTAATTAAGTAATATAAAGTATATGATAACATGGTAGTTTTTTTTTAAAGAACTTGGTGTTAAAAATTAAAGAAAGTTATAAATTTTATAAGCACAATGATTCACATAATGATATATTGATATCACATTATATCTTAGAAGAAAATTCGAAATTAAAATCATTTCTTAAGAAGAATACCTGAAAAATAATACATAGAGAGCTGAACTTCTTTGTAAATCTCATCAAAATAAGCTTGTTTGTTTTTGTCAATTCCACTGACTCCTAGAACCCTAGCATCAGCTTTAATGTTCAACAAAAATGCCGCCAAAGATTAATGTATACTTCATCTTAAACGTTATATTTTTTCATGAAGCAGATACCATCTCTCATTTTTTGTTAAAAGACCTTAGATAGTATCTCTCATTGCTAATCGTACTTATATTTTTGGTGATTTAGAATCGTATTTAATGGCATTATTGTTCCACATAGATACTAGAGTTATTGGTGTGTTCACGCGGACACTAGGCACATACATAAACGTGTTTTCTATTATTCAAATAGAGTATTAAAGGATTGCACTCGAAAAAATATGTATATGTTATTTTTTTTCCCATGCATTGACATTGACAATAACAGTTGCGTGTCTCAGTTTTTAACAAATCTTTTTAACAGTCCTTTAAATAAATAAATAAATAAATAAAATAATTACCAACAAAAACAAAAGTTTGTTTGAGATATTTACTCTATTTTCCAAAAGTATTTGAAGTCATTTTTTCTTTGATCTATATTCCACAGAGAGTAGATGGAGTAATTTTATCTTTTTGACATCTATATATATTCCTGTTAGAGCCGTCTCTGAAAGCATGCAGAGCAAGCTGGTGCTTGTGGCCCAGATCTAGATATGTATATTTTCGGCCCTGATTTTTACAAAAACCTTTGGTAGTCTATTGATAAATTTCCCTCTCATACGACTTTAGCAACGCGGTTTCGATTATACAATTCGTTTTTCTTAAAAAAAAAAAAAAAAAAAAAATTCGGCCCAGATTGTTTTTGGACTTGCGGTCTACACAAACTCAGGGACGACTCTGATTCCTGTCTATGTTAATGTATTTGTTATGATTCAATGCTTTTTTCTGAATTGGAAACCTTGTTTAATATTTTCTGGCTGATAGGCTAGATTTATATATTTGCTTCCTACTTCCACAAAAGTTATCTGTTTACGTATACAGTTTGTTTGAGAAATTTACCAAAAGTATTTGGAGTAATTATTAATTTATTAATTTGTGATCACATGAAGAAAAAAAACTGGGCAACAGATGGCTAATAAGTCCAGATCGTACATTGACAGATGGCTAATTTGTGATCATTGACAGATGGCATGGCATACATATTGATCGTATGTTAATGTATTAATTATTTACTCTACTTTCCAAAAGTATTTGAAGTAATTTTCTCTTTATTCTATACTAGTAGATGGGGTAATTTTATCTTTTCAAGTAATTTTCTCTTTTTGACGTCTATATTCCTGCCTATGTTAATGTATTTATTAATTTGTTCTGATTCAATGCTTTTTTTTCTGAATTAGATACCTTTGTTAATATTTTCTAGCTCATAGGTCAGATTTATTTATTTGGTTCCTACTTCCACAAAAGTTTTCTGTTTACATATACAGTTTGTTTGAGATATTTACCAAAAGTATTTGAAATAATTATTAATTTAATTTATTAATTTTTGATCATTGACAGATGGCGTACATTGATCGTATGTCAATTTATTAATTAATTTGTTCTCATTCAATGCTTTTACTGAATTAGTAACCGTGTTGGCTAATATGTCCAGATTTTAATTTATTTGCTTTCCAATTTCATAAAGGTTTTCTGTTTCTTCATGTAAACATGTGGTTTTCCTCGTTATTTTTAAGCTAAGCTGATATTTATATTACAAAATATTTGAGTAATTTAACAAAATAATGGGTAATTATGCATTTTGGAACATGAAATGTTAATTAGTGTGCAATATTTATGTCCAAGAAAACCCAATTTAATTTTTTTCAAATATATGAGTAAATTAAAATTTGATTCAAATTCATATAGATATGTTTGCGTCTTTATATGAATAGAGAGTCATGCTCGATACATATGTCGTCACTAAGCTTGTTTACTCTTGCATAAATAAGGTAATTGCTCTTTTAGTGAGGCAATGGTTCCTTCGTTTTGTAGTTGAGCTTTTGTACGGAAGACGAGTTGTTTTGGAGATAAGGCACAACGTATTTCATAACATCCGGATCTGCCATTTCGTCGTGTCCACCAGGTACACTCACAAACTTCACCTTGCCAGCATCAACCAACGTTTTCAGACCGATCCAGTCCTCTGTATAGAGTTGTGTCTGGTTAGCAGAGAGAACCGGTTCATTTTCAGCTGCACCATCCCGGTAAAACCCGAACCAAGATGATTCTTTTGGAACAATAACGTTATCGTCCTGAAACTGTAGACAGAAACAGAATCATCAAGGGAGAATTCATTCAATCGGTTAAAAATGTAAGAGGAGGGTTTTGTGGAAAATCCGAACCATGACAAGAACCAAGTTTTGTAAGCTGGTGAACCGGTCTTTGTAAGTTGCGTTTCTTTGGCTTGGTATCTCATTGTTAAGCTTCGGTAGATACTTGGAACCTTCCAAGTACTCTGCGATATCCTGTGAAACCAAAAATAAAGATTCTGTTAAATTCTAAATCAGATATGGTTCTATTTTTTCAACTAGATATATGGCGAGTATGAGTAGACCATACAGTAGGGATTTTGACGTAACCACTAGGAGCTAGATGATCCTGCATAATCATAAACGATGTTAATTAATCCCTGATTAAGGTTATTATCCTGATAGTGAGAGAGGGTGAGAGATATACTTGAACAAATTCGGTATAGACCTCCTGTTGAACCAGTTGTTCTACGACGTCACACAAGGCTCCATCCTTTACGAAAAAAAACGGAAAAAAAAAGAGAAGAGGTAGACATATAAAAGATACGTAATATATATGACTGATGATTACAATAAAATCATACAAAAGATAAGAGATTTAAAAAATGCTTACTCCAGTAACATTACAGAAAGGAACAGAGGAGAGTCCAGCATGAGGACCTGCTAAAGATACGTAGTTGTAAACCTTAGGCCCATCATCGCAGAACTCGATCAGCCCTCGAGCAACTAGATTCCCCTGTTGTTCCATCATTCATCAGAAGATAAAAGGGTAAAGATAAAAATATATATATATATTGTTTGTTTTTGTTTTCAAGAAAATATCAAGAAACCTGAGATCTTGCAACAATGTTGTATCCTTCATGCAACACGTCCATTTGCTTCACTTTTTCACACGCTATGTCGACTTGTTTAGTAAGTGGCATGAACCATGAATCGATTATTCCGTTCCCAATTTCTCTGGATTCATAAAGAAAAACAAGAGTTGTATCAAACAAAATACATCATCATGGTCAGACACTATAGACGTCTTAAATAAGAAAAGTTCTCAACTTACAAGCAAAAGCCTTGAGAGCCAGAGTGGTCAGTGAGAAACCGTGTGAAATCGGAGTTTGTTTCATCAGAACATTCAGCTGAAATACCATGAAGCATTACGAAAGGAAGTGAGACAGAAACATGAATCAAGGCTAAGAATGCAACAGCCACCGCAACACCAAACCGCTTCTTCCCCATAGCAAAAACACGAGAAGTTGTAATGGGAATTTCTTAGGTTTTGGTTTGTTTCTTTAAGAAGTTCTGAGATGAGAATTTCCTTTATATAGAGGAAATAGAAAGAATGTGGTTGCAACAAGGCTCCAAGCAATCGTCAAAGAGGTGCATTTATGAAGAAAAATGGACGATGCTGATATGATTTAAATCTTCCATGTGAAATGGACGACGATGATTGATTGATATCTTCGATTCGAACACTCTTCTAAGTTCTTCATCGTCTTTTCTTGCTGCCTCTTTTAGTATGTGTAAATGTATATTTATAATATTAATATACAAATAGCTAACTGTACTAGGCTCACCCCATTTCTGGTCGTATTAGAATTGCAGCCAAGCAAACACTAATGAAATGCGTTTATGAATAAAAATGGACGATGCTGATATGATTTAAATCTTCCATATGAAATGGACGGCGATGATTGATTGATATCTTCGATTCGAACACTCTTCTAAGTTCTTCATCGTATTTTCTTGCTGCCTCTTTTAGTATGTGTGAATGTATATTTATAATATTAATATACAAATAACTAAATATACTAGGCTCACCCCATTTCTGGTCGTATTAGAATTGCAGCCAAGCAAACATTAATGAAATGCATTTATGAATAAAAATGGACGATGCTGATATAATTTAAATCTTCCATATGAAATGGACGGCGATGATTGATTTAACACACTCCTAAGTTCTTCATCGTATTTTCTTGCTGCCTCTTTTAGTATGTGTGACTGTATATTTATAATATTAATATACAAATAACTAAATATACTAGGCTCACCCCATTTCTGGTCGTATTAGCTAATACAAATATGCCTTCCTATGTAAGTATGCATGTCCTAAATTAAAATATTTTAGTTAATTATGAGGATTATATATTTATGTCTAGTATTGATATGTAATATCATTGTTATTTTTCTTTCTTCTTTAGTGTCTTATATTTGGTTTCACTATGGGAAAATTTATGAGAACAAATAGGCAATGCAACTTTAAACTAAGGGAAAATAATACAAAGAATTTTAAATTCTGTAACAAATGATAGTTTCAAAAGGTGAAAAACACTCACAACATAAAATTAGACTCCATTTGTGATCCATATATTAGAATATATAAGACTACATGTTCTATTTAATTTTATATTAAATTTGAGAGAATAATAAATTTTGTGGTCTCGAAATGTTCAAACAGGTTATGTTTTCGTTACTTCAAATAAATTATAGGAAATGTAAATAATAATTGCCTTACTCGAGTTGTTATACGGTCTGATAAATTCAATTTTAGTAGATTGAGTTTATGATCCCGAGGATCGGCGTCTCTTTGTGGCTGATTAATGTCCATTTAGGGCCATGTGTCCAAAGACGTTACAAATTGTGTTTGACTTCTGAGATTTGATGCAAGATCCAGTACTTTCAACTTTCATTGTACTTCTAATTCTTTGACTTCCGCATGGATAACCACATAGTATGGGCTTGATATCCACCAGCTACTTTTTTGTTTGATGTTAACTATGCGATAAAGACTGGAAAATCTTTACAAGTACATCCATTTTATCAAAAAAAAGTGCATCCATTCCTCTAGTAAATCAATTACAACATATATCATATCTTTAATTTTAACCCAGACAAGTAAACACTATCACAGAATATACGACAAATTATTATTTCCCATAAATTCTATTTATCAAAGGTGGAAATAAATTTGCATAACCATTATTACCGAAAAAGAAAAAGTTAAAACAAAACCATTATTCATTTATGTTTATTTCAATATAAGTCTCTCTCCGTGGAATTTCTTTATTTCCGATGCCTAACACACACATATATATAAAGACATTGAAATTTTTTAACGGAGTAAAAAATTCATATGTTATCTGTTTTATTGTACTGATGTCCATAAATTTATATAGTGTTGGATATTAAATGATATTAATTATTTATTGCTTTGAATTCTGCAAATGACATTGATAAGATTCATATAATAGAAGTTGAAAAATTAAACGACTCCAACTTCATATATCAAATATAAAATTCCAGAACTAGAGTTCTCTAATACTTTTTTTCCCTCACAAAGTCGAAGTTTTATAGATTTTCCTTACGATATTGATATGTGCAATTTCCATAGCCTGAAAATAAAAGAGAAATGAAAAGATATTAATTGAAAAGTGACCGAAAGAAAGAGAATTGCTTGAAGAGAACGAAAAAACAAAAAAAAAACTTACTAGGATCAGTTACGGCAATGATACCAGTACCATTGAAATTGCAATCTTGACTGCGTCTTCCATTAGCTTGATAATAAAGATTCATGGCGACAGATGCACGATTAATAAAGCTAAACTCATCCGACGGATAACATGAACCTCCTCTCCGTATGATATTACAATTGATTTTGGCACATGCAATATATATGTTATACATAAGTTTGCTAAAATCTGTCCCAGGTTTGGCCACACACCAACTTCTTTGGCTCTGCAACAAATATAATAAATGTCATGAGATTGCTTTTGGTTGACTTTTTAGTTTTTGGTTTCACTATTGAGTAAACTAACATGTACCTCTGCGTTGACACTCATGAAATTACCTTTGGCTAAAAAAGAAAAAACAAACTAAAATTATTACAAAAATATGTAAAAATTATACAATCAATTTAAGCCTTCCAAATTAAATATTTTCACAATAATTTTAACTGGAAAATTATATTAGTTCAGATAATCAATTGTGGTGAGATTACCTGACCAAAGATATAAGAAAATGATGAAACAAAGACATAATTTTGCTTTAGCCATATTTGATTTTGGTTGACTGCTGAAACCTTCTAAATAGTTGTAAAAAAAAGGTTGTTTGAAATGTTTAGAGAAAAGAGAAATGGTATCTTATTCCATTAGTAACAGATCATTTATATAGGAATATAATGTAGGGTTCTTTGGAGAAGAAGTTATACCCTTTTAGATATGGGCTGATAATGGGCATTCATACAAAAAAATTAACACTAATAATTTTTTTAATTAATTAGTTGTATTATATTGAAAGAGTTAAATATAAGTATTTTTTATAGATTATCTTATTATATAAAAAAATTATTTACACGTGTTATAGCCAGTGGATAAGATTGCAATACATGTAAAAACATTTTACTTGAAAAGAAAAAATATGGTAAAAAACAAAAAAAATTCAAATAAAATATTTTAGGAAATGATATTTATGTGTTTCTAAATGGTAAATGATTAAAAATTTATGACAAAATTAAAAGGAATAAATAATAATTTAATGATGAAGAATTTAAATAAATAAATATATTTAGAATTTTCTTTTCACTGCTTTTCGTTTATTATTAATATTTTTTTATTTTTATTTTTGGGGTAATGAGGCTAAGGACTATTGAACGAAAAGATTATAGCCATAAGTTTAATTAATTCACTCTATCAGCAAAATTATAAATCGTAAATTCAAAAGCTGCATCCCACACAGAAACAAAATAAGTTGGAAAGTGAAAAGATAAACTACAAGTTGAAGATGGAGATATACATTCCTGCGTTTGTTCATGTGTTTATTAGTTTGTTCTCCTACATTCAAATGCTTTCGCTGAATTTGTAACCGTGTTTAATAATTTTTGGCTAATAGGTCCAGATTTTAATTTATTTTCTTTCTAATTCCATTAAAAATTATGTCCTTTTCCAATTTTTTTTTTTTTTTTTTTTTGGTTTTAATGTTAATTCCTTTCTTTTCCTTTTCCAATTCTTAATATACACTCCGCTCTTTTACTCGGTTTCTACAAACACAACTTCGGAAGCTACTAATTAAGCTTGCGAAATTGATGCTTGATAACAAAAAGAGATTAAAAGCTTGTCATGCTGAAAATCATTGAAGTCTTGAATGAAATTGGTGATGAAGAAATCATGTGTCGTCTCACTACTAATTGTTTATTTCGATAATTAAATAAATTACATATAAAACTTTTATGTTGAAACAAAAGAAAAGTTATTCGATAATTCAGATAGATATGTTAATTTTTTATTTGAATACAGATAGTCTTGTTCCATACATATGTCGTCACTAAGCTTGTTTATTCAATGACGCAATGGTTCCTTCGTTTTGTAGTTGAGTCTTTGTACGGAAGACGAGTTGTTTTGGAGATAAGGCACAACGTATTTCATAACATCGGGAATTGCCATTACGTCGTGTTCACCGGGTTCCAGGCACACTCACAAACTGCACTTTTCCAGCATAATCCAACGTTTTCAGACCGATCCAGTCCTCTGTATAGAGCTGTGTTTGGCTAGCAGGGAGAACAGGTTCCTCTGCAGTTGCATTATCCCCGTAAAACCCGAACCAAGATGATTCTTTTGGAACAATAACCTTATCGTCCTCAAACTTCTGAGATGGGAATTTCCTCTATATAGAGGAAATAGAAAGAGTGTGGTTGCAACAATCGTCAAAGAGGTGCATTTATGAAGAAAAATGGACGATGCTGATATGATTTAAATCTTCCATCGTCTTTTTTTGCTGCCTCTTTCAGCAAAAGATAAACTACAAGCTATTTGTATATTAATGGACAAGTACATCCACACTTCTAGTGAATCAATCACAACATGTATCATATCTTTAAATTTAAGCCATACAAGTAAACACAATCACAGTATATACCTCAAATTATGATTTCCCATAAACTTTTTTTTTTTTTTTTTTTTTTGCCAACGAATGCTCCATATATAACTATATCTTACCTTGTGGATTCCCATAAACTCTATTTATCAAAAGTTGGAAATAAATTTGCATAACAAGTTAAAAGAAAATCATTATTCATTTTGATTATTTCAGTTAGTCTCTTTTGATGGATTTTTTACTTCCAATGCCCACCACATATAAAGACATTGAAAAAGTTGCTGATTCTGAAATGTTTCTAAAACGGAGTAACAAATTTATATGTCATCCGTTTCATTGTATTGATGTCCATAACATAGGGAATACTAATTCAAATCTGTGATCACGTGAAAAAACGACATCAATCACATTTAATTAAATTTATATAGTATTGGATATTAAATGATATTTAATCAGATGAAATTCTGATAAATGATATTAATTATTTATTGCTTTGAGTTCTGCAAATGACATTGATAATTATATAAAATAAAATAGAAGTTGAAAAGCAAACGACTCGAACTTCATATATCAATTATACAATTCCAGAACTAGAGTTCTTTGCTACTTATTTTCTTTCCCCAACAAAGCCGAAGTTTTATATATTTTCCTTGCGATATTGATATGTGCAATTTCCATAGCCTGAAAATATAATAGATATAAAAAAATATTAATTGAAAAGTGACCGAAAGAAAGACAATTGTTTAAAGAGAAAACGAAAAAACAACAACAAACTTACTAGGATCAGTTATGGCAATGATACCAGTACCATTGAAATTGCAATCTTGACTGCGTCTTCCATGAGCTTGATAATAAAGATTCATGACGACAGATGCATAATTAAAAAAACTAAACAAATCCGATGAATAACATGAACCTCCTTTCCGTATAATATTACAATCCATTTTGGGACATGTAATATATATGTTATGCATAAGTTTGCTAAAATCTGTCCCAGGTTTCGCCACACACCAAGTTCTTTGGCTCTGCAACAAAGATAAAAAATGTCTATCTATGAGATTTTTTTTTTTTTTTTACTTTTTAAATTTTGGTTTCACTGTTGAGTAAACTTAAACATGTACCTCTGCGTTGGCACTCATGAAATTTCCTTTGGCTAAAAAAAAACAAACTAACATTGTTACAAAAAAATTAAAAATAATACAATCAATTTAAACCTTCCAAATTATATATTTTCACAATAATTTTAACTATATTAGTTCAGATAATTAATTGTGGTTAGATTACCTGACAAAAGATATAAGAAAATGATGAAACAAAAACATAATTGTGCTTTAGCCATATTTAATTTTGGTTGACGGCTAAAACCTTTTAAATAGTTGTAAGAACAAAGGTTGTTTGAATAGTAGAGAAAAAAAAAGAGAAATGGTGTCATATTCTATCAGTAACAAATCATTTATATAGGAATACAATGTAGGGTTTCTTTGGAGAAGAAATTGGACCTTTTTAAATATGGGCCGATAATGAGCATTCATACAAACAATTTAATACTAATAAGTTTTTTAATTAATTAGTTGTATTATACTGAAAAGGTTAAATGTAAGTATGTGGCTATGTGCATAGATTATATTATTATATAAAATATATATTTAAATGTGTTATAGCCAGTTGATAAGATTGCAAGTTCTTGAAGTAATATGGTAAAAAAAAATGTTTTTGGAAATTATATTTATGTGTTTCTAAATAGAAAATAATTAAAACTTTAGGACAAAATATTTTCATATGAAGTTACCTTAGAATGAGAAAATTAGATTATTATTATTCTACATATAAACACACATAACAAAATAAATTTTAATTAATTCACCCTATCAGCAAAATTATAAATCGTAAATTCAAAAGCTTCATCCCACACACACAAAATAAGTTGGAAAGTGAAAAGATAAAGGGAACTACAAGTTGAAGATGGAGATATATATTCCTGCGTTTGTTCATGTGTTTATTAATTTGTTCTCCTACATGCAATGCTTTTACTGAATTTGTAACCGTGTTTAATATTTTTTCGCTAATATGTCTATATTTTAATTTGTTTTCTTTCTAATTCCATTAAAATTTTATGTTTCTTCATGTGAACAAGAAAGTGAGAAACAGACGTATACAGATTCCTTTTCCAATTTTTACACTAAATTGTGGTTGTCCCTCTTATATTTGTAAGCTAAAGTGCCAAACTGTTGTTTATATTATGAAACATTGAGTAATTTAACGAACTAATCTTGGGTAATTATGAATTTTGGAACATGAAATGCTAATCAGTATGCAACATGTATATCTTAGAAACCCAAAAAAAATTCAAGTATATAAATAAATTTATAATTTAATTCAAAATATTAAATTTATACTTACAAAACCAACTTCTGATATACACTTGGCTCTTTGACTCGATCCGTTTCTGCAAACACAGCTTGGGAAACTACTAATTAAGCCTGCGAGATTGATGCTTGATAACAAAATGAGATTAAAAGCTTGTCATGCTGAGAAAGTCATTGAAGTTTTGAATGAAATTGGTGATGAAGAAATCATGTACATGTCTACTCACTACTATTTGTTTATTTCGATAATTAAATTAATTACATATGAAACTTTTATGTTGAAACAAAAAAAAAATTTATTCGATAATTCAGATAGATATGTTAATTTTTTATTTGAATACAGATAGTCTTGTTCGATACATATGTCGTCACTAAGCTTGTTTACTCAATGACGCAATGGTTCCTAGTTGAGTCTTTGTACGGAAGACGAGTTGTTTTGGAGATAAGGCACAACGTATTTCATAACATCGGGAATTGCCATTACATCGTGTTGACCAGGTACACTCACAAACTGCACTTTTCCAGCATTATCCAACGTTTTCAGACCGATCCAGTCCTCTGTATAGAGCTGTGTCTGGCTAGCAGGGAGAACAGGTTCTTCTGCAGTTGCATTATCCCCGTAAAACCCGAACCAAGATGATTCTTTTGGAACAATAACCTTATCGTCCTCAAACTGTAAATAAAAGCAGTTTTCATCATCATGAGAGAATTCATTCAATCGATTAAAAATGAGAGAGGACGGTTTTGTGGAAAATCCGAACCATGACAAGAACTAAGTTGTCTAAGTCGGAGAAACGGTCTTTGTAAGTTGCGTTTCTTTGGTTTGGTATCTCATTGTTAAGCTTCGGTAGATACTTAGAACCTTTCACGTACGCTGCGATATCCTGTGAAACCAAAAATAAAGATTTTGTAAAAATCTGATCAGATTTGTTCTAATACTCAACTATATATACGGTGACAAGACAATACCTTTGGGATCTTGACATAACCACTAGGAGCTACAAGATTCTGCATAATCATAAAAGATGTTAACTAATTAAATCACTGATTAAGGATTATAACCCTGATAGTGAGAGAGGTAGAGTGAGTGATAAATACTTGAACGGTTTCGGTATAGACACCTAACGTCTCCATCAGGTTATCTGCCTTGTCACACAAGACACCATTCTATACCCAAAAATCAATAAAAAACAGAGAAAGACATTGTTGTTAGTTGTTACTATGATTGATTGATTACAATAAAATCATATTGTTGTTAGTTTTTAAAAATGCTTACACTAAAAACACCACAGAAAGGAACAGATGAGATTCCAGCATGAGGGCCTGCTAAAGATACGTAGTTGTAAACCTTAGGCCCATCATCGCAGAACTCGATCAGCCCTCGAGCAACTAGATTCCCCTGTTGTTTCATCATTTATGAAATTTTATTAGGTAAAGATAAAAAGAAAAAACTGTTTTTTTCTGTTTGTTTTTCTTTTCATGAAAGTATCAAGAAACCTGAGATCTTGCAACTATGTTGTATCCTTCATGCAACTCTTTCTTTTCCTTCACTTGGTCACACACTATTTCGACTTGTTTAGTAAGTGGTTTGAACCATGAATCTTCTTCTCCATTTCCAATTTCTCTGGAGTCATAAAGAAAACAAGAGTTGTTATATTATACATCATCATGGTTAGCCCTTATAGACGTCTTATACATTAAAAGTTCTCAACTTACAAGCAAAAGCCTTGAGAGCCAGATTGGTTAATGAGAAGCTGTGTGAAGTTGGAGTTTGTTTCATCAGAACAGTCAGCTGAAATCCCATGCAGCATTACGAAAGGAACTGAGACTGAAAAATGAATCAAGGCTAAGAATGCAACAGCCACTGCAACACCAAACCGCTTCTTCCCCATAGAAAAACGTGAGACGTAGTAATGGTGTTTAGGGTTTGGTATGTTTCTCCAAGAAGTTCTGAGATGGGAGTTTCCTTTATATAGAGGAAATAGAAAGAGTGTGACGTGTAGTTAGAAGTTGCAGCCAAGCGATCATTAAAGAAGTGCATTAATTATGAAGAAAAATGGACGATGCTGATATGATTTAAATCTACCATATGAAATGGACGGCGATGATTGATTGATATCTTCCATTCTAACACCTAAGTTTTTTTTTTTTTTTGGTAAAATTCTAACACCTAAGTTCTTCATCGTATTCTTGGTAGTTGCTGTCTATCTTCCATTCTAACACTCTTCTAAGTTCTTCATCGTCTTCTCTTGCTGCCTCTTGGAGTATTATTATTAATTTTGTTTCTTCTTTAGTGTGATTTATCTGATTTGTCTATAGGAAAAGTTATAGTAAACAAATGGACAACTGCAAAACTCTTCTAAGTTCTTCATCGTATTCTTGCTAGTTGCTGTCTATCTTCCATTCTAACACTCTTCTAAGTTCTTCATCGTCTTCTCTTGCTGCCTCTTGGAGTATTATTCTTAATTTTGTGTCTTCTTTACTGTGTTTTATTTGATTTGTCTATGCAAAACTAAGAAAAAATAATACAAGATAATTTTAATTCTCTAACAAACAATAATTCCAAAACGTGAAAAACACCCACAAAAGAAAACAAAAATTAGTAGACTCCATTTGTGATACGTATATATTAGACTATATAAGTATACATGTTCCATTTAATTTTATATTAAAATTGAGAGAATAATAAATTTGGTGTTCTCTAAAAATACAAACACTTTATGTTTTCGTTACTTAACAATAATTTGTAAGAAATGTAAGTGATAATTGCCTTAGTCCAGTTGTTATGGTCTGCTGAATTCAGTTTTAGTATTGAGTTTCATATCTTTAGCTTTGTTGCATGACCCCGAGGGTAGGCCTCCAAAACACCAACATATTTTTTCGTTATTGAAGCAAAACAAATCCTGTTTAGACTTTAGAATCAAACAAAAAAAAGTATGTAAAACCGGAAGAGGCATATATTGATGTTATGCAAGATACCGAAAAGATTCTGGAATCAATCACATCTGTTAGACGTCTTTCATTATACCAATTCTTCAACAGTGCAGAAGAGGTAACCATTTTTCATCTATCAACTTCGTTTTTAGTATAGTATTTATCTTGGGGTTCACTAGTTTTGTCATTAGGTAAAGGGTTTGTTTTACTTAGTTTAGGGTTTTAAAGCATGGAAAAGCTATTGCTCTATGTAATCAGACTACGAGTGAAAACTAACGAACCAAAAGCTAACGGTTGTCAATTATTTCCTCAAGGTTTGAGGTATAGTTATGGATATGCAAGTTGTTTCATTTGTATTTTGACATTTTGATTTTGTCATTTAGAAGAGACTCGGAGAGTGTCAGCCAAAGGAGAGTTGAATAATAGAACAATAGAACTCTAGTTCTCTAATAAGGGATAAGGTAAAGAGCAGATAAATAAGAAAATGAAGAATGTCTTGATAAAAAGGAATACAAGATTAGAGATGTAAAATGTTTGAAAACAAAAAAAGGAGAAAAAAGATAAGAGATGTAAACGAAACAAAAAGAGAATTCTTAAAATCACATGCAAATACAAAAGATCACCATTCGAATGAGCCACTGCATTTCTTTGATCTACACAGACACATCCTCTTCTTCTTCCCATGTCTTCCAGATCCTCCGTAGTCATATCTCAACTCGTTAATGGAGGAATATGCTTCATAGCAAAAAATCCAATGTAAAGACACCACACACCCTTTTCTTCACGAGCAATAGTCTGCCAGAAAACGTTGGGAGAGCAACTATGGTTAATGAACCGAGCCACGTTCCCTGATTCCTTGGCACTTATCACAAATGCTGGTAAACCATCAATCCTCTCAAGGACTTTTTCTGAAGCATCCCTCCCAATAAGCTCAGGCTCATAATTCCACTCAAACGGTTTATAAACCCTAGAAGTATCGAATACATAACCATCTTCTTCGCCAGCTTTCTCTATAATCTCACCAGCATATTGACAGATGAAACTACCTGCTCGAATCGGATCCCAAGACCTTAAACCCCAGCCACAGTCCATTGTCTTAAACACTTCTAAACTGAACTTCAGCCCGGTGTGAATCATCTTGTTCTTGCAGATGGCAAAACAAGGACAAGAATCACCACACTCGTAAACAATCTCTCCACGGGTGACTAAAATGTTCTCAACGTATGGTAACTCCCCTCCGTTCCTCTGGATGCAAACACAATCCACAGAACAAGATCTTGATTGACAAGTGCATAACTCAACCATAGGTGGAACAGTAATGTCACACTGCTTCAAAGAAGTGATATAACTAAAAGCATCAGGACCTTTCTCATCATCAACCTCATTAACCAAAGTTACCTTTAGATTCTCAGCTCCATGAGAGAGATCTTCAAGAACAAGACCTGGTCTCTTCACCAGCCCTTTCTTCCACTGCTCCACAGATTTCCAAATCCCAAAAGCATTTTTCTGATCAGGCTCCCTCAACAACCTGAACTTGAACACCTTGAAACCAGCTTCACTCTTCTCGTCCCACATATCAGTAATGGTGTAAAGACCATCATAGATATATATCTTACCAGCCGTCCTTCTTACATCCTCCACAGCTCTTGTAACCCTCACAGGACTTTTCTCCCTTAGACTTTTCTCTAATGAGAGATTCGTCGCCTCAAGTCTCTGATCAGATGCTTGACCAGAAGTCTTGCCCGTACCACCGAGCCCTGTCAAGATCAAGGTTTCAGGATCGTCACCTTTGTCGGCGTTCTTTCCCGAGGAGACAACACTGATAGCTAACGGTGTATCATCTACACCGTTTTTACCCATGGTATCAATCCCAATCGGGACTCCATGCAGCCCCACGAGTTCCATTTCTCCCCATAAGAAGAAGATATCTCCTACGTTAACTCCTGGAACGGAGCCAACTCTCTTGGTTGTGTTTGTCCGCAGTTGGAGTTTCTTGAATGTGTCCACTGCCACAAAAACCTCACCTTTCCCAGGCCTGGATTGGCTCAGATACCTTCTCACAGCGTCAAATCGCATCATCAAGGAACTAACAATCTCGCTGTTTCCGGTTCCTTGATTTGCGTCACTCCTCTTCAACTTCATCGGCCTTTGTTCTGGGCCCTTTGGTGGTCGACCAGGTCCTCTTTTCACCGGAACAGAAGCAGAAGCAGAAGCATCGTTGTTAGAGGCATTCAACGATGTAGATGGCCTGACCATCTCACGAGGAGAATCATCATTTTGATCATTTTGTGTGTTGAGTTTCTCTCCACCTGCATGAAACTGGTTGCTCCCTTCACCTCCTTCCATTGCAAAATGAAAATAAAAATCTTATCACCAAAAACGTTTGTATCAATTGAAGGATTTGAGAAGATAACTATCGATAAAATATATGCATGTATCACACCTGTTATATGTATTTGATTATTTTTGTTCAAAGTTTCATTTTTGGAGTACTTGTTGGCAGTTGATTTTTGTTTTAATTGGTTGACTATAAGTTAATAAATGGCTAAAAATAATCAAGAACACAAATCAATTCTGGACTGGCAATAAATTATTAGATATCCTTCCTTTTTTTGTTTGGTCAAATCTACACTCCACAACTTAGATTTACTTCCTAAACCAAAATAAATATATGTAAAAAGAAAGATGTTGACAAAAACAAGAAAAAATAAGACAAATATTTTTTTCTTAAAAGTGAAAAGAGCAAGAGGTTCATGTAGATTTGACCAAATTTCTTTCCTTTAAAAAAAAAAAAAAAAAAAAAGTGACAGACTGACAGATTTTTTTTTTTTTTGTTCAGTTCAGATGAATTTTCGACTCTTTTTTTTTTTGTTAAAATGAATTTTCGACTATTACTAACCAGATTCTTGAAAAGATATGAAACAGTAGTAAGAAGTAACAAACACTTGTGAATCATATATTAAGAAAACAAATAAAAAGGTTATGGATGTTCATTGTTCAGCAAAGAAATTTGGAACACTACCGAAAACAAAAAAAACAGCATTGACACAAGAAGAAAGATTACAACAAATTTAACAAGTTAGATTGCTGGAGAGCTTACACATTCTATATAACTTTCTCTTCTATAAACTAGTAACCAATTTGCACTCTCTGATCGCAAACTTCCCTTGCGCAATACCAAATTTCTTTTTGCAAGCATTCAAAAAGACTAGAGACTAAGCTGGTAGCTGCAGCTTTTTATTGTTTTTCCAGCTGTGACCACAAACCGAAACCATAGTCATGACTCAATAGTTCTGGATTTCTTTTATGAACATAGAGATGAGAGATGGAGCTATTTTTGTTACCTTAGGAAGTAATAGTAGAAGAAATCGGCGTAGAGCAATGTTTGAACGAGCCCAGCGATCCATGCTGCAACACACACATATATCAGTTAAAATTGTCAAATAATCCACAAAGACAAAAAACACTGTTTCATGAGCATTTGATGCACTATGTAACCTAATTAGAAACACTAATTGATGCTACAATGTGGACTTGACAAAGAAGGTTGAGAGAAGGAAAGAGTCATACTTATCCAGTGAACATAGTGTGGTTCAGTGAAGTAACGGTAGATCCAATTGAGGATGTAGAATCCTCGGTATCCCCTGAAACAAGACGACATGATTTGCCTTAGACGTGCAAGAAGGAATTAAGATGTCACCAACTTAAAACAGAAATGAAATAAAATGTATACCCGAGGAGAAATATGTATTGTCCTGTCAAGTTATCGATATTTCTAGTCCTCTGCAGCAGAACAAGCTGAGGAAGTATTGCAACAGCTTCCAAATACAGTGAAAAAGTCCATAAAACCTAACATTTACATAGAAGATTATAACGAATGTCCCCAGATAAAATGTAACAAAGCCTACAATGTTCTGGCGAAACAAACAAACCTCGAAAAAGGTGAACTTTTCGTGAATCAGAAGAGCCAAGAGCAGGCAGGGAAGCATGAGGAACCAGTGACGGAACGTATCTTGATCCCTATCGTAAGTCCTGCGGACAGTCTTGTGGTACTTCATGTACCAAACTATCGAGAAGGAGCTTCCTAAGAATATCAGCTTCATGAGAGTGTTGTAGATAGACACGAAGCTCGTGAGGATATCCAAATATCTCGTCGCGAAGACGATGGCGTAGAGTTCTTGAGTCTTCAGTGATACACCTGAAGATGCCAGAGCAAAGCAACATTCACATAAACATCTAAAAACTTCAAAATTCAGTGGAATCCATTGATAAAACTTGTCGTTAATCAAAGTGGCTAAAAATTGGAATCAGAAACGGAATTGGCAGATTGATTAACGAGAATTCGAATTGAATTGGGGATTTCTACGTCATCACGACAGTGGAAATTCCAGAAAAAGCAGGAATCGAATCGAGAATTCGATTAAATTGGGACACGCTTCATACAAAATCACTCGAAAATTCGATTTCGGGAACGGAGATTAGGAAAATGAACGTACCGGCGCAGGATTTGATGGTGTGGATCTTGAGAAGCAAGACGAGAACACTTGCGAGGTGAGTCATATCACCTGCTAATCTGAAAATGTTCATCTTTCGAAGCGTGCTTCGTTTCTTCACGTCTCTGAAAATGGAGAATGGAAAAAGTCGATCTATAGGGTTTATGAAGCTTCTCTGCTTCTTTCTCGTCGAAGTTCTTATTCTCCGCCGCGACGACACGAGAGGTCCGTGGTAGATCTCGATTACAAGTCTCCTCCTCCTCTTCCTGGAAAATGGTAAACTGATAAGAAAATCTAAACCGAGTTACCGAAAGCTGAATCTTTTGGTTAACCAAAACCAGATTAAACCAGTCATGATTTTAGGAAATTTAATAGCTATATTTTTTTGAAGTCACACACATATTGGTTTGTCCAAAGCCATATCAAACGGGTTCTCTCATTGAACTTGGTTTTTCGTGAGAAATGGTTTTGTCCCTCTCAAAACCTAATTATCCGCCGGAGGAGAATTAGACAAGAGGTTTCTTTGTAAAACCAAATTTTCCTTTGCATAGAAAAATGATATATTCTCTGCCTTGAGCAATATGGTGATATCTTGTGAGGAGAATTTTGAAGCACTTGTGAAATAACCGAACAAGCATCTTAAATATATGCAAGATGTTGAAGAAAACGACTACATTTCTGATTTCTAGCACTAATGATTTGATGAACACAATATTCAAGCCCTTTCTCCAAAAATTTATCCTAGTAATCTTGGATGACATTTAGGTCGTTTGTTCGATTTTGGCAGATCGAATCGAACCAAATGTTAAGAAACATTACTTGTTGTTGGGCAATAGATACCATTGGTAACTTTTACGGTTTAACCAAGCAATGGTTGCATTTGTGGTCAATGACATTCCTCAAGCATTATTGAAACCAGATGATTGGCCAGCTCTGCACAGCGTTACATCTTGACCTGAAGAAGCTTATGATATCGGAGAGTATGTTCTAGACAATGACTATCATAGTAGGTTTCTTGGATTTTTAATATTTTATAAAACATCCAGCGAAGATAATAACAACAAAAACACTTAATTTACCTCAATTTATAATGCTAAACAAACAAGAGAGAAGCTAGAAAATATCGAGGACTTGTATAATGGAAGTGTTACAAAGCGGACAAATTCCTCTCTGCACCAAAAGTTGTCTACAACACAACCTGCAAAACGTATGTCCACATGGTATAAAAGCCGCACCTTTACTTCTTATCATACACACGCAACAACAACCACCCGATTCCGCCGACGCCACCATCGCCGTCGTCACTTCCTCAGCCTCTCCTCTCTTGCTGACGTCATACATTGTCATTGGCCCATCATTATCCTCTAATAACTCCATTAGCGACATCCTCGGCGGCTGATTCAAAGAAAAAAGCTGCTGATATTAATTGCTCATTAATTGTTATTTTCTCACTAAATGCAAACAAGAAACAGAGGAAATGAAGTTAACCGTTTAAACTAACTGATTAGCGACCAATATAACTACTTATTAGTACCTCTCTATCCTCAGCCAACACGGTGCTTAGTAGGAGCCTGCCTTCTCGCTCCGCCTCTCTGTTCCCGTTTGTCTCCGAGTTGGAGAGAAGGAATCCGAGGCGGTTAATGCGGCGGTGGCTGTCGTTATCATCCGGAGTAGAGATAGGCGTATCCAAGTAAGGGATAAGATTGGACGAGATCCAAGCAGTGGTGGTTGTGGAGGTGCGTTTGAGGCGGAGCTTATCCCGGAGAAATTTCCATGCGGTTTTATCCCGGCGGCGATCCCTTCTCATAACGTCTAGAAGACTACGGTTTCTTGCCGGAGACGGCGGGGTAATATGCGACGGCGGCGGTGGTGAAGGTTGTGGACGAGAAGCGCTCGTGTCGGCCATTAAAACATCTTCAAGAGTCACCGAACTCCGGCCATTCTCCACCGTCGACATTCGGTCTAGTAACGTCACTCTCAACCTATCTCCACCGTCCATTTGAATCATCGTATCACCAAGTGAAAGATTTTCAAAATGTTTATACTTATCAAATGAAAATGAAATTCCAAACATTCGTCGGCGAAAAAGAGTGAGAGTGGAAATAAAAAAAAACTTCTCGTTTCCCGAGAAAATCTCTCAGGTTTTTTTTCCTGAGAAAATAGTCAGTGAACAGATCCAACATTTATATAAGAAGCATCGGATACCTTAGCCTTCTCCGACAACTTCCCTTCTGATTGCACTATAATCCGGAAGTCGAGAGCAGATCTGTAATCAATATAAAACATATTTTAATCAATCTCAGACGCTTTAATTTTATATTCTGACAAAAAAGTGACTAAACAATAAGCAGTTTTTTTATGAAGCAGTGTCGGACAAATAATTTTTATGCAATCATATCGTTTCTCAGTATATATATGCATCTGCTTAAACAAAACAAAACAAAAAATACAACCAAAAAAAAAATACAAAATTGCGATTCGCATGTTGATGAATTTTGTAGGTCAAAAATGAAAAAGCGAAAAACAAAAGGAAAAGATGATAACTTTCTTTTACATACTGATTGAAATGTTCCACTTTCACTTTCTCTTTCTGTAAACTTGGGAATATGTTTGAAAGAGTGGGAAGACAAAAAGAGTTTCGGAAGAGTTAAACAGTTAAACCTGCGTGATTTAAAAATTTGCCCATTTATTTTTTGAACGCGCGAATATCCAAAGCTGTTGACGGCAAGGGTATATCCGGTATTGAAATTATTTCTTTGTCTTTATATCATCGATGGTATTGCAAATGTTCTTGGAGTTTATTACATCAGGTAGTTTGGTACTTTAGGTCTTGTTATAAGATCAGCATTTATGGAAATTGGAACTATATTTTGGTCCCCTTCTACAAAATTCTTGAAATATATTATTGCCTTTCATTTTGATCTATTTTCGAATTTTGAAATTCAAACTTTTGAGAATGTAAATAATTGTTCTTTAGCTACATAAGTGGTTAGGGACATGAAAACGGCAAACAAATCAGGTGTTTGGTCGTTTATCTAACTTTCATCCTAATGGTTGGAGTTGGAGAGCAACAAAGTGGTGTTTTTAAGTTTAAGCTAATTCACTCAACAAGGTGTGGTGTGCTCTTATCCTAAAGCACTAAAATCAGTTCCATTGTCTTCCACTTTTGAATTGTACAATAATTCGAATGAGATTTTCTGTATTCAATGCAAAAGTATTTAATGGCCTAACACATTTGTGACCATAAGTCCATAACTGATACTGGTCGACAAACTTTTTTTATTGCCTCCATAATGATAATGTCAAGTAATTGTTCTCTTTTCTTTTCGCTTTTCCGCACAACCTTGGATCTATAGAAGAATACAAAGAAATGGCACGATCACAGTAACAAAGTAATCAATTCGTTTTTGTTGTACATTTTACTATTAATTCTGAATAACAAAATCGGACTTTCTCGTCACACAAGAACAAGAACACATTACTAAACCGAGAAATGCATAACCAACACCATAGAAAACCCAAATACTATACCAAGGACAGAAAAACTCGGAAACAAAAGAATTACAGAAGAACAAGAACACATCTCAATTGACAACAAGAACTTCATAACCCAAACATCATATGCCAAGAACAAGAATCACAGGAGACTGTCAACACTTCAAAAGACTTAACACAACTCCTCAAATTGCCTCAGATGATTAACCGATTAGAAATATTATATGTGCCCCCCAATTTCCCAAACTCACTAAATATATTATCAAATTTAACACATCTTATTTCTTGATTTTAGCTCCAACGCTAAGGAAATGGTCATGGTTCCCTCCTCCCATTGATTGTCCTGCCTTTCTCGCCGCTTTCTCTTGCAATGCTCTAGCGTCTCTACACGATACGAACAACAACAAATAATTCAACATCTATATCGACGTTACCAAACAGAAAATGGATAAATACAGTCCCACATGACAAATTAACAATCCGAAACCAAACCTCAACAACTTTGTGGTTTAAGACAAATTTATCAACAAAAAACACACTCAAAAACTTTGCAAAGGTTTAATGTTTTCAAGGCTTATTGATTCTTTAACCCAATCCATGTGTTCTCTTAGGCTTATCCAAATGGACCAAGAAAAATTAGAGATTTATTAGACTATGGTTAATCTTATTCCACAATCCACATTCCAAATCAACAATACAGAACAAAATCAAACTAGTTCATCAGAAAGATTTAGACAGAAAAAAATCTACATTATCAATAACAAAATTAAAATAACCTTTTGCAGAGCTACATTATTGATTCCACAACCTAATCTATTTGTGTCTCTTTTCATGATTATCAAATTTAGACCAATATACAATGAGAAAGTATTAGTGTATGTGTTGTTACCTTTCGCGTCGTTGTTCAGGTGTTAATCCATCGTTCTTAGGTTGCTTAGGTTTGTGATTACCTCTTGCTTGAGCTCTTTGACGATCACGCTCTCTCTGGTTTCCGCGTTTGCTTCAATTAAAGCCAAACAAATATTATCACGGAAATAAACCTAAAATTCTCCTACTTTCTTTCATTCAGTCTATAAAATTTAAGAAAAAAAAAATGAACAGATCCAGAAAGGATATGTGCCATTGTTTGATGTCGTACAGACACAGAGACAGATCAGACAAGACAAGACAGATCCCTGGAAACATAGGAAAGGAACAAAACCAACCAAAGGAGAATAAAGCAACAATCAGTCGACGATGCAAAGTTTAGATCTATAAGCATAATAACGGAAACAAATTATATAATTGAAGAAAATCTTACTTGATGATGAAGCTAATCGAGAGTTGGAGAATTTGGAATCAGTGAGACGTGAGGAGAGACAAAGGTAAGTGGAGAAGATGTGATAGAGATTTAAAGATGAAAAAGATGGGGACAAATTGTCATTGTCAAACAAAGCTTAATTGGTAATGGAAGAGTCGAGAAGCCGTGGAGATTCCATTCTTTTAAAAAAATTATTTTTTTGTCGGATTTTTTTAAATTTCAGTTTCATTTTCATTTTCATTTTCATTTTCAGTATTGATAAACCTTGGTACGGTTCATGTGTAAATCATTTGTGTCAAATTTCCAATAAAATTGGTACATTATAATCAAATTGTGTCATTTGGGTAAAGTTCGGTATGTTTGGTTTGGTATAGACTTGACACAAATCAGAACTCGGTTTTTGCAATGTGAGCGTGCAGCTCAAGTCAAAAACCCTAAATTCCTCATTGATTGACTTTAGTCTCTGAAAGTCTTGAGAGAGCTCTTGTCTCGTTAATTCTAGCGTCAATGTCTTCCCCAGAGAAAAAGAGAAAGAAGAGAAAGAAGACAACGACGGAGAAACCGTTGCGTAAGCCATCGCCGTTACTTCCACCGACCCCGGAAACAACCCCAAATCCGTATCTTCCCGATGATTTGCTACTGAGTTGCTTGGCACGAGTCTCGAGATTGTATTACCCGACTCTCTCCCTCGTCTCCAAGAGCTTTCGATCTCTCCTTGCTTCACCGGAGCTTTACAAGATCCGATCGGTCTCAGGTCACACAGAGAGTTGTCTCTATGTGTACTTACATTTCTATCCTGACCCTAACGCTCACTTGTTTACTTTCTGCCGGAGACCTAACCGAACCCTAACAGAGAAGATGAAGCTAACAGAGAAGATGAAGCTAAGTAGCAATCTTTTGGTTCCAGTCACATCTACTCCCCATTCTATTCCTTATCTCTCGAATTACACAGCTGTTGGTTCTGATATCTACGAAATTGGCGGACTCATCAATCACCAGGATTCCTCTACCGTCTCGGTCTTTGATTGCAGGTCTCACTCGTGGCACCAAGCTCCAAACATGCAGGTGACAAGATCGAACCCGGACGTCAAGGCCACCGATGGAAAGGTATATGTTAAAGGAAAAATTGACGAACCCAAATTCAAAAACCCTGACTTGGTAGAGGTTTTCGATCCAAAAACCCAAACTTGGAGTTACGAATCTAAAGAATGGAAATCACTGGATTGTTATTATAGATCAAAACAATGGGTATCACGATCTCGTTGGTGCGAGATAGATAACGTGTTGTACTATTATCATGGAGGGAAGTTCGAATGGTTAGACACTAAGGCAAGAGACTGGTTAGACCGGAGAATCCGTGTTTCAGAGTCACATCAGAACTCGGTTTTTGCAGTTTGAGCGTGCAACTCAAGTCAAAAACCCTAAATTCCTCCTTGAGTTTATTCTCTGAAAGTCTGAGATCTCTTGTCTTAATTCCGGCGTCCATGTCGTCCCCGGAGAAGAAGAAGAGAAAGAAGACAACGACGAAGAAACCGTTGTGTAAGCCATCGCTGTTGCTCCCACCGACCCCGGAATCAACCCCAGATCCGTATCTTCCCGATGATTTGCTACTGAGCTGCTTCCCACAAGTCTCGAGCTTGTACTACCCGACTCTCTCCCTCGTCTCCAAGAGATTTCGATCTCTCCTTGCTTCACCGGAGCTTTACAAGATCCGATCAGTCTTAGGTCACACAGAGAGTTGTCTCTATGTGTACTCACGATTCTATGCTGGCCCTAACTTTCTCTGGTTTACTCTCTGCCGGAGACCTAATCGAACCCTAACAGAGAAGAAGAAGCAAAGTAGCAATATTTTGGTTCCAGACTTCCAGTCACATCTTCTCCTCATTGTACTCGTCGTGGGCCTCGTGGCTCAACTACTTACACTGTGGTTGGTTCTGATATCTACGAAATTGGTGGACTCAACTATGCCCGGGCTTCCTCTACCGTCTCGATATTTGATTGCAGGTCTCACTCGTGGCGCCAAGCTCAAATGGATGTCGTTAGACTTACGACATCCATTTGATACTATTATGATAGGGGAGAGTTCAAATGGTTAAACACTAAGGAAAGTTACTGGAGAATCTTGAAGGGTTTGTTTGGACTGCCTAATTATTTGTCTTCTTGGAACACCTCTAGTCAGGTTCAGTTGGCAGATTATGGTGGAAAGATGGCGGTTTTATGGGACAGACATGATTATTCTAGCAAATGTAAGGGAAGAAACGTTTGGTGTGCGGTGATCACGCTTGAAAGGCGTAGTAGTGAAGAGATTTGGGGAACAGTCGAGTGGTCTGAAGTTGTGCTTAAAGTCCCCAAAGATTTTCAATTTGTGGATGTCCTTTCTGCTACTGTTTGAATGAATTAATCTCCCTGCCCTAGTGTCTCCTTCTTGACCGTTGAACTCACACTTGGCTCAAAAACATGGAAAGGCCTTATTTTTTCACCTGACCTGACTCTGAATCTGCTTGAATGTTATGATGGATTTCCTGCTTTGAGAAATCTCTCATTTTTTGGAAGTCAAAGAAACTTATCTGAGCACATTGAATATTCAAACAGAGTTTTCCATAAGCATACCAAATACATTGACATCGACTGTCATAACTCATAAGTAAGGATTCTTTAATACTCTCCGTGTTAAGAAAGAGAATCAACAACCTTGTAAAGTTTCATTCACCGTGAAGATGCTTAAGGAACCGGTTTGACTCAGTTAGAACTTAGAACATTGTAAGGTTGCCATATGTACGGAAAATAGCAAATATTTATCAAAAGGGCCCAAAAGAGGACAAAGAAAAAAAATAGCACAAGCTAAAGTCGCACGGTTGTTTTCTAAAGCGATTCACTAAAAACTATTAGCACTTTGCTTATTAGGTACTCCTGGCTCATGCCTTGTGCTTGTATACAATTAAGTTTGCAGACGTTTCATCAAGATCAGATTATCCAAATTGAGTTTCTGACTTTTGTAAAGTCTATTTATCATTCACGCTATCAACTATTCCCTCTGTTCTACAATACAAGATGTTTTAGTTTTTTTTCTTGTTCCACAATCTATGATTGTTTTGATGTTTAAAGTTACTTTTGCTAATTAATACTAACATATTATAAACTTCAAGACATATTCACTAAAAGTATTGGAATACTTGAATTATAATTGGTTAACAACTAGTAAAAACTTCAAGACATATTATAATTATTTTTAATTAATACTAACATATTATAAACTTCAAGACATATTTAGTATATATTGGAATCTTTATATTATTAATTGAGAAGTACATGAAAAATTATATGACCAAAAAACCAATCTAATTGTCAAGTGAAAGTGTTTGGCAACAGATTTAACTAGGGTCAATTTAATACATTGTAATGTTTGGATACAAAAATAAGAGAAAAAACTATTTGAATAGAAGAATAAATGGAAAAAATTGTTTGGATACAAGAATAATAACTTAAAACAAACCGATGGTTTAGAAAACTTCCGTTTTTCAGCTCTTAAAAATCTGCAAAAAAAAAACTTAACATAATTTAACGATAATACAAAATCAATAGAATATTTTTTAGGATTTTAGGGTTTTCTGGATTTTTGGATTTCAGGTTTTCGGGTTTAGATATATTAAAAAGTTTGAGTATTTTGAAATTTTGATTATGGTATTTGGGTCGGGTTCCGGGTGAAAATGTTTCCAGATTTTTTTTGTTTAGTTCAGGGTTTTCGGGTTTAGACATATTAAAAAAGTTTGGGTTTTTAAAATTTTTGATTAGGTTTTTTTTGTCGGGTACGGATTTAGGGTTTAAATTTTCTACAAAAAATCACAACGTCACACCGCACAAACGTGCGGGTACTCTACTAGTACTTGAATTATAATTGGTTAACAACTAGTAAAAAAGTGGTTCATGTGAAAAACAATTCATACATTAAGTGTTTCTTAATTTGTGTGAAAAACCTCAACATTTTATATTGTGGAAAAAAAAGATTACAGTATTTTGGAAGAGTCTTGTTTAGCGGTTGGCCGGTGCAATCAGAAACTTTGGTTTGGTTTGAGTTCATTTAGGTAAAGTTCGGTAAGTTTGGTTTGGTATAGACTTAAGTACTTGACACAAATCAGAGAACTATTTTTGGAATTTAAGCGTGCAACTCTCAAGTCAAAACCCTAAATTCCTCCTTGAGAGAGCTTTTGTCTGGTTGATTCCAGCGTTAATGTTTTCCTCAGAGAAGAAGAATGGAAATAAGACGACGGAGAATAAACCGTTGCGTAAGCCATCGCCGTTGCTCCCACCGACCCCAAATCCGAAACTTCCCGATGATTTGCTACTGAGATGCTTCGCACGAGTCTCGAGATTGTACTATCCGACTCTCTCCCTGGTCTCCAAGAGCTTTCGTTCTCTGCTTGCTTCACCCGAGCTTTACCAGACTCGCTCTCAGTTAGACCGCACGGAGAGCTGTCTTTATGTCTGCTTAACGCTCCCTCCTGACCCTAAACCTCGCTGGTTTACTCTATGCAGGAGACCTAATCGAACCCTAACCAAGAAGAAGAAGAAGAAGAAGCTAAGTAGCAACCTTTTGGTTCCTGTCGCATCTCCCCGTTCAGCTCCTGTTCGGTCGAGTTTCGTCGCTGTCGGTTCTGATATCTACCAAATTGGCGGACTCATCAGAGGCGTGTTGCCTACCTCTACCGTCTCGATCTTTGACTTCAGATCTCATTCGTGGCACCAAGCTCCAAACCTGCAGGCCGCCAGGGTTCACCCTTTCGCCAAGACCATCGATGGAAAGATATATGTTAAAGGAGGCCGTAGTTCTAGTAACTACAGATCAGCTAACTTGGTAGATGTTTTCGATCCAGAAACCCAAACTTGGACACATGAATCTAAAGAATGGAACTCACTGGATGATTATCATGGAGTAGTATCGCAGTGTTCATCTTTTTGTTGTTTGATAGATAACGTCTTGTATCGGTATGACGGTAAGGCAAGGGACTGGAGAATCTTGAAGGGTTTGGAAGGAATGTCTGAGTTTTCTATTGGTTGGAGTCAGTTTCGATTGGCGGATTATGGTGGAAACATGGCGGTTATATGGGACAGGATTGATCGTTCTAGCGACTGTAATAAGGAAACAACAATTTGGTGTGCGGAGATTGCGCTTGAAAGGTGTGGTAGTGAAGGGATTTCGGGAACTGTCCAGTGGTCTGATGCTGTGCTTAAAGTCCCCACGTGTTTTCGATTTGTGGATGTTGTTTCTGCTACTGTTTGATGAAAGACAACGGAGATATATGTATTGAATCAATCAGCCGTGTGGGTTAAGTTATCATTATGGTTTTTAATCTGATGGGTTAAGTTGTTTTGTTTTCTCTCTTGGAAACCTCTATGCTTACATTTTGAATTTTGTTGAGTTTTTGTGATGTGTGAGCTTATTTTGTGCCAACGACTTCTAAAACTGAATTTTGAAACACGGTTTTGGCTGAATGAATATTTCTACACTGAATTTACGTATACAAAGGTAAATGAATTTTATTGATATTTTTATGATCCATTCTCTTCTCTCTCTCTCAACAAAACAGAGAAAATAAGTCAATCAATATTCATTTTGTCGTAAGATAAAGAGAAGGAGTAAGACACAAGTATTTCTGCAGCTTATTCATTAAATCATTACGAGCACGAGTTTCTCTGCAAAGTGCAAACTATTCACCGGATCGCTAAGAAAATACTTTTTTTTTTGGTAAAACGCTAAGAAAATACTTCTTCATAGAGAAGAACAAAACCTCTTTTTTTTTCCCTTATTGATCATTATCAAAAGTCCAATTTGTTAGTTCAACAGCCGACCAAACACTCTTCAAGTATGTATCTGGTTATGGTTCTTTGTCCTAAGAAATATATTCAGCTCTAGAGGTTTGTTTGAGTTCAGTAACGATAAACTATATTTATAAAAAACGATAAACTTTGGTATTCATGAATCATCTATATATAATAGCAAACTGAATAAATGCCTTTTGTTGTCGCACCTTTTCGTTTTTAACCGTTTATATATAACCGCTCATATAAAGAATTGTGTCATTTTAAGTCGCATCTTTTCGATTGTAACCGCTTAATTGTTAAAAAGTTGCACATTTTTGTGATACATTTTCACTCCATATATATATATATATATATATATGTTGTTTAAGTCTACTTGATCATTTCGTTGATTTTTTTTTCTACAGTCATATATCTTTCTTATTTGCTCTCCCAATTTCTCCCATTGTTTGTATTTTTTTTATAATTCCTTCTTTACATTTGTTTACTCCTCTTTCGCTATGGCTGGCTATATTGTACAAATAAACGATTTAGAGACAGATTAAATGAAGCTACCATATTTAATGGCTTGTGAATCAATGTGGAGGAAGTTCAATAATGAGAATTATGTTCAACATCCAACTCAAAGTTCAAGCACACAGAGATCTATTGAACGCCCTCAGGCCTATCAAATTTTGCAAAATCCAAAACACCTTGCACATGATAATAGAAATAGCAGTGCACATAATGGAAGTGTGAAGATCAATCCAAAATTTGGTGAAATATATTATTTAAGTTTGCTCATTGACCATGTTAAAGGATCTACAAATTACGAAGATTTTTTTTTTCAATAATTTGACTTTTCATGTATTAGTCAAAAAATTCCAATCCAACACATCATTCGCCACCTCCAAATTTGGTTATTGACAATGGTTCATTTAACTTTGTTTGATAATTGACTTTGAGACGGCTTGAATCGATTTGATCAGATAATGAGTACTTGACAATCTAATAGTTGAGAATCGAATGGGATCAATCATAATCCATCACTGACTGAAAAATAAAAAAGGAAATAAAATCGTTACAACTTTGTAATTACAGAATCACATTACGTTACACAAAAAACCTTCACGCCCAAGTCATCGAGACCACAGAGTTGGCGAGCCCGGATTGTTCGGAAGCCATGTTAGATCCGTAATAAAGCCTCTTGTATTCGCCGGGATACGCTTGAATCAGATTGAATGGCTTCCTCGTCCATTCCGATTGGTCAATCTTAGAGTAACAGAACTTCTATATGCTACATCATCAAATCATATAGGATTCCTACCTATAATTTTATAGCATCAAATGTTTAAATCGATGTCTACGTTAAATAGAGGCCCTACATCAATATGAATCCTATATGAAATAGAATTCTTATTCAAAGAGAACGTATGTGGAGGAATTATCAAGTTTACTCAAATAATTTTTGGTTGTGGAAAAGAAAAGGTTCGATAAAAGTTAACCATCGCGAACGTTCGACGGTAAGTCACCTTTTAATAAAAACTGCCGTCTCTTCTCTTTTTCCTTATATTTCTGATTCAAACCTCCTTATCGACAGTTTATGACTCAGTAGATAAAAAAAAGATTTCTATCAAGAAATGGTGGGAGAAAGAATTGAAGATCGAGTGGCAAATTTAATTCTTTTTAATTTTACAATGCTTGGCTGTGAAGTTTTTAGAATCTAATGATTACTCTCCTGCAAAAGTTGTGACTTTGGAATTAACTGTTGGAATCAAATTTTTAAGCCAAATGGGCTGAATAAAATTGTGGACAAGTGTGAAAAGAAATGGGCTTAGGCTCATGTAAAATTAATGAGAAAGTTAAGTGAGTTAAATGAAGGAGCACTTCATTTGTCCCAAATTGGAAAAAAGGAATAATGTCAAGAATAAATCTTCCAGAAACTTCTAGAAAGATTGAGTTCAGTTTCTGTTTGATAAACAAGAAATTAATAATGGAATTCTTCCTTATCCCTTAATGGAATTATTCATTATCATTTAATGGAATTATTCCTTATCTCTTTTGGTAAACATCAAAAAAGGATATTTCCTCCTTGGAGAGCAAGTCTCCTATCACCTATAAATAAAGGGCCTCACCCCTCTCATTATTCATTCATTTATTCAGAAATCAAACACTCCAGCAAATCTCTCACATCTCTTCCTTTCTTCTCTAAAAGTAAGTCTCGAGAGTATAGCGTAGTTATTTAGTTCGCAGATTCTGTAGTTGGGTGTTGCAACTATAGTCTCACACAGTTGTATCCTGGGATTCAAAAGTCTCATCAAAACCGCCACACTGCGGGAGATTTATTGAGTTAAGGAAAGAGATAAAATCTCGCCTCTGTGTATTCGTCTGTTTTCAATCGGATTTCTTACTATATATTATTATTATATAAGAATTTCATTCGTATTTTTCAATCTGGATTTTCGCGGTCCTACAGTCTTAACTCAATAAATCCGATCCTCCTTATCGCTTGAATCGGATTGAAAATTTGCGAAACAGTTTTTTCTTATATGATATTATAAAACGGTTTTCTTAAAGATCTGAAACAGTTCTGCGAAAGTTCTTTAGCTATTCAGCAGAAAGTTTCGATCTCAAAAAAGACGAATATCATTACTTGATAAAACGATTTACGCGACAGCTTCCAGCAGGATTGCGAAACGTTTTTTCAACTCTATTATATCTGATCTCTGATCTAATATAAAGTTTAAGAGCAAGTCTCTGTGAACTTAGCGAATTATTTTTTCGCTTACCCCACAATACTGACAAAATCTGTCTTTTGTGAAACAGATCCATAATGTCTGGTACTGTCAACAATGGAACTGGGGGGAATCAGCCTGCGGCTAATGGCGCTGGTCAACTTGCTGCACTCGCTGCACCAACTCTGCCTAGCAACATAAGTGCAGCGCTTACGCCTGACAAATTCGATGGCACGAATTTCAAGCAGTGGCAGCAGAAGATGCACTTCTTCCTGACCACTCTGAATCTGGCAAAGTACCTCGTTGAGACTAAACCTCAGATGCCTGCTGAACAAGAGGCAAACCCAGATCCACGAGTTCATATGACTCTGGAAAACTGGGAGCAAGGAGATTTCCTGTGCAGAGGTTACATTCAAAGTCGCCTAGTGGATCAGCTGTTCAATGTGTACAGTGAGGTCAAAACCGCCAAGGAGCTGTGGGAAGCCCTGGATAAGAAGTACAAGACGTTCAATGTGGGCTCAGGAAAATTTGCTGCTGCAAAATTTCTCAACTTCGTAATGGTGGACTCAAAACCCATCATGGACCAAGTGCATGACCTGCAGATGATACTCCAAGAGATATCAGATGAAGGAATGAAGATCTGTGAGACTTTCACAGTGAATTGCTTCATTGAGAAGCTTCCCCCTGGCTGGGCAGACTTCAAGAACTATCTTGCATTCAAGCAGAAGGCTTTGACTTTGGCCAACTTGATTTCTAGGCTGCAGAATGAGTCACTGAAGCGTGAAAGAGCTGAAACAGTTCAGACTCATGATGCGAATGTGGCTGAATTTCGCAGTAAACCAAAAGGCAGGTTTAACCCTAACAAGGGTCCGCTCAACAAGGTTGCTAATCAGGCTTCCACGGGCTTTAAGAAACAGGCCCAGAGCCCCCAATTCCCAAAGAAGAAATCTGGATTCTCAGGGAAGTGCAATCACTGTGGCAAGGTTGGACATCGCGGAGCCGATTGTCGCAGCAAGGCCAAGGAGAAAAACCAAGCCAACTTGACAGAGGATGACATGGTGGCTGTTGTTACAGAAGCTAACATGGTTGAAGAGAATCCGATGCTATGGTGGTATGACACTGGTGCTACCACACATATCTGCATTGACAGACAGATGTTCAGCACTTACCAGAAAAGCAAGGAAGATGCTCGTCTGCTGATGGGAAATGTGTCCCACTCCAAGATTGAAGGCACTGGAAAGGTGGTCCTGAAGATGACATCTGGAAGAGAGCTCACACTCAACAATGTGAAGCATGTTCCAGACATGAGGAAGAATCTGATTTCTGGCACTCTGATGAGCAAGCATGGATTTGCCATCAACTTCGAGTCTGACCAGCTGATTCTCAGGAAGAATGGTGTTTTTATAGGAAAAGGTTTTGTTAAGGATGGACTGATTAAGATGTGTGTATCTCCAGTCCAGAGAAACATTGTTGTACCTGTTTCCAATGATTTGATTAATAAGAAACCAGTTGCTTATTTGGTTGAGTCTTCTAATATTTGGCATGAAAGATTAGGCCATGTAAATTATAAGTCCATTGAAAGACTGATGAATTTGGACCTAATTCCGAAATGCAAAATAAACAAAGACAAATGTGAGATATGTGTACAAGCAAAACTCACCAAAACACCATCTCCTCATGTCGAAAGAACAACTGAACCTCTGGGCCTAATACACACAGATTTGTGCGACTTGAAGTATGTACAAAC